AATATAACACAACCGTGTACGTTCAGATATTGAAAGAGAATAAAGTTGATAATACAAACGAACGACACGTCATCAACGGTTCAACAGTTGCGTTTGTCGGCTTGCTTACTCTCCAGCTCCAGCAATACATATTTCACGGCATTGTTTAAGAATCGAAATAAAAAATGTACGATCGTATTAATTTATCCATCCACGATACAATAACGTTTTTGGACATGTAACAATTATATAACATACGTACGAGTTTTAAAAAATTAATCACACGCTGCGCTGTTATCTTCAAGTTCACACGAAAAGTGGTCGGAACAAGATATCGCCTATTATTAGATTCGCTATTTCAGGATCTTGAGTACTCTCCAGCATGCTCACACTGCTCCGGACACCATTCGAAACGTGATCGTCGCATACGAATAGAAAACTTTTACTAGCCGGTACGCTGATCACAAGGTGCATCACCAAAACACATCCGAGTCCGTTAAGATAACACCTTTAAACTCGTTGATGGAAAAGGAACATGACACACAGAGTCTAAATACGCAGTCAAGCAGGCAGGCAGCAGGCAGAACGATGTGGCACAAGAAAACGGGCAGAAGTAACACTCAGTCGGTAACTTCGTCACTATATATGTAAAACACTTCATAAACACGATACTTTTGATAACCTTATAACACGGTGAAATAGGCGGGACGAAGTTGTACGAAACTAGAAACAAAGATTCATATAATCAACGGGAGAATCGAGTTGCGTGAAAGAAACTTCACAACGACGACGACACGGATACCACGAATCGATGAAACACGACCGACGAACTAACGGATGACCGATTAGAATGCACTTTAAACGTAGCAGATGAACATACAATCATCAAGCACGAATATGTATTACGGTAACCGTCCTCAACTATCAGAACACATACTTCGTAATACACTCTACAACAGCACCATCACGAAACTGTTTAGATTCTGACAGAAGTGTTGAAACAGTCGGTTTTTCTCTTTTTTCGTTGCCCTCCTCCTTGTTTATCCCAACTGAAGAATGAACACAATAAATGGAAAGAGAGGGGGGAAGGGAGGGGGAATACAATGCACTTCATAATGTAATTTAAGAGTATACTTATATAAACGTGAGGATGTATAAAGAGAGTCGAAATGAGAAATTACGTACATTCACGCATATTGCTCGAAGAAAGAAGGATGGAGGAGAACGATCGTGGGTACGTTATGTGCGTGCGTGTATGTGCGTGCATATATCCCCTATGTATATGTGTCGTGTGTGTATCCAGACGCGCGTTATGCAGCAGAAAAAAGGAGGCATAAAAAAACGAAAGAAGGTGGAATATGTTTCAGCAATTTCTTTCGAACACCAACGTTTCTTTGTCATCACTGTGCAGAGCCTGGGCTCCTCGCAGTAGTTCAACACGAATGAAAACGTATCGTTTCGTTTCACCACACATTTCTCTTCTCTTACCCGAACTTTCCGTGATATTCCTGAGCGGCGGCCACGGTGATTAAAAAACACTCGCGTCTTACGTTCGCGCCCCAACGAAGGGTAGTCGAAATCGTCGTACGGTCAGTCCAACGTTTTCAGGGCCGCCAGGTTAACGTCACGAAATCCACCGACACAACCATAGATCCAAACGGTGGACGGACAGACGTAAGGACGGACGGCTGGCTGGCAGCAGGCAAAGCGGAATCACTGTGAGGTCCGGGGGAAGGGGCATTGAATGCGGCGGGATGAGGGTAGAGTTTCTGGATACGGGGCAGGTGGGGTCATAAGGGACCGGGGACGTACAAGTTGGAGTGGGGCGAAAACGAACGAGAACGAGCGAGCAACCGAACCGACCGACAACGTAGCGTCGCGGGGGACGGAGGTCTACGCTAGCTCAGGACCGTTTCATCCTGGTCCCATCAGCACCACGCTACTGCTCTCGACACATTTTTATTGTTTTCACCCGTATTTCCACACATATCGTTCAACTGTCGCTGTCTCTTCGGTTAACCGAGTATTATACGAGATGTTTCAAATATTAAAGAAGAAATTTTTAATGGAGAACATCTATTCCCTATACTAACAGCACAGTGAAAAGAGAAATACGTGTCTTGAAAGATCTCCGCGACTTAAAGGTGATAGCATTGAAATCAAATCTGAAATAGATGTTGAGAAAAATTTTGCAGATTATTTTCAACGCACGTATTATAACGCACTTTTCAACGGAATACAGGTAAATTAACTGAAATATGTAAATATACGCGAATGTGATAGCCTTTGAATGTGTACATAATTATATTGCAATATTTCATATTTCTTTTGCGATTATTGTGTTCTTTAACTTCTCACTATCATTCAAACTTTTTTGATAATTAATGATACATTCAAAAATTGGTAATCGAAATCGAATATGATAGTAAAGACTGTTACATGTTGTATGTATCGATACAAATTATTCACCTACACGTAATCGTGAATTTTGTGCATTTACGACCGATGCTGTCGTCAAAGACACAATAAAACAAAAATTTGAATATCATTTAACACAGTATTTATTTTCTAGTTTATCTATCTAAACCATTCATTCGGACAATTAAGTTTTTACTTAGCCGTTTACAAAAAAAAGGTTTCAAACAGGCTAAATTTTGTTGTGCGTAGTAATAATGCGTGTACCAGAAATGTTTAAACGAAATGAGACTCGTTAATTATTTTTAAATATTCCTACATGTACGTACTAAAATGTACATGATGTTTAATAATTATTTTTAAATGTTTCGCCATGTAACATGAAAAATCGTAAAATTTGTCTCCGTTAAATTAACTCCTAGCCTAAACAGAATCAAGGTGAATCATTGCAGTTCTTATGTTTTAGACTTGCAGGTGTTTACGCGGTTTTATAAAATTTTGTTCAATTATTACTTTGCAAAAATCTAGGTGGAAGGTAGGCAAAATGGTGTATACGGCACTGCATCGGGCACAAGCAAACTCGCTGCCTTGCGGCCGTGTAGAAGGGAAGAGAAGGGTTGGGAAGGGAACAGTACAGAAATGAAGAGAAGGGAAGGAGGGGTTGTGTACAGTACGGGTAGGGATGTCGGCCGTTGGCGAAGGAGGGTATATGGTTGATCCTGGCCGCGCACGGCTAAAAGTGCGAGAGAGATCGTGCAAACAGACGAACGAGAGAAAGGGCGAGATGGTGCAGGAGAGCCCGGCAACGATGCATTACTAGAATGCGCATGGCAACGTCGCAAAAGGCTTCATGGACGCCAGGCAATCCACCAACACATGAGTATACGGAGAACGGCAGATCAGAGAAGGAAAGAATCCCGTTTTACCGAGTTGGAGGAGATAGAAAGAAGGGGAAGGAGCGAGACACACGAGAGAATGAGAGATCTACCAAGTCTTAAACAGGCTACGACGTTTTCCACCAATCTCTTGAGATTTTCAGAAAAACGATTCACATATTCCAAATGTATATTTTCGTACGCTTACGAGCGATGCAGTTTGGTCATCCAACGCATCAGATGTATTCTTACAGTGTATTGTACTAGTATTACTGTACTTTTTAATAAGTAAACAGGAATTTGAATCTTAGCATTTAATTAAGGAATTTAAATTAAGATGATAGCTTAACGACTAAACCGAGAGATAACGTATTAATATTATTATTAACTTAGAACTGTATTGTAAAGTATCTCGTATGTCTATATTTAACCGAAGCGTGCTTGTAATGTAATATACATATATGTATATGAATGAGTCTAGCAATATTTTCGAATCGGAGTTGCGATGAAACAGAAACTTCAACTATTCTTCGGTTCTTCCATCGCACAATCGTATCGCATGTTGCAAATTTAATGTTTGGTTCGATACGAGCAGAATATAGTGTTTGTAAAATCAGGGCCAGCCACCAAGAATCCAGGGGCGCAGACTGCACACAAATTGGTCCTGTAGCATTCTTTGATTACTGATACACGGAGACTAATTTTGTTAGGTTCCGCTCATTCCCCTTCCTGTTTTGTTCAAGCGAGGCGACTGCATCACGAAGCCTCGAAATATCACCAATCGATACATTATACTTATTATACCGAGAAGCAATAACAGAAGTGGAACTATAAAACAATAACACTGATTACTCGATGGCGAAAGGGTGTGGCAGCGCCATTGAGTCGTTACACGCAGGAATAGAGCAAGTAGTGGGATAATACGTGCGATCGCGCGCGCTACGTGGTTGTATGAATAAGTGGGAAAGAAAGAATGAACGAGGGACAGAGAAAGAATCGAAGTGTGGAAGAAACCGAGAGGAGGAGCGAGCGAACAGAGAAAAAGAGAAACAAAAAATAAAGCGGGAAAGAGAAAGAGGGAGAAGGTGGTGGAAGTGGTGGAAACTACGAGCGGTGGAGTGCGGATGGGGACAAGGATGAACCACCTTAAAGGGGATAGCATGAATCATAAGTAATCAATATTATACCTGCGACCGATATAAAAAAATTTTAGGTGATATGTGACTGCCGTGACAGTTGAATCTTTTATTTCACTATTTTCTTCGCTGTCTGTGCAGTATGTGCTCGTTCAAGCTGCATTTATTTCTATTATATGAAATATTCTAAATAAAGTTTCCTACATACTGTCTTTGAAGTTCGCTCAATCCTCCATATTTAAGGTAGGTTTATTATCATTAATTTTCATAATTAAATTGAAATAGTATGATGTACTTGGGTTCAAAATTTAATAAATTGCTATCATTTATGTAGAAATATACAATATTGTAAAGTACTATGAATAAATATTTTACTTTCGAGTGTTTGAAAATATTTCATATTTTACTTGAAAAAAAAAATAAACAATTAGATATGAGCACTGTCTGTGTCTTCGGTATTAGAAAACTGAATTTTTTATACAATATTGATTATAAAACAGATTGCAATTATTATATTACTTTTGTAAATATACATAATAATACATTTTTTTAGTGTTTAGACTTCTACAAACTTTATACATAATTTGTACCATATTCAAACAGACAGATTTACTGTTTGATCAAATCGTAATGGTTGACTTGAGTCTATTAAACCAAACATTCTGCATAAGGCATTCATAGCAGCTACATTTTTTGCTTCCTTAATGGTCTGCCCAAATCCTGAAAACATAATAAATTGGTTATTAATTTCAAGACATTCAAACGTTTTCTATACTTTAAATACTTACCCGAACCTAAAAATTGTTTATTAGAATAGACTGCGATTTGATAAGCTGACAGAAGAGTGTTTTTACCAGCATGACCAATAATTCTTGGCTCTACAAATGTATTTTTCTCTACAGAAACTATACTATTTAACATATCAAATGGTTCCGAGGGCTGCCAAATTTCACGTAAATCTTTGGTAGCTAATCCTACTATTAGGAAATCTTGAACAAAAACACTTGCATGATCATTAGTGACACTTTCAGCAAGTGCTGCTACAAGTGCTAAAAATGTCTTAGCTAATGTTTCTTCTTTTACAGGATGCTCCTAGGTAAAACAATTTTAAGTTAATAACAACACATAATTATGCAGCAATCTATATTGTGTTTATATACAAAAGTATACATACAGAACTCAGAATAATATCCTTTGTTCCCAGGTGCAAAGAAGCTGTGGCCAAAATTTCTTGAGACATAAGGTATTCATGGAATGCTCTAAAGTTAAAAATTAATGTAATAACATAAGTTATATTAAACCTAGAAACAAAATAGTTTTCTACATACATAATACCAGGTTCAGGAACACGTGGCAAATATTTATTCAAATAGTTCTTTACAACTTTTGAAGTTATTTCTCTTCCCTTTTTAATGAAATCTTCATTATGCTGTATTTCAAGTTTCGGGTCTTTTATTCCCATTTGCCTTTGTTTATCTTCTTCCCGAATGATATATGATCTATGGGTTAATGCTTGATTTAATTTTTCCGTTTCAAAATTCTCGGAAAGTCTCTGATTAAATGCATATAATTCTGCATCCCTATTCCACTCAATAAATGCACTACGTTTAGGTTCAGGTTGTGGAGGTAACCGTTTTCTTCGTCTATTTATTTCTTCAAGAGTTGGATAAACCCATCGTTTGACATGCCTACAACCTAGACTTACAATTAATACTTTCTACACTTAAATACATTATACCATACTATTGATATATTCAATAAAAATTCTTACTTTCATAATTCACGGACTTTACATTTGCAAGACTATTGAAGCACAATCTTAACCTATTCATGATTTTATAGAAAAAATATTCTTCGAAATTAGTGCTTTTTAGTTTAACGAGATATCGATTTACTTATATTACATCACGTGCAGTAGTGAATTATTGACATCAACTGATTGGGTTAAACAACCTGGGAGACCTAATTTCACTGATTTGTATAACTGGATACGGTATACGGTATCCTCAGCATAGCACCAGCATAGTACACCTCTGTGATTTCTCACTGACACCTACTGATCTCTATATGTAACTCAATACGGCATGTGCTACAGGCAGTACAGGCTGTGGCACAGGGGTGGGGCTGTGATATTTCAAAATCGCCATCTTTCATCTTTGCAAAGAAACCATTTTGCCACCTGGCGAAGGATTTCAGTACTAAATTTTTCTAGTTCGCATGATGCTGTTTACTTTTTATACATATACAGTGGCCGCTCGTTTATTGCACATTTCGGGGCTGTAGCCACTGTAGAGAGTCAGAATTCCAGGAATTATACAATAAACGTGCGCCTTCCCCACCACTCGGCCGTTTAGTTGTGCGATCAGCTACATATAGGGTAGGCGCAGAAACTCCCCTCTACAAAAACTTGGGACTTTTACCGTAGCGCCACCAACCTTCTATCCTCCGCAATAGTACTAAAATTCGAGATATATATATGTATACACATGGCATATATATATATATATATAAGATGTCCTATACATATATACGACTTTGTATATATAGATATACTCCCTGAACAAAATTTAAATGAGAATAAAGTGAATGCTCGGAATCACAGATTTATGATTCATGTAATTTTCTATATGAGAAATTACACAAAAATATTAATAACAAATGGAATATAATTTATAGGGGAAGGACAAAAGGAAAATAAATGTAAGAATAATATAAAATTAAGATGATAAAGGTAAAAGAAGAAAACGGTAACGCAAAGCAAATCGTAGCAATAATCGTAACATGTTTCTCGTACGCCTATTCTTCGCAAGGCTTACAACGTACTGTCTTTCCTCGCAGAACAATACCGTTGCCGATTTTGAAATCAGGTGTTCATTGTCCTCACATAAGTACGCCCTCACACATTACACCACATTACACTCCTCGTCGGCTGTCGTGTGATGACACCAATCAAATCTTCTTACGATTTACGGGGGGAGACTCCTTTGGGCCCAGAAGTTCGAGGCCATCCGGGAATTCGGGGCATTCGGGGCTGTTCGGGGCTTTCCGAATCGATCGAAGCGCCGATCTAAACAAACCACAGAAAGTAATAACATTTTACGTAATTCTTTTCCATTACTGACTTCTAATATTTAAATAAATACATCCTTACCTCGAATATTAAAAACACCGCGCAGAGTTTCGCCTCTGTATTGCTCTGTATCTTACTCTGTGAACAACATAAACATATGTCTATGCCATAGACTCTATGGTGAACAACGTGCGCTACCCACTGATCCTTGGACCTGATCTATATACTATATCAGGTCCATGCACTGATCTATATACTATATAGATATAGTATATAGATCAGTGGCGCTATCCAAAATATATTCATAGATTGTAATGCTTACCAATCGCAGCGCGTACCCAGCGTTACCGCAGGACTCAGTCGGCAGACTCGTGCTCTAATTGGTTGGGGTTTTTCGTTAATATCTCGTTAACAAAGCCTCGGATAACATTGTTGCTAAGGGAAAACATGTTTCAAATCACCTCACGAGTCTCCCATTTCCGGTTCCTCCAAACTTTTTGTTACACCCTTACATGTATGGCCTCGTGTCTGCTTCACTGCTCCCAACTGTACATGTTTTTGACCATTCCTATTGCTTCTCTCTTGATTGGTCTATTTTGAAATTAAACCTTAGAAATGGCCGCCAAATACCGGTTTTCCGCGAAACAATATTTCTCAATCTTGTGAATATATTTATACGTGTCAAAGAGATACGCATGTATGATCACGGTCATGCATCCGTAAGAACAATTTATATTACACACATACAGTATATGAACATATTTTTATTCTTTACACATATTTTCATTGAGAGAATAAATACGTCAATTGCAGGGATTGCACTTTATGAAAGAGATCTACCTATTAGTTCCAGCAGCTCTGGTTCCAGAGATCTTCAATTTTAATGTCATCTTCGAGCGAAAAAGGACAAAATTTCAGGTTTACTCGTGAAACATTAGCTGGATAAAATGGAGAAGTATCAGCTAATGAGAACATTTATATCAGCGGTTGTAGAATATACTAAACATCCGAATGAAACAACCGCATCGGTGTTACAACGAAATCTTGGTGTAAGTTTTCTTAATTGATTTCCCATTGTCTGAGGTAATATAAATCTGTTAATATTTATACAACTATTGATATACAAACGTCATAGAAAATATAATTGGATGAGCTATAAGTAAAGACAGCTTGTAAGAAATATTTAGTTCATGTTGTTTAGAAAGATAGATAAAATTATTAAAAATATGAATTATCCATTTACAAGAAAGATATATTTTTAAAAGGTAATAAGCGTGTCATTGGATTCAAACATATTTGATCCTGGAACCAGTGTTGCTGCAGAGTTTTATGTTAGTTTACACGAGCTTATGGGTACTCTGGCATCCAGAACCACCTTGATTTGGAGTGCAGTTGATGTCTTACAAAATGCTTGTCGCAATGCTGCTGCCAGACAAGCTCTCATACATACTTACAAATTTGCACCCATATTGGCAAGACTGTTAGAGGTATTATACATTTTACACATATAATAATTTAGTGACAGACTTATTTAATTAAATGTGTATTTTCATCTAAAAATGTTGTAGGCTAATTTAACAAGTGAAAAAAGAATACGTGTATTAAAACTACTGCAAGAATTGACATATGGAATAAAAATTTCTTGGCAAGAAGCTCATTTACCTTATTTAATATCCATATTAACAGAATGGGTGACGCAGTCCAAAGAAGAAAACATTATTGCTCTTTCGTTGGGTGTATTAGTAAATCTTTGTTACAAAAATCTTCCAGCAGTGTATACTTTGATGAGAACGATCGACACAAAAGCTTTCATACGGACATTGCTAAAATTGCAACACTGTAGCGTTAACACCAGTGTACAGTGCTGTAAACTTTTAATTATATTAGAGCACACAAATACAAACATCTCAGAAAAGTATATTTTGGATTTTGCCACTGTTACATTCAGTAGTCTTATCACTGCAATGAAACAGAAGGATGTTTTGCTACTAAGACATATCATAGACTTTTTCGACGATGTTGGGCAAAATGAACATTCTCACTCTGTGTTACTTACATATCCACAGTGAGTTATTGAATGATTGTATGTTCTAGAACTTTGTGTGGAATACTAATTTATTTCTTTTTGTTGATCAGATATGGTAGAGACGTGGAAAGTGTATTGACTACATTAGAAGACAATGCAGATCCAGAATGTGTTACTCTTATAATGGAATTTCTGTCATCATTGGTAAAGTTAAAATTATCTGCCTTAGTACCTTTGTATCCTTTATGCGTAAAGACAGCTATGATGTGGGTTCCTGTAGAACAGGTGTGCCATAATTTTAAAAGATTATTTTCTTTATGCACTAGTACATAACACAGATAAACAGTGTTTTTCAAATTAGGTGTGTTCTAAAGCATTGACTTTGATAAGAGTCACCGTAATCGATGCACGACGTACTAAGACATCCTGTGAAGTGTTGGCAGAATTAGATGCTTCGGTTTTAATGCTAATCATAAATTCCGAAAACAATGATATTCAGGGTATGCAGGAATTGAGTTTGGAAACAGAAATGAGACTAGCAGAATTAATGCAACTATTCCAAGAAATGGTTAAAACTCCTGCACTCAGGACCAAAGTTATGCAGTCCTTAAAGGAACAGACAATATATAAATTATTAAGCCCAATGTTAGATTCTGAAACATGTACAGTTGGTGATTTTCCAGGAAAGTATATTCAGGTATTGTTTTCCTTTTTATGCGTAACGATAACATTTCTTGATGGATATATAAATTAATTCTCAAATGTTTCAGAACCCCATGACGAATCTCTGCATTCATGGGTTAGCTTTAACAGCTGATTTGGCAGCTAATAATTCCAACTGGTTAACGCTATACTCTGAGCTGCTTCGAAAAAGGCAGATACAAATGACCATGGCACATGCATTGTTTGCTGGCGATGCAGATGTTAAACAGAAAGTTTTACAGTTAACATCGACTGTAGGATTTCCTCAAGAATGGTGAGCTTCATCTCTATACATTCTAAGTATTCTTCAAAATGTAAACGCTATTATAATTACTGCATTTTTGCTACTAATGGGGATGGATCACAGCATTAATTTTCGTTCTAGATTCTTAAAAAAAGTGATGATTGAAATTGACAACTATGGTGCTGTGATCTCTTCTTTAGAACGAAATGTCCTTGGGGAACAAATTAGTTTAATTTTTGTCGATGATAACTTCAGACAAGTTCACTATCGCACGCAAATTGTATTCCATGTTTTTGTGTGACAAGTGTTTCTGCAGTGGCGCTTTGTATGAAGCAATTGGAACCTCTGATATTGGTACAGAGTACTCCTGGTGTGGTAGCCACTGTTGGAAGTCAAATGCCCATAAATTCGAATAACGAAATGGCCCCACTTTTTTCTTTTGCGCAAGAAGAACGACTCGATGCCTTTTTAGCAAAATTGAAAAGAGTTTACGAGTCGAACCAAATCGGCGACATCACCACGTCGGCAGTAATGGAATTATATGAATACAAGGTACAGCGGACTATATTTGTCCTTCGTTAATTTTATTTTTAAAATAAGATTAAGTTATAATGCTTGTTCGTCGCTTCCTTTATTTTAAATGCAAAATAGATTTTGTACTCATTCTCTTTTTATAGTTAGCAGCGATGAGACACGCAGAACGAGCCATGCAATCCAGTTTAGAAGCAGCGAACAATCATGGGATCAGTTTACAGCACAGACTTGCGCAAGTAGTAGCAGAGTCAAGTCGCCTACATCAAATGTTATTCGATACGCAGCAATGCTTAGAAGGAGTCAAGTCTACATTAACAGTGAAGCTTGCTGATGCAGAAGAGCAAAGTAAAAAAGCAGTAGCTATTAAGAAACAGGTTAATATATAGTAAAGTTAGTAATAGTGCAGACAAAGGTTTATTTGAAATTCTAATGCAATTTTCCTTACAGGAAATTGAAGGTTTGAAAAAGATAGTCACTGAAAAGTCTGCGAACATTGAACATCAAAACGTATTAATATCGCAATACAAGCATGAGCTGGAAAGCAGTATCAATAGAATGGAAGCATTGACTAAGAAAATAAAAGAACTTGAAGCGGAACGCACGAACGCGGATGCCAGAACCACGGAAATAGTTAATAAGAATCACGAGCTGAGTAAAGTTCTTCACAAAATGCAAGATCAACTTAACAAGAAGGATCAGGTATGTCTGCAGAAATAAAAATGTCATTACAACAGTTCTGTTAATGTATGTTTGATTTCTAATAGGTGATAGAATTAAAAGACACAGAAATACAATCGAATCAAAAAGATATTTCTGCACTTAAGCAAGAAACACAACAATTATCGCAATTAGTGCGCACCTACGAACAGGCTATTGCAGAAAGAGAGGAAAGTCTGAAGAAGATGAGAGGAGAATTGACGGATTTGAGCCGCATGAGAGACATGATCTTTGAGCTTACGGCCAAGAAAAAGGAAGACTTAAACGCAAGCTAACATCGTCTGCATATTATTTTTAAAATACAATTGAGTTTTGAATATTATCAAAGAAATTTGATGCAAATTTATTTCTCTAATTTTTAACAAAATTTACTAAAATACATTATGTTATATGTACGTGTCTGTACATTAAAGAACCATCAATATACGTGAAAACTGACACTTCCAAAAATAGTTACACTTCTCTTTTAATTAAATACTTTTTGTACGACTGCTTATGACAATCTATTTTTACAATTAAGTTACAGTTCCTCTGATCTTGATCAGAAGTAATTAATGCATGCTTTTAAAAAACACATAAAAGGAGTAGGTTCTGTGTAAGTAGAAGCATTTTTATCCTTCAATATATAATATTTTATTTTTTTCCTTCTTTCGTAAAAACAAAGTAACAACATTACTTGAACTACAAAATCACTATCCTGTACAAAGGATAACGATTTCATTGATGTCTAAAAATTGCTTTTATAAAAGTATTTATTATATTAACATAGTAATACTTTACTATAATTATTATACGTCTCTTTTATCGACATTTTCAATTTTCTACGAAGAAATTTGTATTACTAATTCTTTTTGTTTAAAATTTATGCACCATACTTTTGGTTGTTGTGTAAAATGTAAAGATAAAATTTACATTGTGCATAAAAGATATTTCGATCGCATAAGAAATATCTTTATCATCCTTTGTCGTCATAAGAACAAAAATATAATTCATTTCTACATTATATCTCTTTACCGTAAGCCATTCGTTTTTAAACGATCGCTTGTATGTGCATATAAAACTTCTGCATATAAACGAGAATATACATTTCTCAATGGTTCTTATACATAAATATAAAAATACTTGCAATAATTTGCACATCTTTGTAGCACGATTAAACTGAATTAAATTACGTCTTCTAGATTTAAGGTAATATTAATTTTTACTCCAATCTAACTTAAAAATGCATTAAGTATAAAAAAAATCAAACATTGTCAAAAATTATATTGTCATGTAAATAATTTTGTTGGAATGTCATATGCAAAGTATATGATCGATGCTTTGTCAACACAATAGCAAATACTGATGTGGAAACTAAATTTACAGTTATCCGTTAATCCAACAATCTTTCTGTACGTCAACAGAATAAATTTTATGTCAAGCTGAACTTCTTTCGTTTACAAGCATTGACTATCGTATTTAATTCGAACTTAAAAAGGAAAGTTTGTGCTCAACTGACCGAAACGGTCAGTGTATTATTAACGAATTAGAATGAACTATGCGCGACTCTGTCTGTCGATAAATTACTCCTCATGTTAAATATTTCGCGTCTAATAATGCTTTGTCATCAACTGCTACCTTTACTCCATGGTTGCTCCGAGGCAGATGCAAAGATCAAATAGAAGCAGTTAGTTGCCATGTTTATTCATATATTTACATTCAATCATGAGAAAGAATATACATTTAATTCTGTTTTTACATGATAGACACGTTCCCGATAAATCCGTGTAAAGAAAAAATGTGCAAAACAAAGATATAGTGCATACGAAAAAATTGATGATTCTCTTCAAATTATAAAAACCAGTGAAAATAATACGATAAATCAATTAAGAATTTTGTTTTAACTGAGAGCAATTTTCTACAAAATAAGTAGAAATATTTTTCCTCAAAATTAAAATTAAGTACAGAAAATTTTTAAAAAGTTAAGGGGTCTCCCTACTGTGACGGGTAAAAAAAAATCGATTTTTTCTTTTTAACATTTTCTCAAGGCTTAATATTTTAAAACCATAATCCCAAAAGGATTTCGCCAGATTCGAAATAATAAGGAAGTTATTAGCGCCACGACGTGCAGGTTCAAATCGAAACTTTACACGCGTTTTTCTCAAATCGACATTTTTGTAAATGGCTGCCGATATCTCAGAAACTATCTGACGGAGTGACTTATGTAGGCATGTTCAGTAGGTGCATAGTTCTCTCCCATACAAGAACGAAGTTGATATTTGCAAAATTCGAATTTTGCAACTTGAAAAACGAGCGATTTTTTTCGCAAAAATCGGCACTTTGTTGCAAAACTACGCCATTTTGTTATTTTTCAATATTTTTTATTCTATCTAGCAGGGGTGATAGCTACGATCATACAGATTAAGAATCTTTCTCAATTTTTGATTTCAGATTACGTAGACAGCTGATATAATGGAAGCCATGGAGGCACCTTTTTTTAGGCGGTCATGAAAAATTACAATAACTTTTAATGTGTATTACATTTTCAAATGAAAAAAATTAAGCTTATCCTATTAGTGTACACGAATTCAAGAAAAAAGTTCAACATCCATATATCTCATAATTTTTTCTAACAAAATTCCTGAATTTCACCTAATTTTTGACTCGTCACAATAAGGAGACCCCTTAAGTTATGTTAGTTCAAAACAATGTGCAATAAAAGAATTTAATTTCTTTTTTCTACAACGCGTTAATTAAAAATCGTATAAAAACAGAGGTGTAGGTTTAATTACGTTACTATACTAACGTGTCCTTGAACCAGTCTTCCAATAATGTAAGGTGCTAAAAATCCACAAGCATTCGCTGCAGCATTCGACAATCCATAAAGAGTTCCTGCATACCGTGGTGCTAAGGCAATATGATTCATTTGGTTCCCAGCAAAAACTGCACCTTGTAGCGATCCTAAGCCAGCCAGCATCATCATTACAGTCATACGATGACATCCGGCCCACACGGCGCCGATAAAACTAAGACTAGGTCCTAACGAAGCCACCGTATTCCATAACTTGAACGACGTTAAAGGAGATAAAAGCTGACGGGCAAGCAGGGCGTCCGCGAAACTTGAGATACCAAGTCCGACTAACCAAGAACTTAGATAAGGCAGTGCTGACAGAAATGCATCCTGTTGCACGTCGAAATGCAAAATTTTATCCATGTACGTTGGTAACTCGGTTAAAAGTGTATAAAATGCCCATGCCTGTCCGCATTGTGTTATCGTTATCGCCCACATAGGCAATGATGTGAAGACCGATAACCATGGAACTCCTGGATCGTTCTCCTATTTTTTTTTAATCATATAAATTGAATTAGATTTAGTTTAATAGAAAAAGTCGATATAGAACTTGTACGGTCAAATTATAAAATAAACCTCGTCTCTCTTTTCCACGCTAGCTTCGATGTAAGCTCTTTCCAGGGGATCGATTTTGGTATGTTGTGCTGGTGTGTCGAACACAAATATCAGCCAAAACGCGTACCACGCAATACCAAGTCCTCCGAATAAATAAAATGCAAGAGGCCATCCACCCCAAAGTTCTAACGAACACAACCATCCACTCATTGGTAACGATATAACAGTTCCAAAGTTTGCTCCTATATGACATACGATGAATATTTTAAATCGAATAACACAAAACATATTCAAAATAAGACAAGTAATTACCTGCATATACCACAGCAGCGAATTTACTTCTCTCTAAAGGTGGCACCCAATGTGCTAACATACTATGCATTGCTGGGAATGTTACACCCTATTCACAGAATAACAACAACTTGAATAAGTCTGTTTCAAAATTAATTCATTCTTTTTCTATGGAGACAAAATTTACCTCCGTGAATCCTTCAGCTATTCGCACAGCTAAAAATGGTACTAATCCTATATATGCTGCAAAAGGACTAATCACAGTTAATACTGCAGTCAAAAATACTCCTAATCCATAAATTAATTTTCCACCATATTTCTCCGCCATTCTGCCGCCCGGTACATTTGTAATTACATAGCCAAGGAAGAAAGCTCCCAATATAACACCTTGAGTTTTTTCGTCCCAATCAAACTCTCCTGCGCTCTAGTAGTTTAAGTATAATTAAAAAAACAAACATATTCATTTTTTAAAAATTAGGAACAATGTCGAAATGTGCTTTATAAATCATTCAACGAATACAAAGGAACAATAGGATACAGAAAAAGGATGTAGGCGTACTAGGCATGTTACATCAAGGCGCTTAGGTCATAGAGTGATAAATTTGCGTGAGTAATGCGCGTGATAATAAAGTCATAACTAATGTTGACATCGGAGATGTATCATCATTACACATGTTTAGTATGCTACAATACAAATTTTAACTTTAGTTAAATGTATTATTTTGGTAGGAAAAAATATTAAAATGTTTTATTAAGAGGTAAGCAAAAGTTTCCATCGCTCGCATGTAGATAGTATACTGATGATTTGGAAGAGTTGCAACAAGAATATTCGGATAACTCCATGTTAATCAGAATACCGTAAGTCGACGGTTACACTAGATTGAGAAGATTCACAAGAAAAAAAAATTGGGTTCCGTATTTCATCCATTTTATCTTTCGGTACTAAATTAGTATAAGCATAAATTCTTTTGTACCAAACTGTAATCGGAGACGAGAAATGAATCTACTACGACAATCCTAATCGCAGAAAGTCGTGGGTACATCGCAATGAACGCCGTACGTCACAGCACTGAAAATGAAATATTCCATGAACTAATGACCATTTGCAACTGAAACATATATCATTGGCTTCAGAATTCCAAGCTCTATTAATGTGTTAAACGTCATTAAAAAATCAGTGTTACAGTTGGCATCCTTCTTTGTCAGTGCCTTCAAACACTCATCGAAAATTTACTGTATTGTACATTCATGGTCCCAAGGTACTTTTGTGTATTTATTAGAATATGCATGGGGTTTTACATTATGAGCTACTACAACTAGGTCAGACTGTCACTGTAAACCTATACAGTTGACAATGAGATAGTTGAACGAGAAACTAATTGCAAAACATCTGTATTTCACGATAAAATGAAACAAAGGGATTCTGCTACACAATCATGTTAGGCCCCACGTTCAACTGGCGACTCATCAAATGTTAATGGAGCTGCAATAGTGAGTCCTATCACATCCTAGCATATATACTTTCCAGGTACCTAGCGCCAACAGATTTTCACTTATTTCGTTTCATGCAGCACAGTCTTTTTAGCAGGCAATTTGGAAATGTCAAACAAATTCGACAATTCGTCAATGATTTCATTCACTCTAAAAGTAAAGACTCCTCACAGTCTTCTATTTGAACGGTGGCAAAATGTGATAGATAGTGGCAAATAATATTTTGATTAAAAAATATTACACAATTTATAAATTATTAAGAAAGGCAGTCAATGTAAAAATGATGGAAACTTTTGCATACCCCAAAGAATTAAATGAGGTATTGAATACAAGAAAAAATACAGAAGACTTACCGGTATAAATGTTCCATTAATGGGCTTCAGTTCGTGGCAATCATCAGTAATGTTATCATCACTGTGTGGCACAGCTGTCTGATTAACCATCGATACAATAGCAACTGACAAATTTACTCTCATGGCATACACAAGAGCAAAACCTAGGAATCCTAGAAAACCTAGTGTATATCTTGCTTTTATGCATGATTTTGTATCTGATGGTGCATCTGGCAAGGAAACTAAAAAGAAAATTATATAATTGTAGATAGATAAATCTAACAGAGCTATGCTTATTGCAAACAAAACTGTATACTTTATGTTAAATGTTTATTCTACATTTTCAATTTGTTTTTTCACTATCCGTTTTTCCATTGTACCACAATTTATAGGATACCATATATGTTTTTATGTTTTATACCTTCAAGAAGGTAATACTGGTAAGTGAATGTAACTCTTTTAGTTGCAGTAAAACTCTAAGTTTTAGTTAATAGTTGTAATGATGCAGCTTCTTTCTACATTCAAATAACCATTGACATTGAATCAAAAAAGTAAAGACACTGAACTTAAGCATAATTTAGACAGTTTATATGATCCTAAATAAAGCTCAAAATTCTTTATGTTCTATGCTTGTTATCTTTTTTGTCCCAATGCCCAAAACATAAGTACTTTAGTTGTCATTCAATTTTGTAATCACATTGTCCTCCATAACAAGAATGAATTCTACATTTTAAGGTACATACATATCATTTAAAATTTAAGAGTTTCTGATCAGTCAAAAGTATACTTGCTATTCTTAAATACAACATGCACACAAAAAAAAAGGTCTGGAAAGTATGATATACTCATCAAGTACTTGACATCATCGTTCTTATCTGTGAGTGTCAATGATATTTTTATTTACACAAAGTCAAACTACCAAGCTATCAAAAATCTATGATTATTTTATGTTAACCTAATGCATCCTCTGATATCACGTTATATGATCTTTGATTCTTCCTCATTTTCAGCGTCTACTGTTGCAAATTTAATAACATCATCTATTGCGAAACTTGGTATTGCACTGTACGGATGACTAAAGACTCGGAATATAATCATAACGGACGTCCTTACAAACGAAATAACGATAAGAAAAGTCTTAGACTTCGAAATAACTTCAACAAATTGAATTCAGAGGAAACAACGCATCCGAAAATTGTGACAAGTGAGAGTACCATGGAGAGCTGGTGCGTCGCCCTGTCAGGCTTTTGTTTCCAAACAATGCCTTTCCACAGTTCACAGATAACAGTATTAAAAACGATGGAGAAATTAATGAAACAATATTTTCGCGGAAAAACAACGGAGATGAACAGAACATCTAACAATAAAAGACAGACCTTGTTCCAATGAGTCGTTGATGCATAGAGGCTGGTCATCTCTCGAGACACTAGGATCTAGTACTTCCATTTTACTTGTGCGTTATTTTACAGAAGTGTAACCGTTTCACGATAATTGCTTCGTTGCACAAGCATCGAAGTTATATTTTCATTCCATGTGAACTGTAGCCCATTCAATCGTGGTATTAACACAATGATACGAATCACTTAACTTTTCCGACGGAAATTTAATTTGAATTTTATCAGATGCACAATGTGCACAAACACCACCGTCGTCTGCTGTCATCAGCTGGAGCTGGCGCGAATTGCTACGCATTCACGTCTTCGAAACTATGAACACGACAATTCAAGCTCTACTTGTACACAGATTAGTGCGCAGGCGCGTTATTTTTTGCTGAACTTTCTACAATCAAATGACTATATGTCTGGACCCCAGAGTCAGAGTATATTAAAACCACTTATTAAGTAGTCTAGTTTTTAATATACGTACGTAATAATTTTAAAATGATTATTAAGTTCATATTTTTAAAACAGTATAAAGTTGATCACATAGAGGAGTTAATGCAAAGTTCACTTTTCTACATATAGAGACTTGTTTTAAATCCATTCACCAGTTCGAAGGTAGCGATTGTTTCTGGCTGAATTCTTACCGAACGGTTCCAAAGTTATATGGTTTTCGCACCTTTGATTTGCTCTCCTCTAAAGTTTGAAGACTGATATGTAACAAACATATCGATAAAATTTTCATGAGCTCAATGTCCATTATTGTACCATAGATTTTATAAATAGCTTTGAAATAACAATGCCTCTTTTTGTTCCAAAAAGGGCAGTTATAAAATATAGTCCGTTCATTGAAACTTTTATTCAATAAACTGTATATAAATAAATGAAGTTTTTATTTTTTCGAATGTAAACAAAAGATCCAGTTTCACAGAAACTTTTATTTTGCTTTAACAAAATCAAAATTGTACTGGATGGTAAAATAAATTTTTCATTAACGGGTCACACAAAATTGACACATTTAAATATACACGACAATAAAAAAATGTTTCGTGATTGCAGATCATACAGTGACGGTCTAAATGACCCATTGATAGTCGAAAACCACCCTTGAAATTTACTTATTATACAAAAAATGTTCTAGGTTTGTTATTTTACCTTGAACTTGCTATTATAATTTTTTCACATTCAAAGTTTTATTTCTATAAATTTTTTAACGAAATTTCACTGACACATTCTGTAAACTTCGTACTTACAATAAAGGGAAATTCCATTTGTTCCAATCCTGGTGACATAATGCCCCAAAAGGCATGACATTGCCATTCAGAACATCAATTCACAGGAATATAAAAAATTATAGATTAAATATTTTTCAGCATTATAAGGCATTTATTTTTATCTATATATTATATAATTTAACAACTATGTAAATATATTTACATCCTCTTATTGTCTATCTTGACTACTTTATTTTCCACTAATAACACTTCTTAATTAAATTGTTTTAATTTAATTCTTATCAATAATTTTTGGTGTCTAAAAATCTTCATAAATATTAGTAATTGTATACATATTACTAGCTGTATGAACAGCTACTGAGAGTAGTGTATAATTTTTTAATATTACAAGGTTTTATTGTTTCTAAATACAAGGCATTTAAAATCGCCTATAAGCATACTATTATTCTTGCGTTTTTTAATACAACGTATACATGAAGAAACTACACATGCGATTTAGTTATTTGCTTAGGTATTGTAAGTGTAATTGATTTGGGCATACATTACTTTTCACAAGACTTTAACAAAATAAACGGTACATTTCACCGAATCAGTTTTTATAATAATGACTTAAGTACCACGTTGATTTTATTTAAGATATTAAAAATAACAAATAATTATAAATAAGATTTAATTTTTAAAATATCGTTAAAATATGACACATAAGTACTTGATATAGTAATAAGAGTCAAGAAAAATACAATGCATAAAGTGGAATTGCAGACACTTTAATACCTTAAACCACAGTGCTTGAAAATCATAATATTTCAAACACGTATAAGTATTGTAATTAGCAAGATTCATCTTTTTCAAATCTCCAACACTCCTACACAACTGCTTCACTTGTAAGGCTTAATACTAAAAGAATGCTTGTTATTATTTCTTATCGAACTTTATGGAAAGTTGTTACGTTTTTTTCTTACAATGAAAACTGTCCCATTTACTTATAGTAGTTAAACTATATGAATATAAATAAATGTAATTTCTATATAACTCAAAAATGCAAAAGTTAATAACAAATTTGTCTGATTTTTAAAAATTTTTATTAAAAAATTTGTAATTTTTGAAAAGATTGCTATACTTTTACTGGAATACGTGGTACGTAAAATCTTTTAAAAAGTATACATATATATACAGAGTGTCCCTAAAATCGTGGTACAACTGGTTGGGTTGATGAACTAAATGATGAAAAAAAATAAGTAAAAGAAAATACATTTTCTTCGTTTTAAGTTTCGTTTTCGAGAAAATGGAATTTGAAAATTAATCCGAAACGCGTGTATTTGTCATGGTAATAAGTAGAAACGAAACGTCCTATTCAATCGCACGCGTATCCAGCAGATTTTTAAATCCGATTATCTCGAAAACGAAGCCTTGAATGAAAAAAATGTTGTTCTCTCCTTCGATTTATTTTTGCATATAAGATTCACCACCTGGTCGGTTGTACAAGATTTTAAGGACACCCTACATAATAGTGCTACGATTTTAAAAAATAAAAAAAGAAATTATTAAAATCTTGAATGTATTGAATCTTGAGTATTAGGTTAAAACACATTTCTCTTTTCGTTGCAAAAACGCATATACCTCCCATCCAATTCGACATAAACGACTATTTGATTTTAATTTTAAAAACTACACATATGTAACATTGTTATCTAAAGATGATTATTATGCACTCAACACAGTTATATTTAAGTTCTTACTAAGCGCTGTCAACGTCTAAATAATAATTACATTTATCAACAATAATTACACTAATTTTTAGTTTATGGTTGACATAAAATATTTAATAGTAACATATTTAAGATGCTGTGTGTAGATTTAGATACAGTATAATGAAAGGAACGTCATACCATGACAATAAAGATCAATATGTACTGAATATTCTTTGGTGATTAAAATAAATAACTGTTTAAAATGATTAAAATAATGATTGATTATATGAAGTAATTAAAAATACTTACAAATACGTTAGTCTACAAATACAACGTTAAATTCCAACAACGAAACGATTGCTGTAACATTCCGAATGATCACAGGAAGTATAGTAAAGATACTACTTAACTATTTCACTACTCAATTCAGTAACAATTGACAGTTATACATCCTTAATTGCTAGACTGAAGATCTTTAAACAGGAGTAAAAAGTAGTACCGTAGAAACAAAATAATTACATACTCATAAACATACAATCATTGGCAAAATACTTTTAGAACCATTGTGTCATCGACGAATGGAAAATTGGAGAATTTGTACTGATATACAAAAATTCCCGATTCATCAAAATTACAGTACATTTACACAATTTTGGAAATTTAAGAAAAAATTCTACAAACGCCCTACCACATTGGGAATTAAATTTCATTGTGAAATTAAAATTCTGCACAAATGCTACCAGAGCATTGACTATGGCATACTGTGTTACATTTACATATAACATTTTTTCTGCTAAAAATCGTTTAATGAGTTCAATGTATCCCAGTTACCATCCTGTAGTAGAGGGAATGCAAGAACCCACTGTAAAATCTTTATACTGAGAGAAAACACAGATCTGAAAAGCATTTGAAATGAGACAAGGAAATTTAGAACAGAATCATTTACACTAACCTTGTCCTTTAACCGCTGACAAAGCTGCAATGCTATGGTGAGCAATACCAGAGCATCATTTAACCAAGGTACACTGCATTCTGCCTGCTGAGTCTCATACTTGACGCTACCATGTGCATTCTCTAACTGATACACTGCCAGAACTAGCTTGTAACTTTGTATATAAAAACTTATAGCCAAATTTTCAGGGAGATTTGGATTCAAAGATTTCTGCAAATAAATACAATATTCAAAATTAATTCTCGTAATCATATAGGGTGCGTGATGCGGCGTACTCGCGATTTTCTATTACTCGTTGGTAAATTAAGCCCTTGCCCTACGATTTTCTTGACGTCTGCAGACTCCAGGATTACATTGTTGTCGATAGTTTCCCAGAAACGAAAGGAATTCTGTACTTATCGCAACTGTATTTTTACCGTAAAAGTTAAATATTAATGCCGACAACGTGGCATTTTACTTTGACTCAAAGAAAACCGAATAACATTCTTCTTTGCTGAATCGATTTTGAAATTGTCAACACGAGTTTGACTCTATGTTACAGGGCAAGAAGTTAGTACCGCGGAGCTCGTTGGTAAGATGGTGTGATGGTGTGTAGTGATATGTGATTTAAATGGCTTGACACAACTTAGTAACACAATTAGACTTTAATATAAACTTAACAATGTACATATGTGAATGTGTGTACCGGTTGTGTTCTGACTGATCGATGTATTCTTCTTGACGGTTGAATGTGTTCACGTGAATAAATGAATGTATAGACGCTTGCTGGAACGGATCGACTCGTGATTTATGGAAAATGCAAAATTATTGTTGGTGTAGGTGGCTCAAGAGATGGTAGTATAAGTTGGAAGAAATGGAGTTTGGTGTATGTATTGTTTCTTGGATTCCTCGATGTCAGCGTCAAAATATAATGAGAATTGGTCTTGAGGATCGCGAGTGCTTTGCACGCGATGTGCAGCTGTCCAGGAATCTCCGTTTATGACGGTTTGATGACCGTATCGACGGACCAAAACGCGACAAGCGTTGCGACCATCGTCTACCTGCTTTGCGGACAAGAAGTGATTCCTGGTGTAAAAATGAATCAAAAGAGTAGAATAAAAGTTTTTTATGCGAGGCTTAGTTTTTGAGAAAATCAATTTTGAAAATACGTTGTGTATACAGGGTGTTTGCGATAATTTGTACCATCGTCTTTTCCCTAAACGGTAAACATTAGAAAAAAACCGAAAAACAGGAAGTCGTAGTATATTTTACTAGTAATATGATAGCGTATCTAAAGTTTTTGTATTTTTAATATTTTTCTAGAAACAAAAGTGAGCTTAATTTTTTTAAATGGAATGCTACATATTTTTTTACATTATATGAAAGCGGGTATCAAGACGAGTTCAACCATGTAGTATACTATGGTCTTCAGGGAATACATTGATATGATCCCAGCTTTGGGTGCCTATAAGGGATTTTGAAATTCGATTATTTCGGAAACTAAGCCTTGGATGAACAAATTTTCTTCTGTACTTTTGCTGTATTTTTGCATAAAGAATCACCTCCTGCCTGCTTGTACCATCTCTTGAGCCACTTATTGTATGTTTATCAATGACTATATACATCTACTTACCATATTACGACTTTTAATGAGATCATCGATAGTTTTCTTCCTAGGAACAATTAAGCTTGTACGACTACGTTGAAGGCAACCCAGTATATTTCCTAATATGTGCATAACTTCATCTGATGTTTTAAAAGGATAATGACGATCAACATTGTCTATGTGAGCAATAGCTTGCTGCAAGTGATTTGCAGCATCCTGTATTTGTTGCAGTTTCCATGGATGCTCATTTTGTATGCTTGTTCTCATATTAATATTTTGTTGACGTTGAACTTTAAAATTAACTTCCTAAGAAGATTTTTCTCTTAGTCGACTGTATAACTATAGACTAAGTAAATTATTAATACTTACCGCATTTGTTATACTATCACCAGTCAAAACAGCTACACACTTAACTTGGTCATGAGGAGCAGCAAATACAAATCTATCTGTTTTATTATGTTGTTCATTACCAAACAGAGCTAATGGAAATCTTTGTGCACAGTCCTACAGTATAACATATAATGCAATTATATGTTTAATTTATTATTAGTACCACAAAAGATTATGTTCTTTCAACATACCATTAAAATATTCCTTAGGTGTGATAAGGAAGAATGAACTTCTTCATGAAGCACCCATTCAAACTCCATTTGCTGGAACAATTTTACAATTAAATTTCAATCGCTTTAAGCTTCAGAAATACATTTCTTAATTTAAGTCGTTGGTGTTTCATTGGCTCGGTCTCATAAATTATTTGACTAATTCCAAACTTACTGACAGAGAAATTCCAAACAATAACTGAGCTCATCTTCCCATTGCGAAGTACGCACAAAAGTCACTTACGAATTTTTAAAACACGGGTTCATTAAATTTCTGACGTAAATAAATACAAACATGATAATAAACAAAATAAAAATCTATCAAAGACAACATAACCAAGAAGAAGTTGTCTGACAAAATGAGCGGGTGTAAGTTGATTAGTTAAACGATAGATAAGGTACACTATCATCGTGTACAGCGAAATGACGAGGTCGCCTAAGTGATTAGATAAACGGTAGGCAAAAGCAAATAGCTTACGAGATTGTGAGCCTCCTCCTTCTCGCTGTCGGCCATTTTTTCGCTCCGGGTGCTGCCTCCACTTGCTTCGTTAGTTACACGGGTTACACGATACTGTACTTTATTTTAAACAGCTCCTGTTCCCCAATTCTCGCGTTTTTTCTTATTAGATATCTCATCTATCACTCATTCCACAATTGAACATTGCCGTCGTTTCAAGCCGAAAGATAAATCCCATCATCTTTTCTGGTGCGAATTTCTTCGATCTTAAACAGATAATCGTTATCATACTCAAGATATTGTATATAATTATATATGTATATACTAACATCTGTGCGGATTGGTAAAGTAATTCAGTTGGCACAAACAAGTGAGAATGTTCTAACACAAATCTGTAAGTTAGAAAAATAATACTTATAGATTATAGATCTTGAATTAAGTTCTGAATTTCTGTGAAATTTAATGGCATACGAAACATTTAATATTGCGTACCGTTATTAAAGTAACATGGTTACTTTGTAATACAGTTAAATATTAAGTTTATCCTTCGCACCGTATGTTCTTACAATTGTACATCATATTATTAACGAACATTTTTTTATATAACTAAGATACTAACGAATTTGTTGAATAATTACATAAATGTATGCTATAACTATTTTAATGATACACAGAAACGCTATAGTCATTCCAAAGTGGGGCGTACTATCTTCACAAGTAAGACCAACAGGTTGCATACAATCGGGGGACTGGTTATTTTAGAATCAAGTTGTAATTTACTTTTACTGAAAACATGAGCTTGAAGTTATATTACGATTTATTATCACAGCCATCTAGAGTTTTGTATATATTTGTAAAAACATGCAATATACCATTTGAGAAAAAAATAATAAATTTGGGAAAAATGGAACAGCACAATCCAGACTATGAGAAAGTCAATCCATTTAAAAAAGTTCCTGCAATTGAACACAATGGTTTTAACATAATTGAAAGGTATACTTTATGTATTAAAAGTTTTTAATAAAACGAAAGGAAGATAAAAAATATTCATTTTGTAGTGTTGCAATTTTGAGATACCTCTGTAGAGAATTTAATGTGGCTGATCATTGGTATCCAAAAGATTCAAAGGCTCAAATAAAAGTTGATGAATATCTTGAATGGCAACACTTGAATACCAGGCTCCACTGTGGCTCATACTTTCATCAGAAGGTACAAAAAATATTTCAGTACAAGTTTAAGTCAGACATTTCGATCGTATTATGTACATTCAATTAATATACTATTTATACAAATGCATTTGTATTTTAGTACTTAATACCCAGAATAACGGGTGAACCAATAACTAAAGACATAATGGACTATGAAAATAGGATGATCGACTGTCTTAATCTTTTAGAGAATGTATGGTTAAAAAATAAACCTTTTCTGGCTGGTTCTGATATCTCTATTGCTGATCTTGTTGGATCATGTGAAGTGGAACAAGTCCGTAAGTAATTGTGCAATGTTGAATGAAGTTTTCTCTAATTCTGTACGTACTAAAACACAATAGGAACTTGACTTATGTGTAGGATTAGCTGGATATAATCCGCATGAAGGAAGACCCCACTTAACTGCTTGGATGAACAGAGTTGCGGATAAGACAAATCCTTATTACCAAGAAGCTCATGTCTTTATAGAAAAGCTTTCAAACATGATAAAAGAAGACACACCAAGAAGTAAAATATAACACTTGCAAAACTTATATCAGATTGATGATACAAATGTTGATTAATAATGCAAATGATCTTGAATCACTAAGCAGGATCAGGGTGGTAACTAGACAGATACATGACTTTATTTTTACAAAAATGTTCAAATACTATTTTACAATGTCCTTATCACAAGTTTTATATGCAGATTTACATAAATGTATATAATGATATTATTTTTTGTACAAAATAATTACATAAATATATAAGAATTTTAGATAATTAAATTCCGATCATTCATTGTCTCTTATTAGTAGTAGTTCTTAATTTGCTATATCACTATATTATATTTGGTTTGCTGTGCAGTATTTGGTGGTGTTGTTGTTGGATGAATGTGAACAGGTAAATCCCAAATCATTGTTTCAACGTCCAAAGTCAGTGGTCCTTGCCAATTAATAGTACTTTCATTAGGGATATCTATTAGCTTAGAAGTAGTGACAAACTCAAAATGTAATCTCCACTGTAGTGTCATTAAATCAGTGGTGAAATCTGGTGTTACGTGTAAAGGTATAGGGAGAACTAAATGGGAGTACTTTAAACCCATGCACATCTCATGATGTTTGTTATAACTGACTAATGTTGGAACCGCAGTTTTTCCTCGCCTGTACGCTTCTGAAATATGTTCTTCCGATTGCAATGCAACCGAGACCTGTGCACACGACACTGTAGCATTTGCAAAATCGAATGTGCCAACTATGTCTTCTCCAAGTTTATAAGAATTTTTGAAGAGGCAGAACCGTACAACACGTCCGCGTCCATTCGTGATGTTGTAAAAATTTGGACTACGTCTAGCAGTCAAATTCTATACACATGCAAAACAAAAACAATAATTAATATTGTATGCGCCAGGTTACGAGAGATTTTTTATTCAAGACAAACCTGGAGAGTTTGCAGTGCAACATCTAAAGGAGTTTCCCTGTGTTGTGTTTCCATGAATGGGTTATTTGGACTTAAATCGACACTGTCATTGCACGCAGTTACTTCAGGCAGTTCTGTTAAATTGTAATATTGACGTTATATTAATACACTATTGGTCAGAGATTTTCTGCGCAGCTACTGTGTATGACTGGCGACTCTTTGTGCAGACTGCTGCCAGCGAAAGTTTGTATTTCAAAAATAGATACACCTTTTTAAAAAAATTGATGCAGTAAAAAAATATATACATACTGATTTAAAAGTTATATTCCTCATCTCATTCTGAATAATTTAAATTACATTTTAATCAAGATATGTTTTCTTGTTTTGGGAGAACTAATATCACTATCACTTGAATATACATCCGTGTCACTATTATCAACATTGTCATTAACTTGTCATATACCTAATAGTGTCCACATACATATATTCATTATCATTTTCTATTACAGAGAAACTGTTACAAAAGTATTATACACTTATAATTGTGCATAATATTAAAACAAAGTTTTTTAGTTTATATTAGCATTCATGTTTATGAAAATTTCAGTATAGACTAATCAGTGAGAGAACATCTACATCAGTGAGTTTGAAACATCTATTTGTAGACGACTGACTGATAGTGTGTTAAAAATAGAATTATTACAAAATTTATGAAAGAATCTTACCACTTAAAGAAAGTACCCTGAATGGAACTCGTAGTAACTTTATAGCTGTATTAACTCGTTGTGTTCCAACTGTAATTTTATATGAATATTTCACTGCATGTCCTCTGTAAGATGGAGGTGCATCACTTGGAATTGTTTCTCGATATATATCTATAAAACTTAAATATATAATTTCTATATTTTATATAATAGATATATGCTTCATGTAGGGACTTACATGTTTTACTTTCACCTGGTGACAACCTTAAGTCACAAAACAAAATCTTGGGCTTGGTGTTAAGTACAACATGACCATTGTCTTGCTGCCATGGTGCGAATGTTGTGTCTACAACATAATTCTTATGAAAGACAAATCAAGTAATTGTAAAGTAATATTGTTATCCACAGAAAGTAATGTAGAAAGTTTTTCCAATCTTACTTGCATTAATAGCTCCTAATAGAGCTGTGGTGTTCAGTTTTTCTGAAAGCACAAGTTTACTATTCGTAGAACACTGACAGTGAACTTGCGCACTGGCCCATGCCAGACTTTCAAAGATATCACTAAAATCATTTTGTAATTTATATGCGAAAATTCAACCTTTCACGGAATAAATTAATCACATATTGATACACGAACCTGTGACTCTGAGATATTTGATGACTTGGATTCAGTGGATTACTGAATGTAACTAAACATTCTATAATTTCTCCGGAAAAGTATACAGGACCCCTAATCAACTTCGCCGTTATCTCAATCATGATTTTTGTTACAATTTTTCCTTTACAATCTTACTAATTAGAAAATTATTTTCATTTCTTGATTACGTTTCACAGTTGACGTGGTGACGTTTCGAAGTTTTCGAAGCATAGGACTAGACATATATAATAGACTGCGCAGTCTTATGGTAAGGATGAAGTCGGCACTAGAAAGAGATGACTTACTGGAGTAGCTTTGCTCTCTTCCTAATGGGGCTGTTGGTGGGGCATTCTCCTACGGCTGTGGGAGGCATCATATCACTGATCTATATACTATATCTATATATCTACACTAGTGTATAATATAATATGTATAGATCAGTGCGCTTCACTCATAGCACATATAATAGACTGCGCGGTTTTATGGTAGGGATGAAGCGAGACCGAAGGACAAAAGTAGTGATGGAGTCATTCCTCTCTCGCTCGTACATTGCAGAGAGTGGGGTGAAAGCGACTGGAGGGCGATGACATAACATAGCATATACAGGGTGTAACAAAAATATTGTCCGACCCGGAAATGGGGCATTCGGGGGGTGAATTGAAACAAGTTTTTCCTTAGCAATAATGTAATCCGAGGCTTCGTTACCGAGATATTAACGAAAAACTCCGACCAATCAGAGCGCGAGTTTTTCGTTAATATCTTGTTAACAAAGCCTCAGAAAACATTTTTGCTACGGAAAAACTTGTTTCAAATCACATCACAAATCTCCCATTTCAGGGTACTCCAACATTTTTGTTACACATTATATTAATATTTTCAAGTATTCACTATTTTTCAAAACACTTGGTCACACATCATTTATATTCAAAGAATTTGTTAAAGTGGCTCTAAGAAATATAATGGGTTTAACAATAGACAATCATTTTCATTCTGTATTTCCTGAACTAAAAGGGAATAAAAAGACTACAAAACAATAAAATGTTCATCAAAATATAAAGTAGGAACCTAAATTTCTGTCTTCCTATCATACCATTAAAATCTACGTATAATTGAATTCCAAACAATCAAATATAATGTATTGTCACTTTTATTACTTCTATATTTCGAGTTACTAACAATTTTGATTTATACTAAAGACTAATATCAATTGTATTATGGAAAACAGAGTAATGTCCATTCTTGATCAAATAACTGGTCTAAAGCAACGAATAAAAAAAAGTCTGGACCTAATTGGATTGGCAATCGATCCGAACAAGAAAAGTAGACTCTTGTCTGGTCACCCAGGTATTACCAAGGTATTGTTTAATAATATAAACAAACGATAAGAATTTTTGGTTGAGTTACCGATCTTTCGAATAAGTGTACTTACAGTACATTAATATACTAAAAGTAATTTGTGTTATTAAATTTCCGAATAACAAATGAATATCGATTATTTTCATTCAATTTTTTATTTATACAATTTCGTTTTTCTGTATAACTCTTCCACACGCAATGTTACGCACACATACACTCGAAAGCAATAAAAACATTAAATCCAATTTTTTTTCGACATTTTCCAGATTTTATTTACTTATATAAGATCAAGTTACAATACAATGTAAATGAAATAATTGTTTCTTACGAGACTGAGCGCTAGACGAAAATTCTTCTGTTATTTACTGAACAATGGCGGACGAAATATGCATTAAGAAACAAGTCGTTCGTGATGTAGCTTCTATACACGCAAAGGAAGTATCGAAAGACATTTAATATTCCACGGGAGACATGATAAATACAAATCCTTAATCTGAATGCTCAATTTTCGAATACACTCCTACAATTTCCACCAATTAAAATGTCAGTCAGAGATATGAATAACGAGGCTAAAAGTAACAAATTATACGGGGCGAATCGAGAATATATGTATAATCCTCGAAAATATTCAAGTAATTAGAATGATTATTAATCTGTTATCATGAAATGGTGCCTCTGTTAGTCATCCTCGAATACGCTAACTAAAACATGTTGTCTATGGGGAAAGAAAATTCGCTAGAATTTAATATACAGCTAAATATCTCGGTGCATCCCCGGTTTAAGATTAAAATAAAATTACGTACTGATATAGTTAATGCTAAATCTTACTGTACATTGTACAAGTTGCACGTACACTCACTTAAAATAAAAAAGAAAATGTTCCGTCGCCTATTACAATTCGTATCAAATCTACAGAACTGGATTCAACGTAGACTCCATAATGTTTCAGTTGTCGGGACCAACTTGATATCCCATCGACTTACAACCTGATCGGTAATAGTAGTTCCATACTATAATCACGTTGTAACATCCTCGCGGAATTTCATATAGTTTAACTATATAATAACAATTGTGTACATGGGTAATGGTTCGATTTGAGATAGCTGGTTAAACGTGCCTTACCTATTATCTCGTTTATTCTATAAAATCACATATGACTCTCAGTTGTCATCGGCGTCATCATCATCATCGGATATATACTTTTTCGTAACCCTTTTCCTTCGGCCTCCTCGACCTTCACCCTTTCGTCCCTTCAATTTAATTTTCATTCTAACGCTGGAATCAGCGTCAGATCCTTCTTCACCCTCACCTGAACAGAATAGTTCGTTACAGTATATTAGTATACTATATCTAGTAATTCACAGGGAAAGTGTTTTAAAGTATTAATAAATAAACTATGCTAAAAAACCAATGATAGATCTTAAAGATCAGTGACAAAAGCGATCGCAATTACTAATTCTCTAAATAATATTTTCATATGGAATTACAATATGTTATAATAATAAGTACCTTTGTCATCCATATCGGAATTATTACCCTCCTCTTCAATACGTTGACGAGCATTCGTGAAAACAGACTGCAGGACGATAGAATCTTCATGTATCAGAGAAGCCTCCTCATTATAAATCTGTGCATTTTTGCATAATTGCATAAAGTCTTTCTCAAGGTCATCAAAGTCGGCATACTGGAAATATAAATTAGTTTGCATTAAAGCAATGTTACAGAAAAGAATATTAGATTAACATATTATTCTTACTTTTCCTTCTTCGATTTTCTGCAGCAATTTATTGATGGTCAATGGTTTCTTAATGATTTCATAGTAATCTGGCAACTCCCTTCTTGACGGTAATTTCATAAATGGCTCGCTGAGCAGCCTACCATCCGTGCTATCTGTGTAATTGACTACCACCATAAGCAATTTCTTCATAGCTCGTTTCATTTTTGGGTCGATCGAAGAACCAGCACCCCTCCGTTTCTTTGGTACAGGCTCGTCGTCTTCTTCGCCCTTCTTTTTCCGTTTCCGTGTTTTTTTCTTCTTCTTATCATCTTCCTCTTCCTCCTCGTAGTCCGCTCCATCGTCATCGATTGCCTTTAGCCATTCCTTCTCGGTTAAGCTATCAGTATAATCTACTTCCTTTCGTTGCCTGGAACCACGCCCAAGGAATCTTTCCTCGTCCTCTTCGTAGGTCCATCTCTCGACCTCATCATCATCTTTCACTAACCAGTCGGGCAATTCTGCTTCTTCTAACAATCGAGACTTTCTATTAGGGCCTAACTTCGCCTCTTCCCGTCTTCGTTCCAAATCCAATTTCTGGAATGTCTCAAATTCACCCTCTGTTCGAGCGATCATTTGGTTCACCGTTTCATCGTCTGGCACTTCGTTCTCTTCTTCATCTTCAGCATCGTCTTGATGCAAAATACTCTGCAAGAATTGTTGACGCTCCGAACCGGTGGACTTCTGATCGAACATACCTGCCTGGATAACTTTTTCGTCCATGTTCAGCTTGTATCTGGCCGCAGCTAAGATCCTCTCTTCGACAGAGTTCACTGTCATCAGCCTGAGCACGCGCACTTCGTTCTTCTGACCGATCCGGTGCGCTCTGTCCTGAGCTTGCAAGTCCTGATGGGGATTCCAATCAGAGTCGAAGATGATCACAGTGTCAGCTGCTTGAAGATTTAATCCTAAGCCACCGGCACGAGTAGACAACAGAAACAAGAAATATTCAGAGCCAGGATCGTTGAATTTCTTCAACAAGTCTCCTCTATCTTCTGCCTTTGTTGTTCCATCCAATCTCAAGTACATGAATCCTCTCCAACTTAGGTAATCCTCCATGATCGTCATTAGCTGTGTCATCTGACAGAACAGTAGTACTCTGTGATTGGTTGCTTTCAATTTAGGAAGAATGCGATCCAACAGTTCAAATTTGCCAGATGCACGGAACAAGTCAGGTCCTTGGATCACTCCAGATCCTTGGGTTCCAACGTGTTCACAGTACTTTTCTTCGATGGCTTGGAACATAAACGGATGGTTACACAGCTTTCTGAGTTGTACGATAGTGTTCATCAGGGCTTTAGCACCACCCTTGCCTTGTTTTCCTTTCTCTGAACCGTCGGTCAACAGAACGCCCTTACTCTGCATGTGCTTGTAAAGAACCTTCTGTAATCCAGACATATCGCACTTGATAATGTATTCTACCTTGTCAGGCAACTGAGACTCGACTTCTTTCTTCAAACGTCTCAATAGGAAAGGACGCAACACTTTGTGTAATCGACGGATAATAAGAATGGTTTCTTCCTCATTCAGTTCGACTTTTTCACCAGTAGTTGCGAATGGAGCATTGAACCACTGCTCGAATGTGCTGCAAGACTTGAAGATCGATGGGAGCAAGAAATTCAACAATGCCCACAACTCGGGTAATTTATTCTGTAACGGTGTTCCTGTCAGAAGAAGTCGGTGGGGAGCCAAGTAATGCGTATTCAAGACTTGCGTTAGTTTGCAGTGGTGATTTTTCATTCTGTGACCCTCGTCGATGATCATATACTTCCATTGTAATTTCGCCAGGACCCCCTTGTCTTTGATTACATATTCGTACGTAGTAAGCAAGACGTTGAATTTAGTGGCTCTCATCTGAGATTGAATAGCTCTTCTACCGGCTGGTGAGCCTTTGTAGGACACGACAACAACACTGGGAGCCCATTTTTCGAACTCCAGTACCCAGTTCGACAACGTAGACAACGGTACGATTATAAGGAACGGTCCGTTAACCTTCTTCTTCTCCATAAGGTAAGTTACTAAAGCTATTGTCTGAATCGTTTTACCGAGACCCATTTCATCGGCGAGTATGCCATTAAGATTATTATTAAATAACGAAACTAACCACTCCAAACCCTTTATCTGATATTCTTTCAACTTTCCGTTGACCATGATAGATGCCTGTTCAGTTACCACTTCGTGAACAGTATGAGCAATACTGTAATAAGTCTGTTCCTCGGTTTTATATTCATCGTCTTCTACTTTGGCTTTGTGTATCGTTTTCTTAACTTTTTCTTCTTCAGAATCACCAGAAGACTTCTCTTTGCTTTCGGACTTGTCTTCACTGTCACCGTTATCATCGTCGTCGTCATCATCATCGTCTTCACTTTCTGATTCAATTGGTTCCCAACCTGGATGAGATTCTAAGAACGACTGAAGCTGGCTCATTAATGGCGCGTCTTCGCCGGTTAATGTACGACCAGTTGATATTTCTATCACTCCAACTCGAGCATCCTCGTTACTGCTACCATCTTCCCCACCCTCTCCATCTTGCAACTTCTTCTTTTTTTGCTAAGTAATTGTAGGAGATCGCATTTAAAATTATAATGTACGAATTAGGAAAGAGTAAATAATACATTAGGCGTTTCAAATGCGTAATGTTATTACTAGACTGCAGATTTTTATGCAGAGTGACATTTTCTAAAGTAATTTTCGACGACAACAGCAAAGGTAGGAATTTATCTCTTCTGTTAAATATCTTATTGGGTTCAGAATAAAGTAGAAAACACATTGCATCTGACGAACGTCTTTTTTCTTTGGTATTACGCAAAGCCCTATTGGCTATGAATGCATAAAATCCGCAGTCTAGTTATTACGAAGAACATAACGAAGTTATTCATAAAATACCGTAAAAGTTTCTAAATACATCTTGAGAGGAGACTGTACATAAAATATAAGGTATTGGTGGTAAACGGCTGAGTGAAATCCGTTATTCTAATGAAAATATTCTTTAAGAACAGTAAAAAATAATGCCTATGTATTACGAAAAACTTTATTTATCACACATACCTTTTTGCGTTTCTGTTCCTCCACCTGCTTCCTCTTCTGTTCAATCTTATGTTGCTTCACCATTTCAGTCAAATTGCTGATATATTCATCCGTCTGGGACAACAGGAAGGCCAACCGTTTGTCCTTTTTCTGATCGATCAACTTTCTGTAACCTTCTTCGTCCTCTGCCATAAGACGTCGCATACGTTCCTTTTCAATGCGCTCTTGTTCTTTCTTTTGTTCACGTTCTGCGTTTGCATGATAATTTAAGACAGCTTTGTTCAGCCTCGCCAATTTAGCCACATTATTTCGATGGAATTCTTTGAAGTCTTTGCCATGTTGAAGCACAGAGCTGAGGAATTCCTTAAAAAAATAAAGAAGGTTTATATAGTTTCTATATGTATTAATCCAATGAAAAAAAATAATAATAAGCGTAATTACTTGATGTTTCTGTCTGCGTTTACGTTCTGCCTCCAACTTCTGTTGCTTCTCAAGTTTCTCTGTGGCTCTAGCTTCTCGAAGACCTTGTTTCTTCGTACGTTTGTAGGCTTTTACATTCACTGCAGTTTCTAACGTAGTGTCCTTTCTCGTGCATGCTAAAATCTGAAGATGAAATTGACCAGAAGTTATGGTTGGAATTTGTATATAGGTATTCACCATAAATGCAACATTTGACAGTTACCTCTGAACGTAACTGTCTCTGGAAATTTAATACTCTAAGCATTCGTAGTTCAATTTGTGCCTGGATGCGAAGATCTTCTGGCATGTTGGTGGGTAAATTGCTGAGTTGCTCCATACGTAGTGCTATTCGTGATGCCACTCTGTAGAAGTATAATGCACAAATCAGTCTTCAGCTTTTTAATTCATAAAAAAAATTGTCATTTTCCTCAGATTTTCAATGTCAATAACTCGAGGTGTAATAAGTACTCCACGTCTTAACATACTATCGTCCGGTCATTTAAAAATAGATATTACAGACTCATAGACGTTCTTTTTCGTAAGTACGGATTCGACGTAAACTTTTTGAATTTAATATCAATATTATGCACAATTATAAATCTATAATAATAATTTTGTAAGATTTCCTTAAACTGGAAAGTGATGATGAGATTATCTATGTCGACAATTTATCAGATATATCGGTAGTTAGTTATAAGAATGTTTATTCTAGTGATAGTGATGTTATAAAACATATACCTCGATTAGAATTGAGTTCACATGATGCAGAAAGAGATGATAATGATGAAAGTGTCGAGGAAGATGTGGACGTATGAATAGAAATTGATGATGCACCTTTACAGTCGTTTCTTGGTAAATCTGAAGTAAATACTATTTCGAACCTGTTTTCGCGTTCTTGTAGTATCAGTAATGGATCTAAACCGGCCGGTTTCGCCACACTTGTCACCCTATTGGTCTTGGCACCAGGTTGGGGTAGTGGTTGTTGCTGTGGTGTCTGACAACCTGGCCTTGGAGGTACTGCGGGACCAATTACGTTGGGTCCAGGGATTTGTGGTCCTGGGGTAGTCGGAGTTCCTTGAGATGGATCTATAGGGGGACGTTGTGCCATACCTGGAGGAGGAGGTGCTCCACCTATTTACATTAATCTTACATCAAACCCCCAGCGCGGATCATCCTACTCTACTTTTGTACTTTCACAACAAAATCAAAATTCAAAGACAGTTTTCTGAAAATAAAATTCCAAGTGTATCTAACTAGAAACTGGAAAACTATACTCATACCAGTCATCACATAATGCCATCCAAATGATTAACCCAACTCTCTACTGTACAAGGAAGCGAGAATTCATTACATTAATAAAAATCAAGTCAGAACCAACAAATAAAAGTATGGATCAGTAAGCAATGAATGTTGGCAGAATAAGAAGCGATACAAAAGAAAGAGTAGTCACCTACAACACAATTTTAATGTATTAAAATTATTAGCTTACTTTGAAGAGCGAGTGTTAATTGTGGTGTGAGCGGCTGATTCCTCGCTAATAATCGATACGCCATGATCTGTACCCTGTAAAAAAATTCTATATAAAATATCAATCGACAGATATATAGTTATAAATTAAGTGGTACATTGCTTTACATAACATACCGCAGCTGTTGTAACTGTTGGGAACTGAAGGCTTGTTTTTCACCCATACTACCTTGACGAGCCTTTAAAGCAAGCAACTGAGAGTAACGTGGATCTTCCTGAAGTCCTCTTTCTTCCATTGAATCAATAGCTTTTTGTAAAGCATTCAGGTTTTCCTGGCCAGGTCCAGGTGGGCCTCCAGGCCCAGGAGGACCGACTTGTCCAGGTCCCGTTTGACTCATCTGATTTACGGGTGTACCAGGTCCCATCGGTACTGCACCTCCAGGTCCCATTGGTTGATTTTGAGATCCAGGCCCCATTTGACCAGAGGACGCTTGACCACTTGGACCATTAGGTCCCATTTGATTATTCCCGCCATGGCCCAATTGATTTGGCCCATTCGGCCCTATCTGATTGCCAGGCCCTACGGGACCCATCTGATTTCCAGGACCACCAGGTGTCATTTGTCCTCCTGGACTGCTTGGAATCATCTGTCCACCAGGACCACTAGGTCCCATCTGCCCGCCAGGTCCCATTTGTCCACTAGGGCCGCTTCCTGGGCCCATTTGGCCACCAGGACCGCTTCCTGGACCCATTTGTGCACCAGGCCCACTTCCTGGTGGCATTTGGCTCCCAGGAGGATTTCCTGGTCCCATTTGACTTCCACTACCTCCTCCCGGTCCGATTTGTCCCCCAGGGCCATTTCCTGCGCCCATTTGTCCTCCAGGTCCAGTTCCTGATCCCATTTGTCCACTAGGACCATTACCAGGACCCATGGGTCCTGCAGGTCCATTGCCTGGAGGTATTTGTCCTCCAGGACCACTACCTGGCCCCATCTGTCCAAGGCCATTCGGCCCTAATTGTCCCCCAGGTCCACTTCCCGGTCCCATTTGACCACCTGGTCCTCCAGGCCCCATCTGACTTCCAGGGCCACCGGGCCCCATTTGACCACCCGGTCCTCCAGGCCCCATCTGACTTCCAGGGCCACCAGGCCCCATCTGACTTCCAGGGCCGCCAGGCCCCATTTGACCACCCGGTCCTCCAGGCCCCATCTGGCTTCCAGGACCGCCAGGCCCCATTTGACCACCCGGTCCTCCAGGTCCCATTTGGCTTCCAGGACCACCAGGCCCCATCTGACTTCCAGGACCGCCAGGCCCCATTTGACTTCCAGGACCGCCAGGCCCCATCTGACTTCCAGGACCGCCAGGCCCCATTTGACTTCCAGGACCGCCAGGCCCCATCTGATTTCCAGGACCGCCAGGCCCCATCTGACTTCCAGGACCGCCAGGCCCCATCTGGCTTCCAGGACCGCCAGGCCCCATCTGACTTCCAGGACCGCCAGGCCCCATTTGACTTCCAGGACCCCCAGGCCCCATCTGACTTCCAGGACCGCCAGACCCCATTCCCATCTGTGACGATGGACCGCCTATGGTCATTTGTCCTGGCCCGTTTGGACCCATCTGTGAAGGACCATTATGTCCCATTTGTCCTGTAAGACCAGCGGGGCCCATAGATGTAGGACCCATTGGCGACTGATTACTTGGCACCATTTGATTTGGACCTCCTGGTGGCATGTTGTGTGCATTAGGTCCACTAGGTGGCATCTGACCCGGACCTCCGGGCCCCATGTGACTTCCGGGTCCACTGGCACCCATGTGTCCGGATCCTGGTGGACCACTGGCATTCATGTGACTTGGAATAGGCGGTCCACTATTAAGGTGACCTCCTGGTCCTGGGGGACCACTGGCGTTCATATGACTTGCACCTGGCGGTCCGCTGGTTCCCATGTGTCCAGATCCTGGAGGGCCACTCGTATTTACGTGTCCTGATCCTGGGGGCCCATTTGTGTTCATGTGACCTGACCCAGGAGGGCCGCTTGAACTCATATGTCCTTGTCCAGTAGGACCAGTTGCATTTATATGGCCTGGCCCCGGGGCTGCACTCATGTGACCTGCTCCTCCCGGTATCATTTGCGAAGGAGGACCTCCAGGACCCATTTGTGGACCTGATACAGGCCCACCTCCTGGACCCATTTGCCCTGGTCCTTGACTCATATGAGGTCCTCCAGGCGGTCCTCCGCTTCCCTGTGACATATGACTCGGTCCAATGGGTCCGGGACCACCTGGACCCATTTGACCAGAACCACCTGGCCCCATTTGACCAGGGCCACCTGGACCCATCTGGCCAGGACCACCCGAGGTCATTTGTCCTGGTCCAGTCGAGCCCATTTGATTTGGACTAGACTGCATCATGTGGGATGTTCCTTGAGGTCCATTTGGGCCCATCTGTCCGGGTACCATGGGTCCTCCTGGGCCTTGTTGGGTACTAGCGTTCTGGCTGCTTGAACCGCCAGGTCCTGCCTGATTCTGCAATATCGAAAAAAAAACCACGGTGTCAGATTATTTTTTTTTTAAATTGCGTTTTATGGGTGATTATTGATTTGTACGGAAAAAGTATCTTTATCTAATCCAGGCTAAAGGTAAAAGATGGGGAATCAATTTATTGCTCTTAATCTTTCATAGACCCGACTATAATAAAATAATAAAACGTGACGAATAAACTTAACGATCCACGTTGCGTTACCAATTCAAGCGAACACGCTTTCTGAACGTTTCTTTTACGTATAAATTAACTGTACCACTACGTGAGACGAGAATGTGTTTGAAAACACTACAATTATCCAATTGCGACTCAGCCCAAGAAAATCCTTTGTGACGCATGATCGTGCGTATCGTGGCCGATAATGGTCAGTACACTTTCGATTAAGCGTAATATGACGCACTGTGACAGATTATTTCAGTCCTCGGTCGCATAGATAAAAATCATTTGGCCTGCACGTGGACCAGGTGTACCGCGAACTGCATATTCGCGGTTGAGAAGTGAAACTTCTTCACTTCATTTATCATTTTCGCGATGATCAGGAGACAAGAATTATGTTTGTACTTCTCATAAAAATTAAATCATTCTGGAATTAATATGTTAGGTTGTTCAGAAAGTTCGTAGTGCTTTTATGGCCAGAATTAAAATTTATATTTTTCAACTCATATCATATTTTTATTTACTACCTATTTTTTTTAAAATTCTTTTCCATTTTTCCAATTTTACACAACTTCGATTGTTTTGGATAAAAGAAACTCTGCAACCTGCTTCTATTTCGATGGATTTTGTTTTCGAAGTATTTTCTTGATATAGAATGTTTTAGAGATCTAAAGGAATAATAATCTTATGGGGCAAAGCTATAAGATGTTCCAGCTGAAGTAGTACCATTCTTTTACAAGTTCGATAGAGTGTAATGCAAATGAATTTTATGTTTGTTTGTACATTTGAGTGGTACTTTTAACAAACACATTCAATTCATACCTGAAATATAGTATCTGTTCACCATATTCAACGATTTTTCCAGCGTTCAAGAAAAAGGTAACAATGACACTATGCTCGAAACGTTACAATCTTTTTGAACCACCCGATATTTTTTTGCTAGTAGGCATTTTGAAAATTGTTTTACAAATCTCAATAAGAGATAAAATACTCTCATGTCATCTTTCATGTTCATTGTAATATAAAATAACTTATTGACAACAAAAACGTTCACTTACAAGACGAAGATATTTTGGAACAACAACAAGCAAGGGCTTAAGGTGGTTCGTTCCAAATTCGAAAGACTAGATCATTAAATGAAATTCATACAGATTGTGTATCAGAACGAAATACACACACAACAAACATTTGAGACTCGGTCGTCGATCAAATAAATAAGAAAAAGCTTGTTTTCAACGCAGCTCTTATGGCAGTCTTACCATTTCTTACCGGAAATATAATCTTTTCTATTCACAAAAATTAGAAGTGGTAACTAAAAACTAGGTACTGAAAGTATAAATCCTTTCTGATAATGAAGTAAATCTTGTACCATGCCGAACATACCAGGAAGATATTTGACAATAAAGTCCAGGATATGTAGGTTATTGGATGGTTATTGGGACTATGAGGACTTGGCAACGTTGCTGAAGTAGGGTCATACCCGCGAAATACAAATACATTTAAAAAATATTTTACTTATTTTGTGTTTTAGTGAATTTTAAATTTTTAAATTATAATTCACGAGAACATAATTAACTTTATATATAAGAATATTGAATATTGACTACGCGGGAAAACTGAACACGCACCGCGTATGTAGATATGCGTGCAAAAACAATGTTGCCAAACGTACCAGAAACGAGCACAATGGAGTCATACGACTAACCCAAATATATTTTTTATTTACAATATAATGATAAATGATCAATGGAAATGTCGTTGAAATTCGTAGATGTAATTTTTATACATTATTAAAATGTATTAGCGGGTGTTTAATACCAATTATTAATATGATGCTTTATTGACTAGGGAGTCAGGTACGAACCACCTTAAAACAGAATCGTAAGGAAATACAAAATCGCAGTCTAACATTGAACCCACATAAAAAGTAAATTGGTCTTTTTTTGGGAGATTCTGAATGATAATTCAATAGACAACGATTTTCAGTTTAATACCAAAATGAAGCTTGGTAAAACGAAAACAAAAATATGGAAAATTTAATGCGGTCAATTTTTTGCCACGATTAATTTTCAAATATGCCTATAATGTTTGCGATCGATCATATTTTAGTCCAGAGATCCTAACTATTATAATCACACTTTAAAAAGTGACGGTATAAGAGTTAATATCTATGTGTGAATGATTTTGGTTACGAATAACCATTATAAATGATAAAAATTTTTGTTGGTTACCAATAACTATTATTGATGACAGGAATTTTTTTTGGTTACGTGGCAACCAGTATCCATGATGAAAGTTTTATTTTGGTTACTTTCGACCATTGTCAATTTTTATTAACGTTATTTTCACTAACGTATCTATATTTTGAGTTAAAATATATAAATTCTATCATTCACTTTGCGTCATTGATAGATACGTCAATAAAAATAACGTTAATAAAAATTGTCGATAGTCGAAAGTAACCAAAAATAGAAGTCTCGTCATGTATATTGGTTACCGCGCAACCAAAAAAAATTCCCGTCATCGGTAATTGTTATTGGTAACCAATAGAAATTGTGATCATTTATAATAGTTATCCGTAACCAGAAGAGTTAAAAATCCATGCTTTTTAATCACGTCATTTTTTTGAAAAATGTCTTCGAGATTTATTAATATCTGGTTTTCGTTTAAATAAAAATTACTTTTTGCTCAATGATTTTTCTCCAAAAAATATTTCAAATAACTGTTATTTTTCGTTTTTGTATTTTACCATTTGCTAAAATTTCACCCTTTCCGACGAATTTTCACGAGCACGCGTCGCATGCTGAACCAGTACTATTACGCGTAATCAGTTACTGATAATTCAACAGGAAGATTCATTGGCAATGTCATGTGGTCGAGGACTTCCTAGTGGGGGTTGACAATCGGGAAATAAGAGCAGAGCCCGGCAAGTTGAGACAATAGAGCCGTAAACGCTGGTCTACTAACAGCATTCAATATGATCAGCAACGAAGACCTCGACTACTGCTACGATTTTGTTCTGAAGCTGACCATCGAATCAGGAAAGGTACATTGTTTTATCCATCAACAAACATTTTTCTCCGCTAACTCTTACATTTTTCATTTATTTTATAAATGTTTTTTAAAGAATTTTATAAATGTTCGAAGTTAGTGTAGAATAATTAGGATAGTTTGTATTCAATTTCAAAGTTATTATCTCGATTCACGCACATCTTTCACGTGATTAATTACGCGATTATTATGTGTGCGTTCATAAATCAGGTGTGGAACCTCAGTCAGTCGTTTTCTGCATAATATTTTAGACGCACGTTTAAATTCCGAAGAAAGAACAAAATGTTTGTGTCGGTGTTTGAACACTTTATCTTGTGAATTCGTGCACTTTGCTCTGCATCTAAAGCGTGGACCTTCAGTGTGTTCCAGTGTCTTCCCGTGTTAAAAATTTCATTATCTATTGATTTTTATGCGTTTTTGTATTGCAATGCTTATGTTGTATTACATTATGTCTCCATCTATAACGGCAGATCTACGTTATACTGATTGTCATTAGTCTTTAATTGTGTCCAGTAGATGTTCATGATCTAAAAATGGAACGATTTCATTGACACATTTCTACTTTGTTCAAATAGCGTTAAACATTTCGAAAATAATCTTAAATTTAAAGTTTAGGAACAAGACACTTCTTAAAGTCGTTATATATTTTAATATGTGATACTAGAGTATTATTCCAAGTTGAAATAAAGAAAATAAGGGAGAGTGGGGTAATTACGAACACGTAAGCAAACAAAACAAACATAACGAAAGTTGAGTGATAAACGAATTTGTTTATTACTTATAATTATATTATACTCAACCTATTCATCTACAAACTACAATATCGAATTTTGGAAAAATTATTATAAAAATCAACTGTTTAGTCAAACAACGAAACACTGCACATGGTTATCACGAACAGAGTGCTAATAAAAAACTTAACTATTACTATTATTAAAAACGAAATTTTAACTATTATTTATTTATATCAAACAAAAAATGATCCGATTCGCCTCGGTGTACCCTAAATCGCACAGAAAGTCTCTGGATGTGCTTTTACCACAGCTGCATTTTTCATTTTCCCATAAGTTACATTTGTAACACATGATCCAATCTTCAGTAGCCCCCATCCAGTTTATTCGCCAATACCCCACGACGTCAACAAATAAGAGAAAAATTAATTTAGAGGTTAAAATCAGTTCACAGACAACGCGTCGGTTATAAAACGTTGTTTAATATGTGCTTATTTTAACTTGAATAAATCGGAAATTCTATCATTAATGCATCAGTAACTACATGCAATTGTAAATAGACAAAATGTTACTTGAAAAACGATGAAAATAATAAATTTTGTGGTAATTATTCGGAATAGGTTCATTCTCACCGATTTCAATGACCTTGAAATATGTTGTCAAGGTCATCGTTCTGAATAACTTTTCCTTATACATGTTACCGCCGTTTGGCTTTAGTTTCCGAGATATTCGCAAAAATATATTCGATACTGTATACTGTATTTTGTTCTGTATGGGTAATTATGTAGAAAAAGGGCAACTTCGTGTATGACCTTGACCTTGAGTATGTTGTCAAGGTCAACGTTCTGGGTGACCTTGACCTTGAAAAAATTGGCAGTATGCAATACTTAAGAGAAGATATATATTTGAAAGAAGGGGTTTGGGTTAAGTTAAGTTTCTATCTGTTTTTCGGATATTTACAAAAAACTTTCGTTAAACTTAGATTTATGACTGGTAGTATGTATTGATCAGAGTTGATTAAAGACACACCCCCAGTGTTAATCACATTCACCAACATCCCACCAAACACAAGTTTAGTTATTAATATCTACAAAAACAGGAAAGAAGTTTCTTCATCGGGTCCCAGAGCACATCGTGTGTGTGTCTTGTGTTTGGTGGGATGTTGGGTGCGTGGATAACACTGGGTGGTGTGTGCTGGGATGTTCGGTGAGTGGTACAATAATTAATTAACAAATAAAAACTTGAAAAAGTATCATGTAAATTGAAACATATTTTCTTGAGTATCTCGGAAATTGTGGCCGAGCGGCGGTAATATGTATAAGGAAAAGTTGTTCAGTATGATGACCTTGACAACATATTTCAAGGTCATTTAAATCAGTGAGGATAGACCTATTCCGAATAATTACCAAATTTGTTTATTTTGAACGGCTTGCGCGGTCTCTGATTATTACTTTCTTCCTAGCACTGAATACAAGCTAAACTGTCAGTTAGTGGAGGCAGAAGTGATACTATTTACAAAGTATACAAACTAATCGAGAAATATATAGCGTAATTATTGTCAGTAATATTCTCTATTTCTTAAACAAGAGTATCAACTTTTGGTTAAATTAATTCCAGTACGTAGGTTAACCAATAATTATGAAATCAGTTTAAAATTACCTCTACTTTCCGAACACATAATTTCCTAGAAAATTCTTTTGAAACATAAAAAACTTCTAGGATCAATTACATCAACATTTTTCCAGATAATTCGTGATGCCATTCAGGGCTCAAAGAAAATCGAAACCAAAGCTGGAGATTGGGATCTGGTGACGCAGTACGACAAAAAAATGGAGGAGTTTTTGATAAACAGTATTGCGAAAGAATTCCCAAAACATAAGTATACAAATTATACTAAATGACATCATTAAGTGTACCAATGAATAATTGAATCTTCACTTAATAAAATAGTGACACACTTTGAATTCGATACACATTACCCAAAACAGTTAATCCATACTGCAGCAGCTGTACCTATCAAAATATATAAAAAAAAAACTAGGTGATAGGATCGTATAGCAAAACAATATTAATTTATCTGTAGCACTTATTTCATTTCGTTTGCTGGGTTGAGGCAACAGACTCGGCCTACGGTGGCGATATTCTAACTATTTTGAACAACACATTTTCCCTCCATTTTGTTTTATAAAAATGATACAGAATATTCGAAAACAATCATGAAAATCATAAGGAGTCATGAGCGTAGCTAAAGGTGGGCAGGGAGGGAGGCGCACTTGCCGCCCCTGGACGGAAAAAAGTGGTTTTTGCCACCCTACAAGAAAAAAAATTAGATTTTGCTCCCCCCCCACCCCTTCCCAGAGTTACAAAATTTTTGCCTAATATGTATTTAATATTGCAGTATAATTTGAAAAACGACTAACAGCCTCTATTAACAGAACACATACATTTTCAAGGATTCATGACTTTAAAAACAAAATAAATTGTCTGGTTATGTATGGCTTTTTTCACTGTGGCAGTAGATGTGTTATATTTGCCCCCCCCCCCCATAACCAGGCTACGCCCATGTTAAGAGTGCATGTGCTGTTGCCTTTCTTCGAAAGAAACGTTGAAGTTAGTAAAAAGTAGCAAATTATTCATTGGTATACCTAGTGATAATTATGACACATTGAAAATAAAAATGAAATTTATATAAATTCTAGGTTTATCGGCGAAGAAACAGTCTCCTCCACAAACTCACTGCCCGAACTAACGGACGAGCCAACGTGGATCATCGATCCGATTGACGGGACCACGAACTTCGTTCATTCTTTCCCTTTCACCTGTGTATCGATCGGGTTGTCGGTAAAAAAGGAACTAGAAATCGGTATTGTTTACAATCCCATTTTGGAGCAATTGTTCACGGCTAGGAGGGGGCGTGGAGCTTCTCTGAACGGGAAACCTATCCACGCTTCTAAAGTAGAGAGTAAGTTCCTTGCAGAAGCTTCTTGTACGCACAAACTTCTTCGTAGCTTTTCTACGATTTTGCGAAACTATTACAGTGGGTAAAAAAAGTATTCGTACACCTTTAAAACAGAACAACTCTTCCAAAATTAGACCACGTGACTTGAGTCTCTTTGTGAACTTAGAAGGATCAGTTTACTAAATGATGTGTTAAAAAAGTTTTGAAAAATTTTCGACTTTTCAGAATGTCGAAGAAAATAGTAAATGTCGGTTTTTACAACTTTTTTTGTTTGAGACTGTAATGAAAATTTAATAAATACATTTCGAAAATGTATGTCAGTTATATACATGCTGCAACTTTGATTGAAATCGATTAATGCAGAAACGAGTAACAGGCATCGAAAAATGTAAGAATCTTTAGATATACTACAGTTGTAGGTCAAAAGCCGAAAAAACTGCGATTTTCAACATTTTTAACCGTGTGTATCTCATAACAATGTTCACCGATTTCGACGAAATTTTCAGCATGCATGTAACTAACATAAATATAAGCAATGTATTCATTAAATTTTCATTACAATCTCGGATAAAAAGGTCGCACAAAGCGACCTTTGCTATTTTCTTCGCTATTCCGACCAATTGAAACTTTTTCAACATTTTGTTAACACATCATTTTGTACACTAATACTTCTGACATCACAAAGAAACTCAAGTCACTTGGTCTAATTTTGAAAGGGTTGTTCTGTTGTAAAGGGTGTACAAATATTTTTTTGACCCACTGTAATTATAGTAATACACCTAGATAACATTATTAACTATGTACAATGACTTTAAACGTAGTGTTTTGTATGTTTATTATGACCGCAATGCAACAATATTTATAAATACTGTATAAGATGAGAAATTAATAACTTTATGGTTATTTATATGTTTACGTACAAATTTTTGATTAATTATATAAAAATAATGTAATAAATAGATAAAAAATATTGTTGCGTCTTAGTTTCTCCTCGGGTTTCATTTTATTTATTAGAAAAATTTCTAAAAGTTTGAAAGTAATATAATTCCTGTATAATTGTATAACATCCAGCATTCTTTATGTTGAATTTTCCGGACGATCACACTCGACCCTCGGGGAGAAATTTACAAAAAAGAAACTTGTGTATAATTTTCCATCTTATAAAAATGATTTGTCAATGTAAACAAATAGTATTCAAATAAGCCAAACTTCCATAGTTTCCAAGATTAAAATTCATAAGTACTCCTGTTGCACGAAAATCGGCAAAAATTGCAAACTTCACGGACTGTTTTTTTTTAAAACAAATATGATACCAGCAAAATTATGACTTTATCCCCCCTCTCTGCAACTTTCCTATTCTATCCCAATATTATTGCATTGCGATCATAAGAAATCTACGGAACACTACGCTTGAAACCATTGTAAATAGTGTAATGTACGGAATAATTAATGTGATCTAGGCCCACTAGTATAATTATTATTTATAGTTAATGTAATAGTAATTAGTATTATTAGTAGGGTCACCGTTACCAGATCGAGAGAAAAAAGGGTGTGTGGAAATTCTCCTGGCAACGCTAAGTAAGGGACACACGGATTTTATTTATGATCTCCGTTGACCCGACATTCGGCAGTAGACGGCCTTTTATAGTCCTGCCCAGTTGATAAACCCGTTCTGTATACAAGGTGTAACAAAAATGTTGGAGAACTCGGAAATGGGAGACTCCTGAGGTGACTTGAAACAAGTTTTTCCTTAGCAAAAATGTTATCTGAGGCTTCGTTAACGAGATATTAACGAGAAACCCCGACCAATCAGAGCGCAAGTCTGCCGGCCGAGCTCCCGCGGTAGCATTAGTTACGAGCTGCGATTGGTAGCCAGCGCTATCGCGGGAGGTCGGCTGGCAGACTCGCGCCGTGATTGGTCGGGGTTTTTCGTTAATATCTCGTTAACGAAGCCTCGGATAACATTTTTGTTAAAGAAAAACTTGTTTCAAATCACATCACGAGTCTCCCATTTCAGGGTTCTCCAACATTTTTGTTACACCCTGTAAAGTGAGGTTTTACAATGGTTTGTTACTAAAATGAAACGATTGAAAAATCGTAGTCGCTATGGTGACTAACTCCATTTCTCAAATGCTTTTTCATATTTTAAAGCAAAAGCACTTGATCGGTGCTGAACTTTTTTATACTGCAAATAAATTTTAACTATACAATCTCCAGAGTTGTCACCTTGTCAAACGAAACGGTTCACATGTTGAATATCTAACATTTACTAGATTTACTCCCACTAATTCTTAGACTTTTGATTTTTCAAAAAAGTAATCACTGCCGTTCTTTTCAATGAATGAACCCTTTTCAGAATTGGAGCACTCGTTGCTGTGCCTCGAGGCATCGTACGCAACGATTGAGAGTATCAGAGACACCGTTCTCGGAAGAATGGAGGCATTCGTCTCGGTTGCTCACGGTATCCGGACAATGGGATCAGCGGCATTGACTCTTTGTTACGTGGCAATGGGTGCAGCGGAAGCTTATCATACTGACAATCTAATGGCTTGGGACGTCGCCGCCGGTGTACTTATCATCAGGGAGGCTGGCGGTGTAGTAATTGATACGAACGGTCCGTATATACTATTTCATACAAGATATGTATTTAACAAGTTATTTTCAGATTTGTGAAAGATAATTACAGTATCCTTTCTCTCAACCCCTTTCGTTGGCAGGCCCAGCAAGAAGGAGAAATTGACACATTCTTCGGATTTAATTTTAAAATACATACAAAATTCGTTAGGTCTCACGTATATAGGGTTAGTCACAAGGAACAGAACACCTAAATATTTTTGCTGGTATTGAAGCAGGGCCTTAAACCGGTATCATTTTGATACTGGTATTATGCCATCAAAGCTATTTCGAAACCAATGAATTACCGAAAACCGAAATAAATACCGGTATTTTTTCGGTTTTTATAAGCGTAAGGCTTATACATATACGGCGAAAGTACAACCTAAAATACCGGTATTTTACGTTTCGGTAGACGTCCCCGGATTGGAGATAGAGGAATATGTCAGAGACAAAAGTTGTACTGTTCAATGGGGCAAAGATGGTGGTGTGTAAGCAAACTTTTTGTTGGGTGTTATTTAAACGTCAACAATGTTTTTATTTTTGCAGTTTTAACTTTCTAGCGTTGTGGCTGATATCAAGACGAGTTCAGTAGCATTTCCTAATATAGGCATGTCCATACTATAACCTTGAAACGACCTTGAATTCAAAATCTGGGTTCGATCAACAGAAACATTAACGTGTGTAAGTTCGGTCTCTGAAGTTATCAGGCTTCATTCGTGGTGACAATATGTGTGCCGTCTATTTGAAATCTGAATTGATTGAACATTTGAAATTAAATTAAATTAAATTGAAATTAAATACAAAAAAATATTTGAATTTAAACGACTTTAAACGACTTATAATTGTACCTAAGTAAAATAATTTTCTATATTGATATTTACGTTGGTCAAACGTAGATTTCTGGATCCATGGTTATTTCAAGGTCATAATATATGTACTAGGTCATTGAACTCACAAGGTCATCAAACTACACAATACCATTTACGAAAACATCGATTACCTTCAAATGACTTTGAAAATAACATCAAATAAGAAGTTCGTTTACACCACTAACTTTGCACCCTTGAACAATAGGTTTTTTGTCGGATCAACCGGCCATTCGTTTATCCAGTCAGGGGTCCAGTTCCATAAGAATATCCATTCAGAAGAATTTCTGAATTGCTTGATATTTGTATTTGAATTTTTTTAAACAGATGTGTATTTAAACATTCTTCGAAATTATTTCACATTTCCTACTAGCCACAGTAAAACGTGTTGAATAAAAAGAAAAGATACGAATCATTTCTTTGCACACGCATTAAGTCGAAAATTCTATTACGTAAGAACTATTGTCCGAAAATTTAGAATCATCCGAATCATTCCCCTACTTGCAGTAGAACCGGTACTGCAAAATAGAAATATTAAATCTTTCGCAGCCAGTTTACAAGCTCAGTGAATGTAAATGTTTAACCATCATTTCATGATAGTAACGTATTACCGTATCAGATACACCATTTGTGTAATTGTATAATCATCGGCGTGGCCTTACCTATTTACTTGATGGTATAATTTGTCATCATTAATTCGTTGAAACTAATCTCTAACACGAAGGTCACAGGGGTTGTTTAATATATTTATTTAGAATTAGAACCGAGTTCTTTCTTTAATATTAATGTTAGTACACCCAAATTGGACTGATTGAAAGTGTTCCGATTCATTTAAACAGCACTTTAACCATAACACAATAATTATGAAGTTTTTTTTGGAAAATATATTAAAACATTTTATTAAACAAATATATTAAAGTAAGTGATCATTTGAACGTGTTAGGGATGCTTTAGTCTTTGTTACCATTGCAGAGTAAAAATTGGTTAATTGTTTTTACAGAATAATGAAGGTTAGAGTTATCTAAATTAAAATGAATTGTAACAGACTGCATTCTGATCTGTTTATGAAAACCGTGCAAAATAATAGTGTAACATTAATGATAATCGGCCTTCCAATCGCTTCCAATTTGCATCCAATCTAATACACGGTGTCCATAAAGTCTATCTATTTTATAGAAATTGTTGAGAAAATAAGAAAACTCTAAGGGCATGTTAAAACGTACAACTGAAACAATTTCTTGAAACCATTTAAATTACGTAAAAAATATTTCTCGTACGATAAAAGATAGAAAGATATTTAGGTGGCCTATTTTAAACGGAACACCCTGTATTTTTTTGTTATTTCCCAAGATGATTGGAAACTTTCTTCAATACCTGTAGAACACTTCCAACAATTAATATTCAATTTTCTCATTCTGTACTTGGTAAATAGAGAATAATTTTAGATTTCTGAAATACTTTTAACTTCCACCTCTTCGAGACCTCAATGTTAAAAGTAAAGGTATAAAATGCTGACTTACATTCTTTTGAGTTAAATTATAAAAGAAGGAATTCAATAAAATTCAATTACTTTAATGGATGGTTTTACAATGTTAAGTTTCATTCTTGTATGACTTAAATTTTGAGTTAGTTCTAAATTAATTGGCTTATTTGAATCAGAATTAAATTTTGAATTAATTCTAAATCAATTGGCACATTTGAATCAGAATTAAATGTTGAGTTAATTCTAGAACAATTGGCAGACTCGAATCAGAATTAAATTTTGAGTTAATTTTTATTATATTTTACTTTGTTGTATCTACTATAAAACTATGTATACAACCAGAGTTCATTCTGTTTCCATTTCAATTATTAGACTACTAATATTTTTATTATTAAACAGCGTTAACGGTGCCGTTTACTGGTCAGTAAATATTAAACGATCTGAAATAAGAACAAAATTAACAAATTTTATGATTGACGAGATAAATTTTGTTTACTCTGATTTTCAGGGAATAATTATTAAAAACGCATATGTGTATAACATCCGCAGTAGAATTATTGGTTACAGAAAGCATTGTTATTTCGTACGAATTTAAAGAATAAAAGAGTATGTATTGATGAAATAAACGTTCTGTTTCAGGTGGAGAGTTTAATGTGATGTCACCGAAGGTAGTTGCAGCTGGTAATCATAAGCTGGCTATTGAACTGGTGAAGCTGATAAAGAAAGCTGATTTCACAACGTTGCAAAAGAAGCTGTTACACTAAGCAACTAGGAGACAAAACTCATTTAGACTAAATTATTACTTATGCAGTAGAGATAACATTAAATTAAAAACTTCAGTAATAAAAGCTTCTCCTAAAGAAATCTAATCTTAGTGTTAGGTAAGTGCCGGACGGGTTCTTATTAACGTTAACAGTGTTAATCACTGACATCGATAGTTAACAATAGACGGTGTTATCAGTTGCATAAGCGATGTGCAAACCTGTGAATCATGAACAAAAGTTCCCTGACAATAATGCACTCTTTGTTTACTCATTTCATTCTACCAACCTCGAATCCTAATTAACAATACGGCGGCTTCAATACATAGATACCTCGAAGAAATTCTTTTTTATTCTATCGTTTATACAGTGACAGAAACATCCTCCTCAAAAGAGTGAAACTTTCAGTATATTAGATACTACTCAAATAATTCAACTGCCACAATTTGAGCTAAGAAAATTACTTTTTCAAACAACATGAAAAATATAAATCTCTTTCAAAAGTATTTGTCATAGATGAACCATAGATTTTACGAAATTAGTGCGATTATTTCAGAAAATTCAGAATGGAAAAGAAATGTATGTCATCAATGAATATATTTAGTGACGCAAAAAAAAATTAACAGTTAATTAGTCCCAGGTAAAGGGTACAGCAGGATAAGGGTGTCAAAAGTGCTCTTAGACCGTTGTGATATACCATTCGATAGCTTGTGAAGAAAAAAGAGTCTGCGCCAAGCTTCAACCTTCTATCTCAATCAGGAGGGTAGTAATAGGGAAAATTCGGTTTGCCGTTTATTCCTCTAATTTTCCTGTTGCAAAAAATGGTCGAGCAACGACCACTTCGCTTGGAATGACCCAGATACTAATCAAACCCGATTAAACGAACCTTAGACACTAAACTCTAATTGGTATTCATGTGTATACAGTATAAGCAGTATGAAGTGTCACAATTTATTTTCGTGAGAACTAATGAAGGTACACACAGAGGTGCAGCTAAATACATATTTACAAATTCAGAGATATCCAATGAAAACGTGTAATGTTTATTTAAAACATTGTTTAATATCTTAAATAATTGCAGATATATGCAGCAGTTTTGCATTAGAAAAACGGTAAATAGAAATAAAATTGATCAAAAGTGTTACGCTTTGAGTTAGCGATATTAGTGGTTTATTTGTTCAATTTTACTGAATTAGATTGCAAGAAATTGCAATATTGACAAGTGCCAACCGACTTTTCCTTTAATAAAAAATTAAGATTATCTTTACTTTTTTTAAGTGGCACTATATAATTTTTTCTATCCGGTATTGTAGGTGACATCGTGACAAATTCAACGGTGTCGTATAAAGTTGTTTTTCTTGAATAATGTGCTTAAAAGATCATGCTTAAATGTACAGTGGAATTTAACTATATTGCCACGCGAGGCACTTCTACTTCACACGTACTTTCGAGTATACAAATTCGCCCTCCCACCACGATACGTACGCCTGCGCACCAGCACGATCCAGCTTCGGTGCAGGCGCTGAGGCGGAACTGAATTGAACATGAAACTTAGCATGGAGGGGGCTCTTAACTCATTGCCACTTTACTTCCCTACAGCTACGACCGTGGCAATATAATTAGAGTCCACTGTAATAAGATTCTTCGTTAACGTGTAAGTCAAACACAAGCGTGCATGAATACAGCATATAGTTTAAGCAGTTTATTAGGTGTCCAAAATAAACAAGGGGTTGAATTTATGACAAATCTATATTTATTGTTTACATTCAATTACGTTCATGTTTGACTCGCGCGTTAATAAAAACTCCTATTATTACATTTAAGAATGATTTTCTAAGCAAATTATTAGAAAAGAAAACAACTTTGTATGACTTCACTGAATTTTTCTCGATATCACCTACTAATAACAGGTATAAAGGACTATATGGTGCCGTTCAAAAAAGCAAGGGTGACCGAAATTTGTTATCGAAGACAAAGTTACTTGGTATATTTGTAATATTCCAATTTAATGCCGATCGATTACTGACTAATTTTTTTATTGAATTATCGGAAGTGTTGAAAAACTCGTGGCAACAGTTACGATGAACACCCTGTATGAGAGTAAAATGTTATGTAAAATTATAGAATTTAATTATTGTCATACTTCGTAGTTACTTTGTGGATGGTAACCAGTTTATATTCCAATATTAACCCCTCAAGTGGGGAGGGAGGATCTATCCGTCTTGGCTTATGCTTTCGTATAGAATTTAACGTCATAAAAATTACCATTACGTCATTTCATTTAAATGATACCATATTATGTATAAGGAAAAACACTTGTTCGGTCTGTAATTAAGTTAAAAAATAAGTCAACGTGTTAATGAATATTACAATTAATATAGATACATTTTAAAACATGACAAAAAATTTTGTAATACTTTTTAATATATACTCCAAAAATCCACCATCTCGAGATCCATTTATCTGAAATCAAAAAAACAGTTTTTCTTAAAACTTATAAGGATAGTTATTATATCGAGCAGATTCAGAAGATTTGGGTAACCAATACATTGTTTACTTAACATTTTGCATGAAAACACTAATAATTTTTGGATCACTTTCACAAAAACAGGTACCAATCAGCGAACTTTCATTATTTTTCAATAAAGGTGCTTGATATGATAACCATCCCTATAAGTTTTAAGAAAAACTTTGGTCTTTTCATTTGAGACTAGTGGATCTCGAGATTTTTGCATACCGTTTGGGCATCCGTTTTTTGTTAAAGTCACAGTCATTGCTGGTTTTTATAGAATATATTAAACAAAATAAAAAAAATTTTCATGTTTTGAAATGTACATTCATACACCTCAAACTGACTATTTATTCTATGTATTACAGTTTTCATTTACAAAAGTCCTGAGAAAGCCGTTTTTTTTTACAATATTTACATGTGAATGCACCCTTTAAGGCGACAATCGTAACTGTTAGGATCCCTGACTTTAAACGTCCATTTTTTGTATTGTACCCCTAAGGGCAATTGGCATCAACTTGGAAAGCGTGAAAAATGAAATATTATAATGTTTATATTGTGCATGTTTGCATTCTGTTACCATGGTTGTATAGAATTAGATATGTAATTAATAACTTTTTATGGCATGCACAAGCCTTACTTGAGGAACAAACAAGAAATGATGTATTACCTTAGTAACTAAAAGAAATGAGTAATCAATTGTATTTCGGAAGTTGAAGCGAACAGACGTAAATTATGTTAATTATTCATAATATTAAAACTGTATTCTAGTTCAACTTGTTACAAGTTACATTTTCATTCTTTAATTACAATTATGTTAAAGTTAAATTGAGTTGTTAATAAATAAGTTTGTAAAACATAAAGAAGAGTTGTATTAATTTCCCTAATTTCCGTCTTAACATAACTCATCGTATTGTTACTAGAGTAACAACAAAGAAGTTTAATGTGCTCCAATCACATATTATTAAAATGCTCCATTGTATATTATAATAAAAAAAAAAAGTTGAAAAAATATTCCGTTCAATTCATTAGAAACGACTAAATCGATGATATCCGGACTTCAAAGCCCTCCCTGAAAAATCGATCAATCGCACCTCGTGACGCGTTAGATAAGAGGGCACACATACATATATCGAATGTTTAGGTTCAGCCAGCTATGTCGTTTGCGCGATTCTCTGTGGTCGGTTGTAGTGATAAGAAAATCAAGACACACAGAACGCGCGTCGGATCTATCAGTCGTTCCCTTGAGAGCCTCGACGACAATGTCGAGCGAACAGGACATTAGAAATTACTTCGAGTTCGCGAAGGAACTAACCTTAAAGGCAGGTGAGGTAAGTGACAATCCCGTTCATGTTTCGATATTACCCTATCGACGTTCCGAATCGATGGAACACAACGAAGTTTTCATATAACCTACTCACAGCCAGGATCCTCGTTTATAAAACAATTTTCTATTTTCTTGTAACCTCTTTTTCCACTTCACTGGAGCTTCATAACGGTCACATTGAGGTCACACTTAGAGGTGGCGTGAACTGTTACTTGTGAATCACGAGTAATTCGATCACGTTCGTTCCCAATCACGGTGATTTTTCACAGTGATTCGTGATTTTTCGTGATTTTTCGTGATCGTTTCTGATTGGTGGAGAAACATAACAGTTCTTTACACGCGACACATAACCTATATATTTTATATTAACGACGTCGAAATGAAAATTCGAGTTATATCGTATAAAGTGAAGGAATACTTAGAAACAATGAAGAATTAATGATTATAAATTATAATCTACTTGTTACCTGGCAAATCAGTTTTTTTTTAGAATTTTTTGTTTTTTTTTCTACTGATTTTTAAAAACACAAATAGTAATGTAATTCATCGGAAAATCATGTTGAATACGTTTTTCTGTTTAAAGATCAAGGATTTACGATCGCAATGAGTAAATACACTCAAGATAAAAAAAATCGCAATCACGGTCGTGAATGAAGTTAAATCACGACAGTGATCGTGATTCGGCGATCACTGTGATAAATCACCGTTAGTGATTTTGCACGCCATATCTGGTCACAGTTACCCCACAGACTTTAAACGATTACGATAAAGAAACTATTAATTAGTTTAGGTTGAAAAAATTACTGAACAATCTTCAAATATTGCAAAATAAGAATGAAATGTTCTATATGTGTTAATTTCAATTTCAGTGTAGTAAAACAATCCGTGAAAAATGAGTGTTTTTACTTAAAAAGTTTTTAGATTTTTAATATTTATTGATCAATGTTTAGGGATGTTTGTCAAATTTAGCCTCATGTTGCCATAGGGTCAAACAGACCCCGTGTGACAGTTAAGGGTTAATATTACTAACAGATGCATGTCCTACAGAAATGTACATTTTTATCGGATAGTTCAAGAAAACTAGAATCAGACAGAAATTCAATATTTTAGGATTTTTATTACGGTAAACATAGAATATAGAATTTTAGTCATTATTTTATTATTATTTGCGCGAATTAATATATTATGAATGTTCGGAATATTTACTGATAATCATTCATTTGTCGTAAACGCCGGTGTATAAAATACATAGGTATAACGTAGTAGGCCCATCATTCGGTTATTTTGAATCTAATAAAATCCGTAAAAAGAAAATGAACATTCGTTTAATTTTGTGTTTTAATAATTAGCTTATAAGAGTGTCGATTCACATAAACATGCTCACACAAGCAATAACTTGTTAATAAAAACAAACAAAACGTAATAGTCAATAAAAAAAAATTAGGAAATCTCTATTAACTTTTTTAAATATTAACTCTGATAGTTTTTTGTATCCTTTACACGGAACAACGTGACTCTTTAATACTTTGAGTGTGATAATATAATTGAACTGATTGTTCGACCAAGATATAATATTTATATAAGTAATTAACACGAGACAAAATTGTTTCATCCATAATTCACTGATTAAAAGCATAAATTCTATTTAATTTAATCGTACAATGAAAACTTATCTGAATAATAAAACGTAATACACAGCACGTACACACCACTTAACACCGCCCTTGAAATTACAACACATTAACGTGGTAAAAATGATTCATCATTCTCGAATGATACAATAATGACCGCGGTCAATAGAAACTGTTCTGGTGATTTCAATGCATGGTAGCGCACCATTGCTGGCCTCGTGGCGTTCATTCGACATTGTGAATGGTTATTAAAACATTTCTTCATAAAACAATTACACTGAGTCATAAACAATTCCCATTCTAAATTCATTTTATCCAACATACTTTGTAAGGTCAATGACCCTATTTCTAATCATGTAAGAGTTCTGCTTTCGCAGAAATTGATTTTTATTATTTATTTATGCAACAATCGACAAAACAACTTATCAGATATAAAATTTAAACCTCCCATTATAATAAGTATTTTTACAAACATTTTAATTTAATAATAGCTCATTTAATATGAAATATAAAATGTCCCTATTTCTGCTCAGCGAAAATTGGAAGTGCCAAAACCAAACTTTGGCGAACAATATTAAAGATTCCGTAAGTTTTTTTTAGTAAAAATTCAGCTCCACCTCTAACTCACACAGGTAACAGCGGGCTGTAGCATTTTATGCAGTAATACTGAATGAATTTAAATAACTTTTTGTATAACTAATTTATTATTTAACTTTTTATATTAAATAAAAAATATACATACTCAGCAAACATAGGGACGTGATTAGAAATAGGGACATTGACATTCCCTACCGACAATGGGTCTCATAATTTTAGTATATTTAAGTAATTATGTCACTGTTGCCAAACTATGTATTTTTAAAATATGCACCATGTGAGATCTCTCTTTTGTTTTTGTCACTTGGAAATTCTAAGCTACAAAGGAAACGATGGTGTCGGGCAATATTTAAAAAAAAAATACAAGAGAAGTAGGTTAAAATAGAAGCAAAGTGCCAGTTATGTACAGTGAGAGTCAAAAGTGAGTATACACTTTGGAAGTATGTGGGATTCATTCATATTTATTTCTCTCAATTTAGAATCTAACATTTCACATAGATGCTGTATTAGATTGAGATCTGATGACTGTGGAGAAGGACTTAACTGGTTGTGTTTTCCAGCAAACAATTTCCAATCACTTTTGTCGTATATTTTGGGTCACGATCCCACTAAAAGACTCATGAATGCACTTGCAGCTGAATTCGATTTTAAAATATTTAAACATCCAAATTTCTCCATATGCTGAATTTGTAAATATGTATTTAGCTGTACCTCCGTCTGAACCTTCATTAGTTTTCACAAAAATAACTTGTGACACTTTATACTGCCTATACTGTATACACATGAGTATCAATCAGAGTTTAGTGTCTAAGGTTCGTTTAATCGGGTTTAAATAGTATTTGTGTGCTCGAAAGTACGTGTGAAGGGGAAGTGCCTCGCGTGGTAATATGTTCAGTGGCAATATAGTTAGAGTCCACTGTTATAAGTTTTGTCGCATACGATATTGACAATTAACAATAGAATAACAACGTGTTGGAAAAACAATTTACTGGAACATATTCTATTATTGTTCACGTAAAGATATTTATATAAATTATTCAAAATGTCCTCCTTTTGCTTTTATACAAGCTCTTAATCTTTGTGGGCATTCGTCGATTTGTGACAGAACTTAATAACCGACTATGTATATTTAATTTTGACTCTCACTGTACAAATGATTCGTACTTATCACCCGACCATGAACACTTATCTGCTAAGATCAGGCACGATAATAGAGATCTCGATCATCGTAAATTTTATCTCTGTGCTTCCACGTCTCTCGGTATTTCGTCAGATATTCAAATGCGGTTTCGAAGGCGAGAAAATTGTCGAGGCCAAGAACAACGAATGGGATCTGGTAACGAATTACGACAAGAAGATCGAGGAGATGTTGTTCAAAGGCTTGAAAGAAATGTTCCCTGATCACGAGTAAGTCACGATCATTGCTCGTTCGTTTGTTAAGAGGTCTCCCTACTGTGACGAGTCTAAAATTAGGCGAAATTCAGGAATTTTTTCTAGAAAAAACTAAGAGGTATATCGATATTAAACTTTTTTCTATGAATTCGTATACACTAATAGGATAAGCTTAATTTTTTTCATTTGAAAATGTAGTACAAATTAAAAGTTATTGTAATTTTCCGGGACTGCCTAAAAAAAAGGTGCCTCCATGGCTACTATTATATCAGCTGTCTACGTTATCTCAAATAAAAAATTGAGAAAGATTCTTCATCTATATGAACGTAACTATCGCCCGTACTGGAATGAATAAAAAATATTGAAAAATAACAAAATGGCGGAGTCTTGCAAAAGAGTGCCGACCTTCGCGAAAAAAGTAGCTCGCTTTTCAAGTTACAAAATTCGAATTTTGCAAATATCTACTTCATTCGAGTACAGGAGAGAACTATGTACCTACGGAACATGCCTACATAGTTTTAAGTCACTCCGTTAAATAGTTTCTGAGATATCGTGGCAACGATTTACAAAAATGACGTTTTCAGAAAAACGCGTTTAGAATTTCGATTCGAACCTGCATGCCGCGACGCGCCGCTTCGATTAATGGAAGCCGGAGGCAAGAGGAACCTTTTTATGATTATGGTTTTGAAATATTAAGCCTTGAGAACATGTAAAGAAGAAAAAATCGAGTTTTTTGACCTTTCACAGTAGGGAGACCCTTTAACCTCCATCCGTCCCTCATTTTCCTAACTTAATTTATCCCTTGGTGTCAAATTGATCCAGTGGTAAAAAACATACAATGAAGTGATAAATAGTTAAATTTGCAAATTCTTTAAAGTAAAAATCACGAAGCCTCAGTTGCATTTACCTACACATAACAGAATAACGTAATTTGTTAAGATAAAACTGTGCCAAATTGACACAAGCGAAGGAAGGGGGCTAAATTGGGGGTTTCGAATGGTGAACGAATTTACAGATTTATCGGGGAGGAGTCCGCCGCTGGAATGCACGAGAAACCGGAGCTAACGGACAAGCCAACCTGGATCATAGATCCTATCGATGGAACTATGAACTACGTGAATTCGTTCCCGTACACTTGCATCTCCGTCGGTCTGACGGTCTGCAAGGAAATCGTAGTCGGAATTATATACAATCCGCTCAGCTCGGAACTGTACACAGCTGTTAAAGGAGAAGGGGCATTTTTGAACGGGAAGCCTATCAAAACTTCCAATGTTACTGGTAATTCTCCATTCGTACACCATAAATAGCATGGTAGTATTGTTAAAATGAGCCTCGAGTCTTAAGCTTTAAGGTCGTTCGTGCCAAATTCGAAAGACTAGATAATTAAATAAAATTCTCAAAAACTGTTTATTACGAAATATACACACAAAAAAAGTTAGAGATTCGGCCGCCGACCAAATAAATAATAAAAGGGTTGTCAAAAATTGAGTTTTCAACACAGCTCTTATGGCAGTCTTGCGATTTCTTACCGGAAGTATAATCTTTTCTATTCACAAAAATTAGAATTGCTAACTAAAATATAATGAAAATAATGAACTAAATCTTGTACTATGCCAAAGATTCCAGGAAGATATTTGACAATAATGTCAAGAGTATGTAGGTTATTGTATGGTCTATTGGGACTATATGGAGAACTTGGCAACATTGCTGAAGTAGGGTCATACCCGCGAAGTACAATACATTTAAAAAATATTTTACTTATTTTCTTGTTTTAGTGCAGTGTCCAATTTTTTCACATACGAGTTTAGATACGCCATACGTGAGTGTCTTAAGCCATAGGCTTTGGGTATTTGAGAAATTTTATGATGAAATGCGCCACTTGTAATCTTCCAATGCGCCATACGTTGGCCACCCCTGTTTTAATGAATTCTAATTTTCTAAATTATAATGCACGAGAATACAATTCATTTACCACCTTAACAGCTCGAATCGCGGTTCAAACCCTACAAGGTTCGAACTCTCAAGGTTCGAAGCTTGAGCCGTGAAAGATCGAGTCTTTGACGTTTGAGCCTTTAAGCTTGAAGGCTCGAGTCGTATAAATTGTATGTAGTGAAGTGATGTACAGGGCTCGGTTTTCGAAGCCGCAAAACATAACCTAAAAGTTTTCAGTTTTGAACTCTCATATTACACGAAATTCAAGCTTTTAAACCTTCCGGGGGAATAATACAAAAACGTCCAGAAAAGCGTGTGTTTAGTCAAAAATAGGGGATACGTTTTTTTTTTATAGGCTGAGACGCGACTTTGAGGGGTGAAACCACCCCTCGAAGTTTCGACCCGAAAGTACTATCTCGAAAGCCAGATGAGATACATGAAAACTTCTAATGAACTAGGTTTGCGGTTTTTTTATGTAGAATGATATGGTGCTAACAAATTGTGCAAAATATAATTTGTTTATAATAAAAAAAATTTCGGATCGAAACTTTGAGGGGTGGTTTCACCCCTTAAAGTTGCGTTTCGAGCGATAAAAAAATACGAAGTTTCATCAAAATCGAAGGGGGACACTTCCGTGCCTTCCTTTGTTAGTCATGCTATTTCGAAATCGTAGTTTCTGATCATGTTACAACAGCCAACGTAATTACGAGCTTCCTTTCGTAATTTTCATTATTCATCCCGGGAAAAAACGGTGCACAACTATCCAATTACGATGGATTGCAATTAATCAACCATTTTTTATGTGGTTTATTCTTTACAGAGCTAAGAAAGGCGTTGGCTGAAATTGAGGTGTTCTCGTTGAGAATTCCATCGAAAAATCGGGACATCCGATGGAGCAGATTCGAGGCCGTACTTTCGGCAACTCGAGGGTAACTATACAAAATTGAATTAATTTCTCTCTCTTTTAAATGAAAAACTTGAATTCTTGCAACTACAGAAAGTGAACTGTCCTTTTCAGAAATTCTGAATAGATTATGTGTAATAATCTATTGTTATTTAACTACCAAAATAGTTTCTATAAGAATACAGTAACTTTTGAATATATTAAGATGTAGAATATAATAGTTACCCTAGAAACTAATAAAGAAAGAATAGGAGTTTTATTTCATTTGAAACCCTTAAAAGAGTAAACAAATTTTCATTGGATTTCAGTTTCAGTAAATTAGTCCATAAAAATCTACGTCTATATAAGCAGCTTAGCAGTCTAATTATGACTCAATCATTATGACTAAAACAAAAGGTATCGAAAAATAAATTTCAAACTGTCGTCAGAGAAAATTATGCAACTTCTTCGTTTTAATTTTCACAACTGCATCTATATTTCAGTTAAGAGTAATAATAATGACAATACTAAATCATAAATTATTATTAAATCATATATTACAAATATATACCACGACGTATCAGAAACAACAATTTAAAGTGCATTGTGTACAAGAACATGTTTAAAAAATACTAAAAATTGTAACGAATCGTGGATCTAGTTATTTTTCTACATAGTTACCTCTAGACTCTGATTGTACAACTATGTAGCTCTTATTGACGCCATTCTGTATAAAATGCTACCAGTTCATACCAGCTTGGCTTATTCTTATGTAATTGTCATGAATCTATAATTAAAGGAACGGTAATTCAAACATGGTAACATTAATTTACATACCTTTATAGGATTCGATGGAAACGATTGAACTAGGAAGAGAGAAATTACTATTTGTACTCGAAACTATACAAACTGTAATAACGTCTTGATGCGTGAACGGATTGCAAAATAATACCAGGCGCGAGTTGTGCGTGGTTACATCAGCCATTCAATTTTCAAAATTCCCGCCACAAGCTACAGAAATTTAAACTCTCCTGTAACAACTAGCCTCTATAATAGCTGGTCCTGGTCACCCCTATTCGAAGAACAACGACTATAATACTATCAACCATCAATACCATGGATATGTCCATTTTTTTTCTGTATTCAGAATAAGATTTATGGGATCTTCTGCCCTGTCGCTGGCATACGTGGCGAAAGGTGCGCTCGATTGCATGCAAGTGGACAATCTTCAACCTTGGGACATCGCGGCGGGAGTGTTGATCGTACGTGAAGCTGGTGGCACGATACTCGACACAAAAGGTACACGCCCGACAAATGAAAATGTGCCCCAGGAATTACGTAAAAAAAGTATTCGTAGACCCTTTAAAACAGAACAACTTTTTCAAAATTGGACCAAGTAACTTTAGTTTCTTTGTGAAGTTAGAAGGATTCGTTTACTAAATGATGTGTTAAACAAATTTTGAAAAATTTCCCCAGTTTTCGGTTGTTTTGAATGTTGAAGAAAATAGTAAAGGTCGCTTTTTATAACTTTTTTTATCTGAGACTGTAATGAAAATGTAAAACTGCAACTTTTTCAACATTTTGTTAAAACATTATTTAGTACACTAATCCTTCTAACTTCACAAAGAAACTCAAGTCACTTGGTCCGATTTAGAAAGAGTTGTTCTGTTTTAAAGGGTGTACGAATACTTTTTTTACCCACTATATGAAACATTGTATTCTATTTGCCAAAAGAAAAAAGAAATTCGTAAATTCAACGATAACAACTAATTCTTTCAGGTGGCACATACGATTTAATGAAACCGAATACGATCGCTGCTGCGAATGGGACGCTGGCGACCGAATTACAACAACTAATCGTAGACACCGATTTGAAAACGTTGCGGAAACGACTAACAAGGACCTGATCTTGTATTTTGTTAAAATTCGTTGAAACCATAGAGAAATAAATGTTTTACTACAAATTACACCGATTAACCCTTTTAGTGCTAGACCAAAAATGTGAATCTTAGCCGAGTCAAATTGCTGTAGTTTCGTAAGGTTTGAGAAAATTACAAAAATTTAGTTTTAAATGATAATTACAAAATTTAAAAAGGAACGTGTTAAGAAATAATAGGAAAATTAATTAATAACTAAAGTATTTCAATATTTGTTGATAATTATATTAATGATTATTCCAAATTATAAAGGAAATTCGAAAAGCCGGTCATCTTTTATAAATAGCATTTACAAATAAAAAACATCATCACTCTGACATAGTTTGATGTAAAACATATGATATGTATAAAACATAAATAATTTATATTCAATTATTTATAAAAATATTACAAATATTTCAAAAGACAAACAAATGATAATTGTATTAACATAATATAACAGCAACGGAAAAAATATAAACGAGTTCTAAACTATTAGACGCATCTAAAAAATTAAGACTTGTCATTTTCAAACAGAAACGCATAGTAATCTACGCACAGTGATACATCGATCGTTATTGGCACTTTTCGCAACGGTATACAGTAAATCCTCGATGCGTGTTTGAAGGTTCTTCGGCACTAACAAGGAGAGATCCTCAATTGTAACGCTTACTTTTTAATTTTTTACGGTTTAGCACAGTGATAGAGCTTGGAATTCTGAAACCAATGGTATTTGTTTCACTCCCATATGGCCATTAGTTTCTGAAATATTGAATATTTAGTGCCGATGAGTCTTGGAACACTGATTGAGGATTTGCTGTATCGTTTTTTGGCACCAAAAGGGTTAGGCTGGTGTTTTTACTACCTGTGAAACCCTCGACACTCTAACAGAATCTTTAGTATGCATTACATCATTGCGAGAAGGAAAATAATACTCATTATTTACAGAAGTTGTTTTTTTGGAAGATAACACGTTCTGAACGTACGATAAAGTCTTTATCTGTAAAATAAAGCTTAGATAGCTTATATGTACATACAATCAAAACGGTACGTGAGGTAAAGTTTGAATAAAAGATAAAACGGAAATCGAACTGTAAACAAACTGTTATGTCGATTCGAGAAACGAGCAGCCTGTTAGTACTAAGATTTTGAATTATTCTGAATCAGAGATGGGCAAACTCATTATCTAGATAAAAAGTTTCGAATAACGAATAAAAGATAAAAAAAAAGTATTTCGTCATTTTTACTTTTTTAAACGTGGAAATTTCAATTTTTATAATAAACTAATACTACTTTATGAATGAATCGACATTTGTCGAACAAGTATTTAATCTCATTATCTGTTTAAAGCTCAGAACAACACCCTTAGATACTGCTGCATTTCACTGTGTATTATTCGAATAAAATTCTGCCCAACTCTGTTCTGAATCATAAAGCTCATTTTGAATAACTTTGAATCACAAGGCATATTTTGAACAAAAGGAAGAGCCACGGTAACGAACTCGTATCGCTGATTAAGTTACAATAAAACAATAAGGTAATTATTCACAATAGGGGACTCCACACCGATTTGATTGACCTTGAAATATGTTGTCAAGGTCAACGTTCTGAACAACTTTTCAACAAAAATACATTCGATCTGTATACCGTGTTTTGTTCTGTATGGGTAATTATGTAGAAAGAGGGCAAACTCGTGTATGACCTTGACTATGTTGTCAAGGTCATCGTCCTGAGTGACCTTGACCTTGACCTTGACAAAATTGGCAATATGCAATATTCAAGGGAAGATACATATTTGAAAGAGCGATCGGAGTAGGTCTGAGACTAGATTCGTCAGCGGGGACGCAGTTTGGGTTAGGTTAAGTTTCTATCTGTTTTTCGGATATTTACAAATAACTTTTGTTAAACTTAGATTTATGACTGGTATTATGTATCGATCAGAGTTGGTTAAAGACACCCACCACTCAGTGTTAACCACGCACCCAACATCCCACCAAACATAAGTTTAGTTACTAATATCTACAAAAACAGGAAAAAAGTCTCTACGCGCTGCGAATCAATTGGCACATTTGAACTAGAATTAAATGATGAGTTAATTCTAAAACAATTGGCAGATTCGAATCAGAATTAAATGTTGAGTTAATTCTAAGTTAACTGGCTTATTTGAATCAGAATTAAATTTTGAGTTAATTCTAAATCAGAGGTGGCCAAGTCGAGTCAGAATGTAGAGTGCGTGCAATCTTCGTAGTTTCGTCTAAGTTTAAAGCATTCACTGTACAAATGAATTGCGTACACAAATTTTTTCTTTTATACTACTAAAATAAGCAGAGTATTTTCAAAAAAATAAGTGTCGTGAGCGTAACTTACAATTGGAATACATTGGAATAATATTTCAATCATTTTGTAATAGATCATAAAAAGCCGAACAATTTCTGTATTTACAGTATTTATATATCTCATACCATTACAAAATTATATCAAGAAAATGAAAGAACGCAAAACTTTAAGGGCTAATGTCACCCCTTCAGAGTGAAAACGGCCACGAAAAAAACATTGCTCTAAGCATAATTCAATATACTCTATATTCATGCGAAGTTTCATTAAAATCAGAATTTCCGGGTTCGGAAGCTTCCCTTGTTAGTCAATCATACACCACATGGCTCACACAAGCACAATCGCAAAATATTAGTAAATGATCCACGTAGTGATCACTACTCGAGAGTTAGTACTTTAGTAACGGGACATTTCGCAACTGCAATTATTTTCCATACGTCACATGAATATTCAATGCAACGAATATAGAATCTGATAAATCCGCGGTGACGTCTTGGAAAACCGATTGGATAATTACCTATTCGACCGACAGGAGGTATGTTAATCGCAGTTACGAAAAAAAAGAAGAAAAAAAAAAGGACGACAGTAAATCAAGTCGAGCCTCCACACGATACACATATGTACACAGTCGGTCTAACAAGAACGTGAGTGACAAAACTGTTTACCTGCTAACCGTAGCTCGGGAAATTCCTATATTATCAGATAGGTTTACTCTTTCACTAATGTACATTCTTCAAAAACTGCCAGCTTTTACTCCTAACTTTAAGAAAGAACGATTAAATTGAATATAAGGACTGTGTACGCGAAAAGGTAGGAATTGAGACAAAGACACGCACATCGACCAAAATTGAGATAACGTACCTATCTAATTTCATTGGATCAGTGCTATTGAACAGTTGCCCGCCGGGCAAATACAAATCTGTGGGCAGTAAGCCACGCCTTTCCGGGCAACGGATATATCAATGTAGTAGTGATCGCCCATCTTAAGCAAGAAAACTATGTTTGGAAGATATGTAACGTGAAGTACATTATGTTGTACTTCGTTAAATTCGTCCCAAAAAGCGCTATAGCATTATACATAAAAAAAAATATGGCGTTACATTTAAACAAGAAGACAAGATAGGATAAAGTAGCCTAATATGAGACTCCAGCTATCTCCGTTACGGGAAAGCCTTGAACGTCGCAAACAATTTCAAAAAATGCACTACAAGGAAACACGTAAAATGTGATAGTTTAACTGATGAGTGTGAAGAAGACATTGTTCCGAATGATGAACGTGATGACGAAGAAAATTATGACGAAGAATGCTTGTTTTGTACAGAACTTTGTTCTTCAGATATACATGGTGAACAATGGGTTCAGTGTATCAAATGTTACCGGTGGCCCATGAAGACTGAGGTGCAGACGCAATTAATTTTATATGGCCAATGTGTGCAAAAAGACAGAAAAAATAAGTTTCGACAAAATGAAACCTGGGTCTCATATTAGGCGTCCAGTTTTTGAATTCATGTTTTTGTACACTTTTCATTTTTATTTTATTATCATGGAACTCTATCTGTTTTGTTATAATTTCTAATATATTGTAAGAGTGTACACATGTTACATTTAAAACGTGTATCGTATTTCAATGAAAGTATTTTTAATCGAGAATTATGCGTGCTTATAAAAATGGGTCTCATATTCGGCTACTTTACTCTATCGTACAAAAAACATAAAAGGAAATGCTTACAATGCTGTAAGGAGCGTGCAAATTGGACAGTGGAGGATTGGCATAAAGTAATATTTAGTGACGAGTCATGCATATGCATCGGGGCAGGAGATGATCAAGGATCATTCGTTTGGCGTAGAGTTGATGAAGAGTTTTATAAAGATTGTTTAAATTTCAAACACAAATATCCACAATCATACATGATTTGAAGTTATATTAATGAGAAAATGGTAAGTAAATGATGTATTCTGTACCAAAATATGAATTCAGATACGTATATTCACGTTTTAAAAAAATTCCTAATACCTAGCGTTGAAAACTAGTTTCAAGATGCATCTAATTTTATTTTTCAAGGCGATAATGCTAGGCTGTTATTACAGATAAATTGTAAAAGATTATTTACGCAATAATTATATTAAAATTATGAAATGGCCGGCAAATAGTCCAGATCCCAATTCCACGGAGAATTTGTGAGCAAAACTAAAAAAACGTGGTACACGAAAAAAAATCGCAGAATAAAGAACTTCGCCAAGTAATAACATTATTCTGGGAACAAATCTCCCCCGACGATTGCGAGAACATTATTAATTCAATGCCACAACGAATTAAAGCAGTTAATACGTTCACACGGAAACATAAAAAAATATGAGTACCAAAAATTGCTTGAATTAACAAATCAGATTGAAAACTTTGTTCCAGGAATTCTCTTAATCGGAAACTTATTTCCATGTAACATTTCATTTCTTATCGTGTTTCTTTTTCATAATAAGTGAAAGTTTGTGTTATTTTATACAGGGTGTCACACCTAACCCTGCCACCTTTAATTATTATCTTATTTGTCACGGTACAAAGAAATGGTTCGGGTGAAAGTTAGTGTATTTTAGGGGGTAAATTAGACTATGAGATTGAAGGTCATCTCAAGGTCATATCTTCTGAGATTTCTCTAATGGTACCGTTTTTTTAAATGGAATGCCCTATTTTTTTGCCAATACAAAGAGCACATCAAAACGTATCCAACAAATACATCACACTATGACCTTGAAATGACCTTGAGTTGAAAATTTCACACGTAACTGGTTGAGGTAGAAGCTCACAGAAAATGAATTGCAGAAACAAAATAAACGGTATATTCGCATTATTTATTATTTTGGTGTATGTTTTAAGTGTTGTCACCCCATAGTGTGATACATTGTTGGATACGTTTTGATCTCCTCTTTGTAATGTCAAACAAAAAAATAGGGCATTCCATCTAAAAAAATGTTATCATTAGGGAAATCTCAGAAGATATAACTTTGATATGACCTTCAATCTCATAGGTTAAGTTCCCCCCTAAAATACACTAACTTTCTCCCGAACCATTTTTTTGTACCGTGATAAATAAGAGAATAATTAAAGGTGGTCTTCTATCTTTATATGATAGTACTTTATAGTTCTAAAGTATAAATATTCTCAATGAATTTCGTATTAATGCGTACGATTAGAAACTTTTTTCCAGGGGGTTTGGTTCGCTGCCTTTCTGTTGGATGGTACACGGCAGCAGCATTCGCCGTATTTTTTTACCACCCCTTGTAAACACCGAAAAATCGCATCTTGAAAATAAATACCAAGTTTTGTAAAAACTGGCGAATTACTAATCGACACGCCCATTATAATGTAGTAATTGAAATAAACGTATTCTATGATCGGTGCTGTGAAAGTGTGATCGGAACATAGTGTTTTACCTTGGCACAGTCTTTTTGCCACGTACCCTCGTACATCGGTTGTCACTGTAGCAAAATCCCCCGGCAATTTGCTAACGATAATGATCTTGACTCTTTCGTAATCCCATTATGAGTGAATGATATCTCAGCGTAGCGTGTTCGTGGGAGTGAAAAATTCCATAATAAATATGTTAATAAAGAAGTCTTAGAGTTTCATTTTACCATTAGTTCAGCTTCATGAAAACTTCCACAACATGATATAAAAATCGATATTTCGCGAAAAGAGCATTGAAGCTTTATGAATATTTACACTATTAAAGAAATTGTAGAGACCGATCAACATTCCTGTGTAGCGTTGTAATTCTGCACGATCTGCATAGATCCATAAAAATAATGATCGCTACAATCTATTTTCATTTTGTGCAATCTAATCTTCATTGCTCTATAAAAGTTGAAGAAATTCTGCATAAATTTACTGCAGAGGCCAATTGTCACCTTGACATGTTCAGACCACTACAATAAATTCTCGATGAGTGTTCGTAAGCTTGTTGGCACTGACAAGGAGAGGTCTCCAGGTGTAACGCTGACTTTTTAACGAGGTTTAGCATAGTGATGTAGTTTGGAATCCTGAAGCTAATGATATTTGTTTCACCCGCATATGACCATTAGTTTACGAAATATTTAATGCTCAGTGCCGAGGAGCCCTCGAACACTCATCGACAATTTACGGTATTTACTTGTGAACTAGACGATTCTCAAGAATTCACTATACTTAAGAATTTGATGACTCCTGAAGAATTTTTTAGTTTGTTTGGAATATGGTAGAATAGTAAATAAAGTAAACTGATCTTGTTTTGACTCAAGTTCCTCTAAATCAACCCCCAAAAAATTTATATTTGCATAAAAATTCGCAGTCTACTTATGACTAATCTAATATTTTTTGGCATGCATTATTGTGCAACATTATTGTCTAACATTATTGTGATGCAAAAAATATTTGTTACGTAATGTGCACGGTATCAATGGACCAATATCTATCAAGAATATTTATGAATGTATTTTTCAATCAGCTACACGATGCAATAAACCTTGATATCACCGAAAAAAATTACCTTGGGAAAAGAATATTCTTGCCAGATATTGGTCCAATGACATCATGCACATTACGTAATAAATATTTTTTTAAACGGACCACCCAATGTATTTCATTGCGCCAAGGAATGCTAGGTTAGTAATCAACTGGAATCAAAAACAAATAATGTGGTTTTACTGTAGATATTGTGTTGCTTGCACATTTAGAATATTACGTGCTCATTATTACCATGCAATTTTTGTTTTGCTTTCTTTTACTTCTTTAAAATACATTGTTGGGAGTTCTGAAAGAATACATTACTTCTATGTACAGTGGGGGACAAAAGTATTCGTTGAAAACGAAACAACTTTTTTAAAATTGGTCCAACTGACTTGAGTTCTTTTGTGATGTTAGGTACATTAGTTTACTAAATGACGTGTAAAAAACAATTTAAAAAGTTGCAATTGGTCGGAATTGCGAAGAAAATAGTAAAGATCGTTTTTTACAACTTTTTAATCTGAGGCTACAATGGAAATGTAATAAATACATATCCAAGATTTATGTTAGTTGTATACATACTGAAACTTTCATTGAAAATTCTATATTTGCATAAACATCCGCAGTCTATTTATTATTGGGTCATTCCACGCGAAATCGGACACCTTTGGGAGCACCATTTCGGGTTTTGTTCCATTTTTGGATATGTTGTAGTCTTTATCAATATATAAACGCACCTCGAAGGTTTTTTAAAATTTAACAAATTATAGATTTTACAGTTGTTTGAAATGTAGGGTCAACCTTTTTTCAATAAATCATAACTATTGAATTAACAAACTGACCAAATGAGTTTTGCGGGTACTTACAGTGGAGACATAACAGTACCTAATCAAAAGTATTTCAGTAAAAAACAGTATTTTTTTAACCATTTATTTTGTAATTGTTTTAAAGAAATGTAATTTTATAATAGTAGGGCCCAATTGAAAAATTTGAAAAAAAATTGAGAATGTAGTCGTATTTGTCTTCTTAGTGGACAAACTTTAGAAAATGTGGAGACTTTAAAATTGGCGATATGAAAATTGATTGAAGTTAACGCTGCGTCGAAGCCCATCGACTGGAACGGGCGAGCCGTACCGGCCAAGCCATGTGGTACCTACATGGTACCACATGGCTTGGCCGGTAAAGCCGGTGTAATTCGATGCAGCGTTCATTTCAATTAATTATCATACGGCCCAATTTAAAGTGTCCATATTTTTGAAGATATGTCCATAAGGAGGAAAAATAGGGATATATCTTAATTTTTTTCAAATTTTTAAATGGTTCAGCAACATACAAACGGGACATTTATTTAAAACAATTGCAAAATAAATGGTTAAAAAATATCTTCTTTTAACTGAAATAATTTTTATTTGGTACTTTATGTCTCCACTGTAAATACCCGCAAAGCTCATTTGGTCAGTTTGTTAGTTCAATAGTTATGATTTATTGAAAAAAGGTTAACCCTAAATTTCAAACAGCTATAAAATCTTAAATGTGTTAAATTTTCAAAAATCCTTCGAGATACGTTTATATATCGATAAAGACTACAACATATGCAAATTCGAACAAAATCTGAAATGGTGCTCCAAAAGTTGTCCAATTTCGCGTGGAACGAATGCCCTAAGTAATTTAAAATAAAAAAAGTAAAAAATAAAAAAATGTATATAGTGTAATCGCCTAGCTACGAAACGATGTTATCAAGCCCGCATTCGATTGTTGTAGGGAGCTCATTAGCAAAGGATCCGTTGAGGAAAACAGGCCTACTATCATCCAAACTGTTTTATCTCGAATAAATTACACCACCTGTCTGGAGTCGAGGTTACCATGAATTCTCATTGAGATATTTGTTTGCCAAATTAATCGCGTTAGATCATGGAACCACGTGTTAATGTCGCGTTATCTCGGCCAGGGAAATAGGAAACACAAAAAAAAAAAATCACGCCCGTCATCGAAGAAACTTGGGCAACATCGTTGAACCGAAAAAAGTTATACACGAGCCAGTCGAGAAGACCGTGAATCGATGGTGCATGATCCTTGAGTCATTGCCGCGATATATTCTGAGCGGGTTTCGAATGAAAAGTACGCGATACCGCTCTGACAAACGCAGTATTCATTCACGCGTATTCCTGACCAGGACCTTACACGTTCGCCGTTCACCAAAGAAAGATGGCGCGTTACGCAGAGGATGTGTACTACGAATTCGCTGTTAAATTAACTCACGACGCCGCTCAAGTGAGTAAACCACCGTTCAATAAATCGTATAAGGTCAATGTCCCTATTTCTAATCACGTCCCGATTTATGCTCAGTACATATATTTTTTATTTAATGTAAAAAGTGAGATAATAAATTAGTTATACAAAAAATTATTTAAATTAGTTTGGTATTTTCGTATAAAATGCTATAGCACATTGTTTAATAGATGGCAGTTTCGTAGAAGTAAATTTAATAAGTGGGTCAGTCGAAAGGAAACATAATTTGAGCGGTTCCGTTGCGATCGTGAATTACAGGTGGACGCTGTTTTTACTATAAAAAAATCTTACGGAATCTTCAATATTATTCGCCAAAGTTTGGTTTTGACACTTCCAAATGACACGCTCGTAAGCAGAAATGCGAACATTTAAATTTTCGCTGAGTAGAAATAGGGACATTTTATACTTCGTATTAAATGAACTATTATTAAGGTAAAATGTTTTTAAAAATACTTTTATTTAAACTAAATTATAAAGGGAGGTTTAAATTTTATATCTGATAAGTTTTTTTGTCGCTTGCTGTAGAAATAAATAATAAAAATCAATTTCTGCGACAGTAAAACTCTTACATGATTTGAAATAGAGACATTGTTCCATTCACTATGTTGTCTATTATATAGGGTGTTTCCGAACTGGTGCGGTACAACCCGAAGGGATACAATTCTGCGTGAAAAAATAAGTCGTATAGGATAGGTGTCCCAATTACTGCCTTTTTAAGGGGTCTACAATTCCCATCCGTTGGGTCGCCGACACTTGTGCCATTAGTTAAAAAGTCACTTGAATTATAAAATAAACAAATTCTCCTCGATTTACCACATTGCAGGGAAAATGTAAATTGTATTCAGAGTTGTGTACGATGTTAAATATGTGTTAAGTGTGTTTTATTTTCATTCAGTTGCAATACCAATTAGGTATAAAAAAAAAGTACTCTTATCGAATGGAGTGAGTATCAACCCATCAACATTTGATATTGTAATTACTTTCAAGACAAAACAATGTTGTTTATATTAATAATACAGGTAATATATGGTTAGGTGTGAGCTTCCAAAAATGGTATTTTCAAATGTAGAACAAGTCTTCCTGCATTGTTTCCTGCAGCATTTCCATCTACCATCTAGGTTATGTTTGACATAACCTTGTTCAAAATGGATGCTACCTCCCCAATGAAATATTTTAATACTTAAATTTAGCAAATTTAATTCACTTGTAAAGTCAAAGACTGCGCTTTCCGTTTCAATTTTTATTAAATATTTCATTTAATTTTATCATTAATAAATGAATTATTTATGTTACCAATAAATCTTTATTTATTCCTTTGTTTTTACAAAAATAAGAGGCTTTTCCAATATATCACGTATGTTGTATATAGTTTATACAAATGTTTATTTATATGTTTTATATTAAAAATTTAATTAAATATACATATAAAGTATAGTATTGTATTTTATTTTCTCTCAAAGTATAAACTACTTTTGTGTTAGGTATCAAGGTTAGGAAAATGTAATTCGATACAAGTAGGTATAGATAGTTTTGTTTGATACCGAGTAAGTATCGATACCTTGGCGGTATCGATTCAACCCTACTTATGGGCGAGGATCCGAGGGTGCACGCTTAGTGCAGGCAGCAAGTAGAAACGGAATGCAGTGAACAGACGCGATAGCCAAGTCCTATTCAACTGCGTGCTTGTCCAACAGATTTTTAAATTCGATTGTCTCGAAAACAAAGCATCGTACAGAAAAAGTATATTCCACATTTTCGACTTATTTTTGCATGTAGAATCGCATCCTTTCGGTTTTATACTGTGCATAGCAAAGGAGCCTTGGGGAATGACAATGGCCGAAGACTAGAAAATTGTATCTTGTTATTTTACCTGAAAGTTATTTCTGAGTCATTCCATTACTATATCTCCTTTCTTATTTTGTTTATCCTTTTCTCTTTTCTCCAATAACTTCTCTTAGGAACTCTCCAATCGTCTGGAATATTTTGTTCCCCGACTTTTAACCTTTTAATAAACTCGTCGCTTGAAAGCGCCTCTTTATTGTGTAAAACGTGTGTACACGAGTGTACACGTTTTTTGACGATCACAAAATAATTATAAATTAAATAGGGAAATTCATATTTCGAAATATATATATGAATTATGTTGTGTTGACTTTTAGATATTACTTTCGCACAACCGGATTTTTACGCGATTGATAACTCATTCTCTATAGTAGATATTTATTTCTTGTCTGGAAAATACCATGAAATGAGAATATATCTGCAGTTTCTTATGTAATAATAAGACAGGAAAGTAATAGATTTGTCGAAAGTATCCTTAATGCATCTATGTTAATTTTACCTACATACTGCATAGCATACCACAATATGAATTTGTACGTAGACCCATCTTTGCAGAAGCAATTTGTGTATTTATTATTATTACCATGAATAAAGTAATATATATATACTTTACCATGTTTTCAAACATTCTTATTATTGCTTTAACTTCATATAATATTGTATATCGCTGTAGCACCTAAATTGGTTATCGTTTTGAAATCTACATCTTATCTGTTAAACTATATTGGGTCGTTAGGAAAGTTCGTAGTATTAGGCCAATACCAATCAACTTTTAACTCAAACATTTATCGGTATCATAAACAGTTTCCAAGGTATTCGAGTAGATCGATTTAAATGGGACACCCTGTAGTATAGGTATCTACATAGAACTTTTATCAAAGTTAGCGTCGTATTAATATAGATTATAATCAGAAAATTTGGCACCCTACTTCAGAAATAACCAAGAACAGAACCAGTTGTATGAATGTCAACTCTTATTATCCGAGTCAATAAACAATGGTGAAAGAGAAAATTAGTGAACTCCTATTGTCCAAATCATCTTAATTTCTCATACGAACGTGTAACAATTGCTCTTACCTAGTATATGTTCAATGTCCCTATTTCTAATCATGTAAGAGTTCTGCTATCGCAGAAATTGATTTTTATTATTTATTTATGCAACAATCGATAAAAAAAACTTAGCAGATATAAAATCTAAACCTCCCTATATAATTAAATGTAAATAAAAGTATTTTTAAAAACATTTTAACTTAATAATAGTTAATTTAACACGAAGTATAAAATGTCCCTATTTCTGCACACGATTTGTCTCTATTTCTGCTCAGTGAAAATGGAAATGCCAAAACCAAACTTTGTCGAACAATATTAAAGATTCCGTAAATTTTTTTTAGTAAAAACTGCTGCCATCTATTGAACAGCGGGCTGTAGCATTTTGTACAGAAATACTGAACGAATTTAAATAATTTTCTGTATAATTAATTTATTATTTAACTTTTTACATTAAATAAGAAATATACGTACTGAGCACATTTTGGGACGTGATTAGAAATAGGGACATTGACTTTACCCAATTTTCTATTCGAAAGAACACTAAATCGAAAAATTGAAACTCTTCTCGATGGTCAAAGAAACATTACTTTCAATACAATTCACATTTTATCACAACTGACAGAAGTTTTCCATTTCCGTCATGTCGGTCACGAATGATCATCTTTTTAATGTATAATAATCGTAATAACGCGAGCGGAAAGTCCAATCGGGCGGTGAATGCGTTATGCACGGTTGTATGTACTTTTAAATATTCAACCGAGAAAAACCTACGAACAGATACAGAAAAAACGCCTTGCGTCATATCTCGATTCACCGTTTTTCCCCCCGTGTTCGCAGTGAATTCCCATTTTCCGTATTGCTCATTCTGCCTAGGACAGAGAACAACATTGTCATGATATTCGCCTAATTGGATACTATGTCGTCCAAAGAAATTAATTCCAGAAAATGAGTTGAACACAGATTTTCGTTATTATCTCAAAACAGGTCTAAGGATGTCTGCTACTGATTATAATTTCTATGCCTTAATTTTCATATACAGGGTGTTCATTTTGACTCGAGCACCTAAATTATTGCCGTTACTATTGAAAGTAAAAAAAAATGACTAAATAGGATGTACAAGGTTTTAAGGCGTGCATCTGATGGCGATAAAAAAAATCCTGTGAAGGTCATTTTAACGGTTTTTTCACGGTCATCATATTTTTTTTTTTGACATATTAACCCTTTGCCTTACGATTTTTTTGACGACTGTACACTCAGAAATTACTTTACCGTTAATAATTTCCCAGATACAAATTTTATTGTTAGGGCAAGTGTGATTACCTAAGTAAATTTAATATGTACTTCGTTGAATAATATAAATATTTGAAGTATGTGAAAGTAACTGGCTGAACGATTTTCTGTCGAAGATTCTCAAGACGGCCATCAACGGTTTGAAGAAAGTCGATGAAAAACTGGGTAACTGGGATCTGGTTACCGAGTACGATCGCAAGATAGAGGATGTTATCATTGGCAATCTGAGGTCGAAGTTTCCTAATCACAGGTACATTTATTTTCGGTGTAACTCGATGGAACAAATACTCCATGTTCAAACAGTTTTTGAACATCCTCCTAAAATGTGATTTTGCATAAAAATTCTCAGTCTGTTCATAACGATACTCAATTAAAGTATTCTGTAATTAAACAACTATCAAATGCAGTATACTAATGTATTTAGCCTTTGAGTACAAATGAGATTACATATTGGTGAGTATTCGTCATTCGAATACTTTTTGAAATTGCTTTTTGCCCATCACTGATTATACGTCCATAGTGCATACACACATACAGATATACAGGGTAGTCCACGCAATTTTTTCAGGTTACAATTCCGTTATTAACGCATTTATGAAAAAATGACAAAAGGGAAAGATAAATGGTTCAAAGAGCACTACAATTATAGGCCCTTAGATTTTTTTAAGCGCAACAGTGCATGTGCAATTAACAATTGCATCACTTCTTTAAATGGAAATGCATATGATTTGTTGCACAGTTTGATTCCTGTGTTCATTCTACGTATAAAATTATTAGGATACCATGACAAAAAAATTATTCTCGAGATATTTTCAAAATATGTCTTTACTGAAGAAGATGCTCAAACGCTTCATGACTATGTAGTAAAGGTAAATAAAAAAATAAAAATATAACGTAGATAATTTAAACAAAGCTATGAAAACAATAAAAAAACGTTATCAGAAATCTTTACAATGTAATGGAGAAGCGTTTGGGCATCTTCACTTCGTGGATACAATGTATGTTCCATTTGTCACCAAATACTTTTGTTCATGTTGTAACAAACGCGGGAATAAACAATGATCAATAATATAATACAGAAAAGCAGAAAATTTTTCAAAAGATTTGTACCAGGTTTATAGCCGAAGAATCAACTGGAAAAGAACTTCCAGAGTTAACGAACGATCCTACATGGATCATCGATCCAATAGACGGCACCACAAACTTCATTCACGGCTTTCCACATACTTGTGTGGTGATTGGTCTCGCGATTCAGAAGGAAATGGTGATTGGTATCGTTTACAATCCTGTTCTGGAGCAGCTGTTCACCGCGAGGAAAGGACGAGGCGCGTTTTTGAATGGAAAACCCATCAAGGTCTCTGAAGTTCAAGGTAAACAGGAGTCAAGGAACGCTATTATCCCCCCTCCTGCAGCCTACACTGTTCCCGCGCCTCTAATTAGATTATTATTTCCTATAGATAGAAAATAATTAATTATACATATTTTCTTCATCAATTAGTGGTTAATATTCATTATTAGTAGAAACATTATTGTAATGTATTAAAACGTACACTATCGGTCAAAAGTTTGAGTACACTCACTGCATTTGTATTCCACAGCCAAATACAAACTGGAGGGTTTATTTTGTCATGTCTTTATCCTTGGACATACTTTGTATAATTTTACTGTTATAAAGATACTCAGTTTTCTTTCAACTGCAGATAATAAACGTTTATGGCACCTAATACTGTTCATCTATAACAGGGGTTCTTAAACTTTTTAAATTTTGTGCAACATAAATAAGAATAAAAAAATATATGTACCGCCATAAAAGCATTTTCCGATTAAAAATCAATACATTCCAAATGGAGTGTTTATAATCAAAGAATAAAACATTTAAAATTTATTTTATTTAATTATATGTGTAAATGAAACTTTTACATTATAATAAAATATGGTAAATGGACGGTAATAATACATGAGTAAATATTAAGGAGATTTATTATTGGTACAAATTTACGATAAAAATTTTTTATTTTTTATTATTTTTCAATAAAACTTTACTAACGTCTTTGTGCCATTTTTCTAAATAAAACAAGAGTAAACACGATGTTTGTAAGTTTAGAGGCACCCATATTTAAAACATATTTTTTTTGCAATTAATTATTATATAACAATAATCATGTTCCTGAATTTGTAAAGAAAAGAATGTGTAAATATTAATAAAATTTTTATATATACCAAAATTATTTCTAATTTCGATATTTGTGATACTGTTTCAAAAAGGGGAAATGTTTCAGAAAGCGTTTCATAATCGGTACGTTTACCCTAGGTACTTATGAATTTTTATCTCGGAAACTTTTCATCGTATTGAGGTAATTTTTCATTTCCTTTACTTTAGACGGTTTGGCAAATAACATATATTGTTAAATAACATAATAGTTTCAGTTCTTTCCAAGAAAACATAGAATTTAAAATCACCTATGAATAAGACTTATGTAGGCGCATTCATAGACTGACTCAGCCTGTTGGTTCAACCGTGAAGAAAAAAAAACCTAAGAATTTATCGTCTTCACAGGTCTATCGAAAGCTCTGGTATGCATGGAAGCTGGGTTCATGAAAGTGGATTACTTGAGAGAGAAAACCATTGAGAGACAACAGTCGATCGTTCGTGAAGTTCAGGGGTAAGAATTTTCGAAAGCTTAATCGTTTAGTTGGTTCAGACGATGCAGGACTACATCGGTTACGTTCCCTTCCCAAAGGATTCGCACGCTTGGAGTGGCAGCGTTGACTTTATGTTACGTCGCCTTAGGAATCGTGGAAGCCTACTACATAGAGGGTCCGGGAATCTCGACATGGGACATTGCCGCAGCATCGTTAATTATCACGGAAGCCGGTGGTGTGGTACTTGACCGCGTAACAGGTGGTTTGATCATCCTATACACATTCCTTGAATTCTTCTAGATATAATCGAAAGTCATTTTTCGGTTGCCAGGAGAGAAAATAGATATCATGAAACCGCGTGCAGTCGGGGCGTGCAACGATAAAATTGCGAGGGAAATCGTCAGAATTATTCACGAGGCTGACCAAAGAGTGGAAAATAAAAACAAATGTAACAAAGCGATAAAATAAACGACCAGCTCCTATCCAAGACTTTTGTTTTCCTTAGAACTTCCATATCGAAAGAAGTATAGTTTGGCCGACTGGGTCCACGGCCAGTAGAGAGATACTAACAGGGCCGTCCTTGACAGAGGTGCAAAAAGTGCCACCGCACCTGGGCGGCCAAACCCAAAGGCGGCCGCAGATCTTTTATTATATGTAAAATTTTGACTAGTAAAAATAATAATCAAGACTTTTTTATAATTATGAAAATTTTAGAAAAGTAGAATTCAATGAAATTAATTTTATATGTAATATTGGTAATCACTTGTATACAAGAATGAACTATCCTTAAAGACAGCACACAATAACATAAGATATTCAGCCATATTTATTGGATTAAATTCATGTAGGTAAATAATTTTCGCTACTTATCAACCATAACATCATTATTACAAACATTATACGTTAGTTTTGTATATATATGCGGAATAAAATATTTATTTTAAATAAAGCCATTTGTTTAAGGATTTTTTATTTATTTTATGAAAATAAAAATTAAGAAATATTCCTTTTGAATAACAAATGTTAAAAAACTCAATATGTATGTGTATAAAAGTAAAGACTGTATATCAAATTCTTAATTAAATAATATTAAATTATTAAAGGCGGCGATACTGTTTTTGCACCCGGGCGTCCAACAACCCAGGAATGGCCCTGGATATTAGTAAGAATTGGACAGAAAAGAAATTCAGTCGAGTGAAGAAATACCGTTCGAATTAGGGTATGTGTCCCAATTAGGAAGGCTTTAAGATAGTTTTCGCAATCAAGTATTTATTCAAAAATACTGCTACATAAATTGCATGTTGTGGAAATCAATATCAGTTGCTAAACAATTTCTTTGTACAAAGGAATGTTTTTTAAATAGTTAAATCTTTGTAATGTATGTAATTAAATACAAACAGATGTTTTTGTCTGTATTACAGAGCCCTTTCAGTAACTGCAGATGTGTTTCGGTGCCCCGTATTACGGAGTCTTGAATGACGCTTTTAACCTAGCTTTTAAGTAGCAGATTTGTTATTTATTCGTTCTTTCAAATTTTAAACGCAGTATAAGAATTTACAAATTGGCAATAATTGATGAAATATTAAAACTCGTGAGTTTAGTAGTGAGACCGAAAGTCACCTTACAAGCAACAAATATATCAAAATCCCCCTCATCGTTCTAGATACAAAAAAAATACACAATGTATTCCCCCTGAATTGATAATCGATTGGACTTTCTTTGGTATAATAAAATATCTGATGAAATTCAGTCCAACTTTATCTCATCACCCGATAAAACCGACAGAAGCGGGGGAATATCCCGGGAAAGACTTGGTAACGAAGGTGTAGACGACAATCGGGGGAAACCCGTTAAGATGCACGGGTATCGATGAAAAAGAAAAAAAAAATTAGAAACCAAAGAATGACTGGAGATCCTTGCAAGATTCTGCTTCTTTATTTAAACAGCCGCGTTACACCACGCGATTGACGATATTCGAAACGATCAAACACGTTTCGTTAACTACGTACACAACACATAGTTTGCTAAATCAGACATTACGGATTTTCCGCCCCACCTATTTCTCGTTTACCCCGCTCTCTTCTTTCTTCCATTCTAGTCACTATATAGGCCAGCAAGTGCATCGTAAGTGTCAGTTCAGTTGCAAGAAACCTCGGAACAACGTGAGCGCTCGTGAGAAGACGATTTTAGACGAGTCAGAATAAGTGCGAGGCTATCGGTACAGTGATGGAGTCATACGACATTGAAGAGTACTACAACGTTGCTGAAGAACTGGTTCTAAAGGCGGGCAAAGTACGAGTCCTATTATGCACAAGGGTGATTCGTAAATCTTGGGGAGAGGGAAATTGAAGATCCTTAGTAGACAACACTATTTCTATGCGATGCAATATTTCCATGTTGCTTTCAATAACTTTAAATGTATCTGCAGTGGTAGAGAAATAAAGTTTAACAAAAGAATGTGGTGGAAAGATAATGTAACAATAAAAAGAAAGATCAATTTATAACAAAGACATGTATTATTTGAGATAATGAAAATTATATGAGGAAAAGTCACACGTACAAAGAATAAGAATGCATAGAGAAGCTATACATAACAGAAAGTAATTTAATTGTAATCTCTTATTAGTGTAATCTCTGTAAGAGTTGTCAATATCTGTAGCCTCTTAAACACACTGTTAATAGAAATATATTACGTATCTTATATTTGAAGTAACATTTTACATTTTATTTTTTAAAGATATTTCAAGAAGAATTAGTTACACAAACACTTTTTTAGTGGTAATATTTAGTGATTAATTTAAATTTTCTTAGACCATTGCTGCATTACCTTAAACGTTATGATTTTGCAATCTGCTCTTAGATTTCTCTGAAAATGTACTTTATACTATTTAAATTGGTAAATTAAATTTCAGATAATAGAGAATGGCATTAGTTCGAAAAAGAGTGTGAAAAGTAAGGGGATTGACTGGGACCTTGTTACAGAATATGATAGGAAAATAGAGGATGATTTACAGAAACAATTGTCAAAAATATACCCACGACATAAGTAAGTGTATAAAAAACAAAGTAACAAGAATTTTGAAAAATTCGATTTTGAATAGTGAAGAAAATTGAAAATCTAATGATTTCTTTTATGTTACACATGAATTGTAGATTTATTGGTGAAGAATCAACAGCAGAAAAACGTTGTTTGCCAAAGTTAACAGATGATCCAACGTGGATCATCGACCCTATAGATGGTACAACAAATTTTGTTCACAGATTTCCTCATACATGCATCTCTTTAGCATTACTGATAAACAAAAAAATAGAAATTGGAATGGTGTACAATCCTCTGATGAGGCAATTTTTCTCTGCAAAGAAGCAGAAAGGAGCCTTTTTGAATGGACATCCTATAAAAACATCAGACATAACAGGTAAGTTTCTTTATAAAAGCTTGCAATATGTATCTTAATTACACTTAATACTGTTTGTACACAGCTTTTTCAGAAACGTATCTATTAAGTTGTTGGGAAAGTAATTCCGTTTTTTCAGTTAGATGTCGTTAATTGTATTATTAAAAAGACAATTTCATTCTAACCCATAAAATCATTCTATATTTTGTCAACTAACATTTCAAATATTTTTTAAACTTTTGTTTAAGAAAATTTTTTGTTCAATCTGTCAAGTTGTTTTAATTGTTGTTGCATCAAAAATGGAAAACCAAAGTGGTTTCCAGTATATTTTGCTTTTTTATTACCGTCAAAGTAAATATGCAATGCAAGCAAGAAAAAAAATTGTGTGCCGTGTATGGAGAGGATGTGTTGAGTGAACACCAGTGTCAAAATTCTGGTAATTTCAATGTCAAAGATGCACCACATTCTGGAAGGCCAGTTGAGGCTGATGAAGACCAAATAAAGGCAATAGTGGAAGCAAATCGTTAGATAACAACACTAGAAATTGCTGGGAGGCTAAATTATCGAATTCAACAGTTCATGAGCATTTGAAGCAACTTGGTTTCGTTTCAAAGCTCGATATTTGGGTTCCATACGTTCTCAGAGAAAGAGATTTGATTCGTCGCATTACCATCTACGATATGCTGTTGAAACATATGAAAAACAATCCATTTTTAAAGTGAATCATAGCTGATGATGAAACATGGATTGTATACAACAATGTTAAATCACCGACGAGGTATAAGAATAGACCTTTCATCTTGTGGGAGTTTGTGGCCCACCTAAACTGTAGTACCAACACCTTAAAGAGCCTGTAATTTTAATGACCTCTACATTATGAGAATGGCAAATCTATGGTGGGTAGTGACACTAAAATGAAAATGGGGTAATGTAACCCCAGAGAAGTGGGCCACAAAAAATACATTGGATGAAATGGAAGCAATCATGGAGTAGACGTGATGAATCAGCTCAAAAGCACATCGAAAGCTGAAATCCATCAAAAGAAGGTGATGCTCTCTGCTTACCAGGATTGGAAAGCGATTTTTTTTTGAGCTCCTAAAAAACAACCAAACGATTCATTTGAATCTGTACTGCCACCAATTGTACAAATTGAATGATTCCATCAAGCAGAAGAGGTCAGAATTGGTGACTCACATATGTTTGGTGACTCGCCAGAAGCTATTAGAGCTTGGATATGGCACCATCTGATTATCATCTGTTTTGCTTGCTGCAAAATTCTTTGACTGGCAAAACTTTTGATTCAAATAGAGGTGTGAAAAACCACTTAATTTAGTTTGTTGCCAATAAGAACAAGAAGTTTTACGAGCACGGAATCACTTCATTACCTGAAAGGTGACAAAAGGTGTTCGACCAAAATGGTCAATATATAACGGAATAAAACTGTTCCTTTCTATAAAAAAAATAGTGTCATTTCCATGCAAAAAACGAAATTTCTTTCTGAACAACTCAATACTTTGTAAAAACAGAATTAGGTGTAGTTTTAATTAAATGAAACTCTTGTTCCTAGATCTATCTCAAACACTAGTTGCAATGGAACCATGGATTGCCAAAGATTCAAATTATCTAGTCACTGTGTATAGTAGAATGCATGCCTTAATTCAAGGCACACATGGGTATGCATATTCTTCAATTTTTTTAATATTTTAACTTTTACTTTGTTTTAGTTATCAAAATAATTGGTAATTTTTTGTCCTTAGAATAAGGTCATTAGGCACTGCAGCTCTTACACTATGCTATGTTGCAATGGGTGCTATAGAAGCATATCATATTGAAAGTATAGATGCATGGGATGTTGCTGCTGGAAAACTAATAATAGAAGAAGCAGGTGGAATAGTATTGGATACAGCTGGTATGAATATCTTACAATAACTATTTTTTTGTCACATAACATACATTAACTATAAGTTGTTTATATTGTTTTAGGCGGAGAACTGGATTTGATGACACCTAGAGTTATTGCAGCTTGTAATCATCAAATTGCTGATCAGCTGATAGAACTCTTTAAAATTGCCGATTCAAAAGCTATTGATAAAAACTTGAAATAAAATTTCTTACGTTATGGAATTTAATTATTTCTCTTATCTTCTGTTTATCTTACTTGCCTTTTCTTAACATGCATTACTAAAACCACATTACGTCCCTTAATAAAAACTACTTACACCACATTAATAAAACAATCACATTTTGTACATGTGGCAGTTAGTAGTTCTTCAATAATTTCTTCCTTAAAATAATAAAATAAAAATCGCATTGCTAATTCTATTTCTTACCTGTGGACCCATATTCGATTGCATTTGCTGTTGATGTGATTGGTAGTTTTGTTGCTGTGACGATGGTTGTTGAGTTTGTTGCGACATTTGTGGACCACCAGGTGGTATTGGAGGTCCCGTTTGATATGCTTGTGTTGGACTATGTGGATGATGTTGTGGAGGGCCCATTGGGCTACCTTGTGGATTAGATGGCGATGGTGCCTGCTGAGGAGGCCCCATAGGACTTGGGGCTTGCGGTGGTGGCATAGGAGACGATTGTGGTGACGGACTAGCCATCTTGTTATGCTTGTATTTTTACACGTACAAAATCACCTCCTGAAATAAATTAAACATTGTTATCCAGTATTATTTAAAAATAATTAATATTATGTATTAAATTCTGTTTTTAATACTTGTTTCAATAAACAGATTTAAATGAATTATTGGCTATCGCTGCAAGTAATCTCTTTCACTACTCATTAATTACACATTGAATATACATCATCCATCGCAACAATCTTAGTTATTCTATGCTGGTGCTTACTACTGTATACTTACTTTTCAATACCCAGTAGTCTTATTAAATTAATGTATAATACACTGATAAGCAAAATTTGTCAAAAATTCATCATTTTTATAAATGTTTTTACCTATGTATGCACAGAGAATAGACAAAATATTTTTACTCATTGTATATACAGCTTTAGAAAGCCTATATTCCGAATTTGACACTTACTCGATTAGCTAACCTTCATTACAGGCAACACAATTTAAGTAATACCTGTCTGATCGTAAAAGAACATAGAAAATTATCCTAATATAGAAAAAACTAAAGCGTTTCTTAAGGTATACAATCCTCATACACAGACGAGATTTTACAGAATATGTAAATTAGGAGTCATTGATGGAATTATGTTTCCGTATAAATATGAAAAAGAAACGTGCATTGTCAAACTCCCATTCGTTGAAAAACAGTCAGTTTTAACGAGAAATCTGACAACTCATCTTCATTTCGAGTCAAATACCAGGGTTTCATGAGATCAAGAGATTTTCATTACACTTGCAAAAACTTTTTAAAAATCATTTTACGTACCTCTTGAAATTCACTTTGTCGTAATAAGATATTCCTTTTTAGCCATACGTCGGCCTATGTTGAACGAGGGGGGTATTTATCGAAACCTATACTGTATTCGACACATAAATGAATACACGCTACCGGCCATTTTCCTGCTGTCCCTACTCATAGTACGTTAACAAGTCGGGAAACATGGCCGTCATTTCGAAGCTTCAATGTTTCTTCGTATAAGTTCAATTTACAAGGTGAGGATTGGCTTCTAGCGAATACCTAGTTGTGTGGCGTTTGAGTTTTACATTCTATCTTTCATGTGCCGTCAAAGCTAGAGGAGAACCGCAAGTGCAAGAAGGACAAACTTATGCGACGGATTCCGCGCAGTCGAGCAGAGTTCGGCAGAATTGTCTTCCCTACGTAGGAGCGAATTACAAAACGAGATTCCCCCCTTCTCCTAGCGCGATGTTACAGTCTCACATTTCCCTCCGAAAATCTGTCAACCAATTCTATGATTCAATTCATCCCCTGATTACTTGCGAAATAATCAACTAATGGAAACAATGAAAGCATGACACTGTATAAAGGGTTTAGAGACCCGACCATCTCATATTTTACAATTTTTACAGTTCCAATAACCTGAAACGAATTTTGGGGTACTAATGAATTTACTAACCAGCCTAGGAAAACAAATTAATTTTTAATCTGGAATATATTTATTAGACCAGCGAATAATTCAGTATACAATTCAAGTTTTCCATAGATATATATAATAGACTGCGTGGTCTTATGGTAGGAAAGCAGTCGGCACTAAAGAGAGAGAACAATAACTGGAGTAGTTTTCCTCTTTCCAATGGGGCTGTTGGTGGGGGTTTCTCCTACAGCTGTAGTAGAAGGTAGCAGGGTTGAATCGATACCGCCAAGGTATCGATACTTTTACTCATTGCTAGTAGAGAATAGAGAAGGCATGAACTGCTATTTGTGAATCACTCGTGATTCGATCACGTTCGTTCCCAATCACGGTGATTTTTCATAGTGATTCATGATTTCTCGTGATCGTTTCTGATTGGTGGAGAAACCTAACAGTTCTTTACACGCGACACATAATCTGTATATTTTATATTAACGACATCAAAACAAAAATTCGAGTTATATCGTATAAAGTGAAGGAATAATTAGAAACAATGAAGAATATTGAATAAATTAATGATTATAAATTATAATCTACATGTTACCTAGCAAATCATTCTTTTAGAATTTCTTGTTTTTTCTACTGATTTTTGCAAACACGAATAGTAATGTAATTCATCGTAAAATCATATTGAATACGTTTTTCTGTTTAAAGATCAATGACTTACGATCGCTGTGAGCAAATTCACTCAAGGTAAAAAAATCACAATCACGGTCGGGAATGAAGTTAAATCATGTCCGTGATCGTGATTCGGCGATCACTGTGATAAATCACCGTTAGTGATTTTGCACGCTATCTCTAGTAATGTATGAAGGTATCGATACATACTCAGTATCGAAACAAAAGTATCGAATTATATTCTCCTAACCTTCCCACATAACACTCAGGGCGGAATTCATATTCATAACAAGGTCTCTTGCGCATGCACCGGGGGTTCTATGACACCACTTCTCACCACACGAGGTCTCTGGCGCCTCCTGCGGGGGTTCTGTGACCCCGCGCCTCGCCAGACGGGGTCTCTGGCGCCTCCACCGGGGGTTCTATGACCCTACGTCTCAACATACGGGGTCTCTTACGTGTACGTTACAAATTCGTGTAATTTTTAGAATATTGATATTAATTTATGAACCGAGATTATGGTTTTACAAGTTTCAAGGTTGTTGATATAAGAATAAATTAAAATATCACTTTTATTAAGAAAATTAATTACGTACTTATTATTGTATTTATTTATACAGAGTTCTTTAAGAAATGAAGTAATAGGAATTAGGAGGAAGGTGGATGGGATTAATGAACAACGCATATGTACCGTTTTATTGTCTTTTATTTAATCAATTCTAAGGAAATATACAGTTTACAATATAAGATCATAAAGAGACATACAATTAAAATTATCGTATACGATAATAAGATTGGCAGCATTAATGGAATTTGGATTATTCCAACATGCTGTTGTGGTACGCATGGAATTTTGACATTCATTTTAAGTCCCATTCATTTTTGTAGTAGATTGAAATACGCAATGTCCCATAAATTTCAATGTCATTCCAATTTTGAAAGTGCTACATATGGTTCTCATATCTGTACAAAATGTTCAGTTTGTTTCGTTTCATAATTATTCATGGAAAAACCAGTAGTCTCTCTATACTTATATGTACATGTAACATGGTTATACGTACTGTTGCGAAATTGTTGTATTTTTCACATCTAGTTTATTGACTTCGCCGTGTACGCCGTGAATCATGGTTTTTATAGGTTTAAGCACAAGAAAGAAGTCATTCGCCGAGGGATGTTAGTACCGATAGTATTATGTACATAGTTAAGATTTAAGTTATTTATAAGGTTTATTGTGAAAGGTAGGTAGATGTAGAACTTGTGATTCCATCTACCTGCCTTGGGCCTCCATTCGCAGCAACCTCCTCGTGGTGAGACCTGGGCAATCGGTATTATGATCGGTAAAGTACTGTAAACTGAGGACAATATCGAGCTAATGGCTGCGAATTTCGAATCTATCTCATAAAACCACGTTCTATATTACATCGAACTAGGATTATTTTAGAAATCGATATGAGATTCAAAGTGTTCTAAAAATATACTTCGAATGTTATAAGAAATTATTCGAGATAAAATGAATGGAACTACTGAAAATTACTTTAGATTCCATTTCCTTATTCTGTAAATTCTTTGATTGGAATATGAATGCTGATGGAAGTATGAACATTTTCACAGGACAATGATATAAATGGAACTTCGCAAAAGCTGCTTCTTGGAAAGTTGGAAAGTACGTGTGAAAAGGAAGTACCTCGCATGGCAATATAGTTAGAGTCCACTGTACGTGAGTGCCAACCTCCTATGTAACGGCCCATCAAATCCCGTTAGTAGTCATTACTTACCACGTTGCTTTCTTAATCACTCAGCTCAATATTCTTTTCTTGTTCTCGTTCTCTGTCTCAAAGATTCTTTATCCATAGTAAACACAACAAAAAAAAACGAAATCAAAAAATAAAATTTCTTTATAGGCTACTGTACAATATAACTGAGGGGTTCGAACAAACTTCCTCGGATCAATTTTAAGAAAACGCATCATAAATTTTACTGTAAACTATCGGTGAAATCTTGTACAATTTTTTTAAAAAAGACAAACTGTCAAAGAGACATGTTTATGTAACTTATAACTGTGCGCACGTCTTCATATTATAAGTAAGATTCAACGAATAGTATGTATTCATATACAGTAGAGTCACTTTAAAATACAGCTCTTGGGCCTCTATAGTTGGTCTTTTCCAAGAAATAGTACATTAACGTGAACCAATGGCACGTGGGATCACGTCACGTGTCGGTCGAAGGACCAATTATTGGCTACAGAAGGCTACAGACAGTGGAGACGTTCCTAACGCTATTTTCAAGAGCAGTACTTTAACGCGAGTCCACTGTAATTAGAGGTAATGTGATCATTTAACAATTAAAAACAAACAAAATTAACGTTGTCGCGCTTAACATCATCTTGTTGTCTTCAGTATATGTAAGTACCAAAGATTCATTTTTGTACAATATAATTTTGTAAGTTTCATAGATATTTTATAATAATACATTGATAATTTATGACTACCAAACGTTTTTCAAAGAATTATTAAAGCAACGATGATTTTAATCGCAACACCGCTTAGCCAATGTTACTAAACAGTTTTTATTTATTGATCGTGTTTCAACAAAGTACAAGTGTACGAGTCACCTTTTTTTTTTTTAGTTTTCTAGGACATTATCGTCCCTTCTGCTCAAGGGCAGTCGGCTGAAAACAACACGTTGTAGAAGAGTAGAGACTAGTGCTAATTTCCGTAAGCGGTCCGCACAAGAATAAAGTGCAACCTAAAATTAATTTTCAATACTTGCATTATAAAATCTATTTTCAAAAATTGCACTTGAAAACTAAAATAGTGAACATAATTTGATTATTATTATTATTATTGTTTAACACGAGTATTGTTTCTACGACACGTAGAAAATTGTAAACCCAAAATGAAATTAACACACTATAACAGCAATCGGTTCCATAAAAAAATTGTGCTAGTCTGTGATCCATTTGTTGTTCAGAAAATATTATTCAGTACTTTTTATTTTAACCCTAGAACGACACTGTAGGGTTGCCAGCGAGCTCAAAAACTTATAATGGTCTCTATATAAATGTACCAATAAACACTTGAATATAAAACTATAATATATAATAGATCTAATAACAATAAGCTGCATTAATTAATTTGTATTTATATTAATTTATTTATAGGTAATCTCTGTGACAGTATGATCACATAAAAAAACGGGTCCTCCTATACTCTTCCTCGATTAAGTATGTCACGATACAATCAGAGTTCATCCGATATTCAGTATACGAGAATGATATATGCGATATTCTCGCATGGTTCCTAGTACATCGAAAACGAAACATATTTTACAAGTACCTTTTTAATAATTATGCCGCTTGTGATAAATTCAAACACATGAGATATAAGTATAGATAAGTATTATCCATTTTGGTCATTAAACATATTATCTTATGTAAAAAAACATAATGTGTAACAAATTATGTAAAAATTCATAAACTCGTAAGATTGATTTCGTGTGACCGGCTTCAGAATTGACCTGAATAATGATTTTAAAAACAGATCGATCTGTTACTTTAGACCTTGAAAACAATATAATGGAGAGAGTTAGAAGAAAAAAATGTGCAAAAATACATTTCAGCTATTCTCATGATAGTTTCAGATGTTTAACAGTTCTAATAGTTTCGACGTGTCGCCTTGCTAGAGTCTTTCACATATTAAACTGCAGAGGGGTTGAACATAAGCAACCGAGGAGGAGTCCATCTTGATTTTATAATCTTGTGGTCAACAGCAATGGCATCTTTAACGTAATAAAACCTATCCGAGGTAATTTAAAAATTTACAGTGCAAAATGGATTATTCTTCATGAAATTTATTAGTAATAATAATTAGAAATATATAAAATTGTAAATAAAGAAATAACAATCATCTGAAACAAGCAAGAATATTGCTGAGTTACGGGTTGATATATCGAAACCAGTGTCTTTTTAATAACTAACCTATACGACTATGTTAGTAAGATTGTTTATTGTCATACATATTCAAATTTAATATTTTTAATATATATTTTCAATAATATTATCAAATTCAAATATAATATGATATATTTTATATACATGTATAGACGTATATAAAATAATAATAATAATAACTGTAGAAGTAAAATAAGCACAACGATCACGAACCTTTTTTAGTATTTTCTGTAATTGTAAATGTATTTATTGTGACTTTCGATTTACGGTTTCTAAACAAAAATAATACTCTACAGCTTTCCGATAGATACTTAAGAAAGGATAGACAACATTGAATAGCAATGTCAAGTAAAATTTGAGATATTCGAACTTCATTTTGGGATCGCTTGTACACCCTCAACAGCGTTAAATACGCTATAGAACCGTTGTGCCGTTCTAGGGAGAATACAAATATACAGGGTGTAACAAAAGTGTTGTAGGTCCCTGAAATGAGTCACTCGTGAGTAGATTTAGAACAAGTTTTTCCTTAGTAAAAATGTTATCCGAGGCTCTGTTACCAAGATATTAACGAAAAAACCCAGACCAATTAAAGCGCCAGTCTGTCGGCCGAGCTCTGATTGGTCGGTGTTTTTCGTTAATATCTCGTTAACAAAGCTTCAGATAAGATTTTTACTAAGGAAAAACTTGTTCCAAATCACCTCACGAGTGACTCATTTCAGGGACCTACAACACTTTTGTTACACCCTGTATACGTCTTTATATACAAATTTCCTAATATAGAATTGTACCGTCAATGACTTTGCATACAATTACCTAAAATAAATATACAAAGACTAGAGACAATTACAGACACAATTATGTATACAAAATTATCAATAATTATGATAAAATAAATAAAATATTCATTATTGTTTCAGAGGTAGCACTTGATTCCCGATAGTTCGAGCCGCCTAATAAAGATATTAGAATGATAAAGAGCCACCGCGTTACCGGTTCCTCGAGCAAAGCGACCCCCACGAGCGAATCGTGCATCCGTTGTCACCAAGTGGAAAGACATTATTAGCGTAAGAAGGAACAGGATAATGAAGGGTCCTTGCGCAACGTAAGATACAGATGTATCGATATACACACAGAGCCAGCTAAGCATTCTACGAACGATCGAACTGCCGAACGAGAGTGCCGAATAGACTTTTCAACCTTTTCACCATTAAACCCTCATACTTCAAAAAAAATTATAAAATCATCGAATTCCAGACAAATGATACCGACATACTTCCGAAAAGTCGTAAATTTCAAAATATCTCTCGTGATACTGCTAGAAATAGGAATAAAAAACATGATTATTTCATTAAGATTATGGAAAAATTCAAAATAATTCTCTCGTTTCAACGTTTCGAACGATCGAGTCGGTTAATACAATTTACCCGCGACTCATTACTGTTACGATTAATATTGTTTCTCGGTCCAGCCACGCGTCCATGCAATCAAGGAGTATAAAAAAGCTTCCAAATTTTTTATGTTTATACATGTATAAACTACAATTAACCATCACTCGTTTTCAACACGTCGATATAAACAATGTAAAGTGTACATAAGAACATATTATAATAACCAACTTTAATGTAAAACCTTTTTTCTAATAATGTATACAGGGTGTCCCAAAATAACTTCGACTCCCGGAAACGAGGGGTTTCTGGGATGATTTGAAACAAACTTTCTCCTTAGCAGAAATGTTGTCCGAGACTTCGTTACCGAGATATTAACATTTTTGCTAAGAAAAAAATTGTTTCAAATCACCCCAGGAACTCCTCATTTCCAGGAGCCGAAGTTATATTGGGACACCTTGTATATTTACACGCATAAGCGTTAGTTTTATTATAAAATTTTTCATTAGCCAAAAATCATCCGATATTCGATCATCGCAACGCTGCTCGGTGCAGATTACGAACTGATTCATTACACACGATCAATCGATTAACATTCTGAAAAATTCGGAAGCTACCATACACCTCGACTATAAGACGGTAGGTCCAAACAATCGCCTGCCTTCAGGCAAGGGACCGGTATGGTCCAACAGCGGTTAGAGCTGTGATTGGTTGAAACAATATGTGGCTGTTGCCTGTCATTCTGGGAGAAAACGAAATAACATGCAGTATTTTTCACTGAGAGAATCCACGAAAATAGAGAAGATAATGAATTCTATGTGTTTTTGTGACAGCCAGCAATATACGCATATGGTAGGTAATAATGCATAATTGTTTTTAACACTGTACACATCTTTGAATGAAATATTTCCCAGAACGACAGACTATGCCCAAACTTTCGAGCTTTCCACAGAACGTCTTTATTCGAAACAAGTTGATAATGTGACACTCAATAAATAACAGAATTTCTACATGTCCAATTCTGCCATCAGATTGTCCTGCCGAATCTCAAAGTAAGGGATGGTCTAGAAATACCAGGGTCAGGCCATGATTTAGCAGTATCGAGGGGTGAGAAGCGCCATCAACGACTGCGTTTTTTGTACTGTTGAATATTGTCGGCTTAAAAATGGACACGTAAGCACGAATCGTAACTGATCGTCGACAAACCGTTTCGGCGAGATCATAGTGAAAACAAAAACGTGATTCGGAAAGACAACCTCTGAAAATGAAGTATACTCATAACGATTGTGTAGTTCTTTTTTAGGTACGTACACGTGTTGTACGGCACGGTATGCTGTTTCATAATTTTTCTCGAAGTACTGGTAGAAGTCGAGTGAAAGAATAGACAAACAGGGTGCCTACTGAGGTAAACCTTCACGAAGAGAATGATTTTCACGTACTCGTGTTTCTCACGATCAAACAGCTGAATTCGAACAGTACGATTCACGTTCTTTTTTTTTTTTTTTTTTTTTTTTTTTTTTTTTGTCAACATACAACGAACACACAAAGTCTCATGATTTTAGTTGCAGCCTCCTCTTGCACCGTCTTCGCCACACTTTCGCAATACGGTTACGTGCCGACTTCCATTCGTCTGAAAGCATGAAACGTATGAAAAGTTCGAGCTTCGGCGATTGAAATTCCCGGAAACAAAATTTCGATCACCGTCAACCTATGAAATAGTGTTTATACAGATATCTTTGCTCTCTTCTCATCTCATCATTTCTCGCATATTATACTTAACACCGCAATACATAAACGTGAACATTTCTACGGTTAAATTTGCAATATTTTGCTATCAATAGACACCCTGAGAAAGAAATAGAACGACAGAAAAGAAAGTTACGAAACAATACTGGAAAAGACAAAGGGAAGGACAGAAGTTTTTTTTTTCTTCCAAGGATCAAGTAGAGTTTCGTCCGACCGTAGAGTCTGCTATTTAAAAGTTTAACACAGTTCTGGATGCATCTCAATAACTTAGAAATCTCTAATATGCAATACGTTTAGTGTTAGAAAAATTTAACTAAATAAAATACTTTATATAGCAATTCACTCTAAAATCGAAACGAAAAGAATTGGTGACAGGGCATAGGGTAAAGTAAAGAGAATGGCGTGAGTCGAGTGTAGAGAGAGAGCCGGTGTCATATTTTGTAAGCACCCTCTGTACTTACCACTCACTCATGCGTCGCCAACATGTTCCTTGCAAAGGAAGAAGGCTTTCTCGGATCGAATCGATTACTTCTGCTTTGCGGCCATGAAATTGCGATCAATGGTGTTACTTATCGTGATTAACATTATAAAAACGTTTAAATCGTAACGAACTTTTTAGGCTAGTGGATAGAATAAATGTACCTCTTGTCGAAGTGGAAAGAAAATGATAGAGGTAAGTATTATTCACTTAATGTTTCAAATGTTTCCAGGAAGCATAATAAAATCTAATACAGACGAACAATTTTAAATGCATATACAAGGTGTCCCAAAAAGATGGGACAACCCGCAACATGGATATTCCCCATGCAAATACAAATCGAAAAGTCCTTTACCGTTTTGTAATCTGAAGCCCCATTTCCGAGATATTAGCAGTTAAACGAACTCGACTGAGCAGTTAACGAGCAGTTGAGTGGTGACTTAGATCGCGCGCTTCTTGACTGTCTGCGAGTACGTGTGAGTTCGTTTAACTACTAATATCTCGGAAACGAAACTTCAAATTACAAAACGGTAAAGGACTTTCCGATTTGTATTTGTGTAAGGAATATTCATGTTACGCATTGTCACATCTTTTTGGGACACCCTGTATATACAGTGTATCTCACCACCTCTGTCCATCTAAATATCTTGATTATTTCAAACAATATGAGAAAATGTTACTTACAGAAGTTGTAGGGTTTAAGAAACTATATAATATGGTATAAACGGTATTTTTGCAAGTGGAGGCGTATAGAACATCTAGAGGTCACCTTGGTTTTTTTAAATGGAATGTCCAATTTTTTATGCCGGACTTCGATAGATTGGCGTATTCTGAGTATAAAAGTACTAAGGTGCATTTGTCCTGTAACTTACGCGTTACTGAGATATTTTACTTTTTTACTATTCGCTGTTTACATTTGACATAGTATGTATATCCTCGAATACGTTCCATAATGAAACTAATAGAATGAAAACAGTCATATATCTCAGCAATGGTAAGTCTTAGGACAAAATGCACCTTAGTAGTTTTATACTCAGAATACGCCAATCTATCGAAGTCGAGTATAAAAAATTGGACATTCCATTTAAGAAAACAAAGGTGAGCTCTAGATGTTCTCTACGCCTCCACTTGCAAAAATACCATGTATACCATATTATATAGTTTATTAAACCTTACAACTTGTGTAAGTAACATTTTCTCGTATTGTTTGAAATAACCAAGATATTTAAGTTTTAAAGAACACTATAATACCACTCCTACTTAGCATCATATAAATAACTGCTCAGCTACGAGTCTCAAAATCATTAGATACTATATTTGAATTCTTTACCACGAAAAGTTTAATAGAATTCAACTCCCTGCCCGTTTCTTTTCTGTTCCTATAAAAGTTACCCGTTTTACCCTAAATTGTTCCAACGACATTACATTTCCCACGTTTTTACATTTTCGCAAGGGAACATCGGGGACTGATACACTCTGATTTTGATGAAACTATATAAATATTTATTAAACCTATCTAAGAAGATAGCTGTAATTCGTTCGTGCCTGTTTTCCCCTTCTATATACGTGCTTATAAGTCGTAAACAACAAAAGATATCAAAAAATGGTTGAAATAAAAGTTATACCGTTTTTTGAGATTTATAAAGCTGCTATTATCGATTAAAATAAAATACAGTTCTTTAAAAAGGAGGAAAAGGGGGAGGATTCAATTTTCAAAAAATAATTTTTTCAAAAAAATTTACACGCAGTTTTATAGAGCTCAATAAACTGTATAACTTTTATTTCAACCATTTTTTAATATCTTCTGTTGTTTACGACTTATAAGCACGTACATAGAAGGGGCGGCTCGGATAAAGGCGTTGATATCTGTCTCAAAGTGAAAAACGGGCACAGACGAATTACAGCTATCTTCTTAGATAGGACTAATAAATATTTATGCAAAGTTTCATCAAAATCGGAGTGTATCAGCCCCCCCCCTGTTCCCTTATGAGTAGAATTCCATTTTATAATATTCTTAGTAATTTTTAAACAGTTTCACGATTTTGTAGCATTAAAACAAACACCCTTTCTATAGCATGCAACTGCTTCATTAGTCCCAATTGTGTTTGAATAGGTAAAACTTTTTTGCTGAACTGATTAATTTATACAGAAATATTAAAATGTAATGAACTTTTTACAAGTATAGGAATATAAGGAAACAACTACTGAACATAAAAATAAACGTACATTGTACTGTTAACGGAAAAAAGATTAGGCATGTATAATGCCATAAAATTGCATGAAGACGAAGCCTTATTAAATGCTGCATTATTTTTTTTAGTATGTTCCTCTATCATTTTTTCTACACCTCTACGCGGTAAAAAGTTATAATCTGCATTCTTTGTCGGGATCACTCTATATATATATACAGTCTAAAATTTTTTAAACCCATTTCGGAGCTGAATTCAGCGCTCGAAAATAAAATAAGTCTGGTTTTTGCCCTGTTCTTAAATTTCTCTGGTCATTTCTGCGTTTCTTCTACTTTAAAATCGATGCTGATTAAAAATTTATGTATCAAACAACTGAATAAAATTATGTAAAATTCCTGTAAATACAACAGTACCTGAATTTGAGTAACGAATTTCCTTAAAATTAATATTACGAGGAACCACATTTCTATTACACTTTTTATTTGCTCTATTTAAGGGACCCTTCATCAGCGCGAAACTAGTTATTTACTGTCGAAAATAATAAACGAGTAAGAGATTACTTAATTAATAAAAATTTTAATTATTTAATTGCCAATAAAAATATTAGTATCCAAATATCATAGATTATACGACATCAACAGAGAGTTTTTCTAAAACATTTACTGTAAATCGATTGCTAGAGAGGTACATACGTTTATAAAATCGACCCTTAAAAGGAATTCTTCATACATGACCTCCGCCAATTTTAATGAAACTGACAAGGAAACATACCGAACTGTCCGTCTTTGATTTTGATTAAAGTTGGTGAATATATTAAGCAGGTGAAAATAAGGGATACGTATTTTTTTATAGTTGCCCAATCGCAAGTCGGAATTCGCGCGGTCTGCGTATTATATAACAATTTACCAAACTGTAGGAGGTACATCTATCATATTATGCATCAATGGATTCAGAAAAAAATTTCGGTTCTTTTTTGTCATTATGTAAATTTTAGTAGTCTCTTAAAATAATGCAATAATAAATTTTTTTATTATAAACAAATTACTTTTTACAAAATCTGTGATCATTTTTTGTTTTACTTCAAGAAATCATGAAACTTTTCCCTAACAAGTTTTCTTATATCTGTAATAGTCTTCGAAATACCATTTTTCTGCTGAAACTTCAAAGGGTGATGTCACCCCCTAAACCTTGCGATTGGGCGGCTATAAAAAAATACGTGTACCTTATTTTCACCTGCTTAATATATTTACCAAGTTTCATCAAAATCGGAGACGGACAGTTCGGTATGTCCCTTGTGAGCAGGATCGTTGGGTATACATATGTGGAGAGACATTTGTAAAATATTAGCCGTAGGTGGCTTTTAAGAAATTTGAAGTCGAAGTTTGGAAAAATAGTCTAGTCCGTTAAATACCAGTTACCACGACTGTTTGTCAGTAATACCGTTGGCGGAACGACAGCGTAGTGGTATTCCACTTTTCTTAACACACATTTTTTGTACGCGCAGACACAGTCAAGAAGCGCACGACCTACGTCACCACTCAACTGCTCGTTAACTGCTCAGTCGAGTTCGTTTAACTGCTAATATCTCGGAAATGGAGCTTCAGATTAGAAAACGGTGTCCTATCGATGTGAGTCAGAAATGATCCGATTTCGGACGCCCCGTGAGTCCAGTACTCGGATCGTTAAGTACACTTTTTAAAAAAATGATATTAGTCTCGGAAATGGAGCTTCAGATTAGAAAACGGTGTCCTATCGATGTGAGCCAGAAATGATCCAATTTCGGACGCCCCGTGAGTCCAGTACTCGGATCGTTAAGTACACTTTTTAAAAAAATGATATTGTACATGTTTCCTGTATCAAATATTTCACTCTGTCCGATGGTAAAATTTATTTCGTTCTAAGTCGTTTAGTTTTTAATATAACAGTCTAAAAATGATATTAAGTTTATATTTCGTTCCGAGCCAAACAGTGTGAACTCGATTATATTGGGGAATTAAAGCAAAGCCTCAATTTCTACATATGGATACTTGTCTTAAATCCATTCAATAGTGGTAGCGATTAATCCTCGCTCAATTCTTACCGAACAGTTCCAATGTTACAAGGCTTTCGCACCTTTGACTTGCTCTCCTTTAAAAAGTTTGAAAAGTGTGACTTAATACACTCTGGCTTTGGGGGCCAGATATACAAGGTGAATTCTCACTGGAGGGGTCGAGAGGCAAGCCGCGTGCTTTGTCGTTTAAAATTTGCTAGCTACGCCTGCTGAGCAGTCTATGTGTGGGAAAAGGCAGATCGAGAACCGACACTCGTTCTGTTTCTGTCACACGCACTCTCAACCCCTCCAGCGAGATATTCGCCCTGTATGGATAATGTATTCCCCGTCACAACCGACGCAAGCAGACGCAGAACGAGGGGTGCCCAAAAAAAGGTTACGTGCCCGGGTATCGATGACGTAACAGTAATGCAACGATGAAACTTTTTTATTTTTGATCTTTTGTTAATGAAACTTTTATTAGTATATTCGTGAGATTTTTCTAATTATGATAATTCCAAACACGACAAAATTTGGATCATATTTACCCATGTAGAAAGTGTTAACTCTCCAAGTACTGAACGTGGCGGCCGTTGCAGAGTCATTTCTGACTCACATCGATAGGGTACTCTACTTGATTCACATTATGTCGTGTTTGGTATCATTTTAATCAAAACAATCTCACCAACACGTTAGTAAAAGTTTCATTAAGAAAGAAGCGAAGATGAAAATGTTTCATCGTTGCATTAGCGTTGTGTCACCGATACGCGGAAGAGCATTTACACTTTCAGTCCTCCGCTCTTTTTCGCTCACTGTCCTTTTCTGTTCTGTAAGATTGTTTTCGTCAGACGTCGGCCGATCTGATTGGTTACTGTGCGACCACGCAGTGCTTTCCGATCCACGGCCGAATCGTCCGAAATCGATGCCTCTATGACCACAGCTCAACATCAGCTGCGGAGGCTCGATCGCTATTCACGAGTGGTGGGAATAATGTTTCTGTCTGGTAGTTGCTCGCAAGGTGGTCCCGAATTACGAGCAATTAAGTAGTCTTTACTGTACTTGTTGTATATATTTCTACTGTTACATGTATCTATTTTATTAATGATAAGTATGCGAGAAAATATAATAGGTGAGGTGAAAAATATAATAGATGAAGACTTTAACCCAGGTAAAATAAGTGGCATCCAGTACGCTGTCGTTTCGTCAATGGTAGGTATTACTGAAACAGAGTCGCGATCACTGGTGTCTAACAGAATAGGCGATTTTTCGAACTTCGATTTCAAATTTCTCAAATGTTTATTGCCATGTACGGTTAATGTTTTACCAATGTTTTCCATACATTATATATACCTAATATAGTGTAAAGCATTCCTTATTAGTAGTTTTACGCTACTTTCCAGTCTCAATTTCATTCTATTAACCCAAAACGTATTACATTATTGAAATACAAATTACTTATAACTAACTGCGAAACAAGGCAAAAAAAAAAACATGTTTTTACAGGCTTATTTCAATGCTTTCATGCGCTGAATCCATCTCTGATATGACTGTGATATGTTATGATACATCCTGTACACTGAGTAGAAAAGATATAGCGGAATGTTTACAAGTTCTCGTAGAGACATGTGGTCGTAAATTAACACATCGAGCAGCAGCACTGATTGATTCCACGTCACTCACGGTCGTGTCCTGCATTCTGTTGTAGGGTTACGGACAGTAAAAGAATGACGATTTATGGCCAACGTTATTTCATTTACAAGTAGAAAAACTGCAAATATTAATTACTAATTCGAATATAATGATTTAATATTTGGAAAATATTTGGAATTATTATTTCTATACATTGTATAATATATTGAAGAGCCGTTCTTCGTACGGTCTTGACCGAGATTTTAAGTCCTTGCCACCTCATAGTTCTATCAATTCACACGTCTTAACACCAAAAACGTGTTTACTTACTGCTCGACTGATTTTACGACCACGTCTTTGCGAGGACTACAAAGCTACTTCAGTGACCTGTATGATTTTATAACAGATAGAAATACGCATACTCATTTATAGCCACAATCCACCATTTACTGTTCTGTTTAAGTGTGGTACTGAAAATTCGTACTATATCTTACCTGGTCATAATGCATTATATAATGCTAGAGATTCTTGATGCTTTCAGTTAGGTTTCACATGGCACAAGCATCAAGAACTACTGGAACACAGTGTACAGTGATTGTATCATACAGTCAAAAACAAAACTTCAATATACCCTTTAGTGTAAGACAAACTATGCTCAAAATTTTCATTGAACGAGCATATCCCTTACCGAGGACATGTAAATATAAATTACCGCGCAAAAGCAAGCCGACTCGATCTGAAGCGTTAACAAAATAAATGTTGTGACAAACTAACCTGAGGCGACAGAATGTTCACACTGCGGCTCACGTTTGAGTACTTTTCTCATGAAAAGAATCGAATAGTCCGAATGAATGCTACTTCATAGAATATATTGAAATTAAGAAACAGCTAAGTATATAAAAACTCTTACACCGTTAATATATACATTTAGAATAAAAAGAATAAAATAATTTTCTAAAAGAAGAGTAACCATTTCAAGGACTAAGTGAAAGTGAATGTCATTTCCAGCTGCAGTGTGAAGCGCCACCTTGCCGCAATCGCGTCACTCCAAGAGAACACTGGTGCAGAGGCTGAGAAACAGCGCGTGGAAACGGTCTACCATAAAAGGTAGATTATATAGATGTTCACTCTGTATAGACTTATCAACTGCAAGATTTACCACCCATCAAGACTTGATATTTCTATCACAACAAGTAACGAAGAATTATTATGTTTGACTATACAACAATACAGTGTCTGCATTAGCAGCTCACGAGTTTTGCTCTTACAACCATCGACAACACAGTATCATTCTTTCATAAAACTACTGTTTCAATAGCAGGTACACGGATAATAATGTGATAAAGATCGACAAAAGTGGTCATACTTTGAATTGCTATTGCATCTTTTAAGCGAACAACAAAGCTTCTTTCACAAAAGAAAACTAACTCTATGTTGTTGCTCTGGCAAAACAAACTTCTTCAAGACCAAGGAACTAATTTGCATGACCGTGTAGACCGTATGTAAAACTATGTAATTATTTATTTTATATTTATCTGGCAGCAAATCGAAAAGGAATAGCCGACCGTTTCCACTGCACCTGATAAACCCTCTCAGGCATTGACGTGATGTATTTTGCAATAACATATAATTAAAAAAACAAAGAGTTTGCTAACTTCGTATAAACTTCGTGGGAGAAGATGCGTCAAGTGCAGCCGCGGCCGATCAACGAAGTGTGTCCACGCGCGAAGTAAAAAGTTTTACGCGTGCTTCTTCCCTCGTCTCTGTCAGGTCCGGACCCTAAGAAAATTTAGGGGCGGGCCCAAAGCACGAAGTGCAGTGGCGGGTTGGACCCGTCCACAGGAGGTGATCATCTGAAGCGTGGATGCATCATCGGAGCCAACATGGGCGCACCAGGAAAGCCCATTGGGGTAGCAAATGCCGGGTGCATGGCGCCCGGTGGTAACGCTCCTATCATCCCTGTAAACGACAATAAATTATGAAACAATATGTCCAACGCCGGTTATCACCCTCCCATTCCATCCTTCGATCTTTTATTCAATTATTTTTTAACAATCTGTACATAGTTTTCGTATTTGTACTTACATAACTCAAACGTATCAACTACATGTCTGTGTTGCCTGCGAAAGCATGCCCCCCGTCCCACCCTCTTTCACTCTCTGCCCTCCGACCCCCATCACTTTCTCGCGGTCGCTGTGTGTGTGTTGTGCTTGGGGGCGGGAGGCGTGTTCGTGGAATGTACACATTGCTCTCCTGTTTGTTAGCTGACTTCTTCTTTATTTTTTTCTGTGATCGCGTATGTTTCAGGAAGTAGACGCGACACGGAATTATGAAACGATCGTATATAATACTTATTTTAATGTATAATGATGGCGTTCTTTCCAGTACATTCCCAATAGGTCCAAAGGATTTTTACTCTTCTGAACGAGAAGATGTGTGACAGCGGCGCCAATGCCATTTCCACAAATCAAATGAAAACAATTTTTCTTCCGTTTAGTAACAAACCGGGTTATCAAACCAAGATGACTCTAGGCCAGGAGTGGCCAACAGGTGGTTCGTGAGTCACACAGTCCCCCTCACCTACGGTCTGCTCTGTTCTGTCGTAGGGGAATGTTCCCCGTCTATATCTATTGCGCATGATCAAGATCGGCACACGGGACATCACAGAGGCTAGAAGGTGCGTGCGCATGCTCCGACCGTAGCGCCCTGCACGCCGATCCCCAATCATCGCGCAGCACACCTGAGTGATGGGGAAACGGACTGTGATAGTAAAGACGATCTCGACCTTGCCACATGTTGGTCAGACCTGCTCTAGGCTATTCATTTATCTACTTATTTTACGCAAACATACGCTTTAAAAAATGATACGGCTTACCTACCACAAATAAATAAAAACAATAAAAGAAAAATTTATTATCTTAAAAGTGAAGGCGATCCATCACCTAAACACATCCTATATCTGCTGGAAGGATGTGCTCTTTTGTAAACTGATGTAATGACAGAGACTCGAGTTTCCTCATGTAAGTCCTACAATATACACCCGAACAAAGGTTTATCATTAGCAGCCCACCTACGTCTATCCAGCAACTTTATCAATACGTATTGCCAAACTATACAAGGTATTGAGCTCAGCATGCAGTGTGCCACATACGCAATACAGGTCACAACAAACGAACAAAATGTGATACCACACAAAACCTCACACCATACGAAGGAAGAAACTCATTCGATGTATGTACGTTATCTCGTGATTTAAACAAATCGCTTGGCTGCCAGCCGATCTTCCTAGACACTGCTCCATAACCGCTTCCAAGAAAGAAAAAACGGATCTACTAACATAAACTTAGAATATTATTGTACTTGTCTTTGAATATTCCGATACTACAGTCTAGGTATAAATTTAATGTCCACAAAGAATTTTAGGTTGTAGCAAAACGAATTGGATTAAACCTTGTTCTGACATCATTTTTAACATATTTATGTATTAAACACAATTTTCATTGTATTAATAGCTTCTTCCTCATTTAGCAAGGTTAGACACTTCCAGCATTAAATACGTAGAAACGAACCAATCGCTATTACGCGTCTACGTGAACCATAAACATGCTGGGTAACGGAAAACCGTTTATTGCGAACTGACTCGATTTTACTAAAATCATTTATGTGACACAAAAGCTAGTCTATGGTGTGAGGGAGATGCATTACGTTCGTTCTTGTTGCAAATTTGTTTACGTTAGAACATATACCGCAATAAAAACAGTGGCAACGAAAGATAATCCCTTCCTTTTTACTTTTTTAAGGACGGTATTTCTAAACATTTTCGAAAGAAGTTTTTAGAATAATTAGTAAACATACATAACTATATGTTAGTCTAATTACTTTACCACCGTATTTGTTCTCGTTGATAAGAAAAAATGTAATGAAAGTGCGAATCGGAAACTTTTTTATATACAAAAAGAAAGGGATTATTCAATTGTCATCGAAATTATGTATTTCATTTAGAATAACAACTTCGAACGACTGTCAGTACTGTGCTCAAAAAGCGATTTTTTCACTACTGTACCACAACACTAGGATTTCAAGCTATATAGGGTGTCCGCGCTAACACTATACAGGGTGTTTGAAAATTCACTGTCACGGCTACCATAGCGTTATTCAGATGTGCAGAAAAAAGTAACGCAAAATTGACCTTGAACTTAAGCTTCAAGGTCAAACTGTTTTATTATTGCATCGCATTCTACTCGTCACGAAGATAATAAGTCTGAAAGGAACCATGGGTCGCAACTCAACCGTTCTCTTGGAAAATTATGTTAAAGTTGCGTTAGCATTCGGACTCGCTTTATTTGCAAGTTACTTACATATGTCAGTCAAAAGCAAGGTAAATAGCATGTATTGTCGCGCGTAGATACCCCATTATTTCTCTCATTTCTTCCGTTTTATCTTTCTTGCTATAAAACGTTCGCAGGTTGCTATGAAACATTTTTAATTTTTGTTCTTAATGAAACTCTTATTAACATATTGATGAGATTTTTCTGATTAAAATGAGACACTTCTTGATCACCAATTTGAAAATCGCGTCGATCTGAATATACAAGGTGTCCTACAATTACTTCGACTCTAGGAAATGAAGGGTGCCTGAGATGATTTGAAATAACATTCCTTGGCAAAAATGTTATCCGATGCTTTGTTAACGAGATATTAACGAAAAATCCTGACCAATCAGAGTGCGACCAATCGTAGTGCGTAGCCAACTTTACCGCAGGAAAGCCTCGGATAACATTTTTGCCAAGGAATGTTATTTCAAATCATCTCAAGCACCCTTCATTTCCTAGAGTCGAAGTAATTGTGGGATACCCTGTATATTCAGATCGACGCGATTTTCAATTTGGTGATCAAGAAGTGTCTCATTTTAATCAAAAAAATCTCATCTATATGTTAATAAGAGTTTGATTAAGAACTAAAATTAAAAATGTTTCATAGCAACCTGCGAACGTTTTATAGCAAGAAAGATAAAACGGAAGATATGAGACAAATAATGGGGTATCTACGTGAGACAATACATGCTATTTACCTTGCTTTTGCCAGACATATGTAAGTAAATTGCAAATAAAGCGAGTCCGAATGCTAACGCAACTTTAACATAATTTTCCAAGAGAACGGTTGAGTTGCAACCTATGGTTCCTTTGAAACTTTTTATCCTCATGACGAGTAGAATATGACGGGATAACAAAACAACTTTGACCTTGTATTTCAAGGTCAAGGTTAATTTTGCGGTGACTTTCTTTTGCAGATCTCCACCGATCCAGAGGTGTAGAATAACACTATGGTAGCCGTGACATTGAATTTCAATCACCCTGTACAGTCCGTTGTTTCCTTAATTATTCGAAACGCGACAAAACTGTTTATATATAATTGAATGGCAAGAGGAGGGCTAATTAACAGGCTATGTCGAATTTTTTTGAACATTATGATTTTGAGAGATATGAAGGCCAAGTTCGGTATTTTAAATGGAATTACATATTTCTTGTTAGATCTCAGTAATCTTTAATGTATATATCCTGTTTCGAGTAGTTTTTGAGATATTGCGCTTAAAAATTTACTGATTGATGTGGCACTTTAGGCGCAAACAAGATCACCTCTAGTGCTTCCTACACGAGCAGGCTTTCTTCAGTTGCAAATCAGTAAAATTGTAAGCGCAATATCTCGGAAACTATTTGAAAAGGGGTGTATACATTAAAGGTTACTGAATTCGGCTTGAAACGCATTATCAAGTGATCTAAACAAAATATATATAATTCCATTTAAAAAACCAAACTTGACCTTCATATCTCTTAAAATAATAATGTTAAACAAAATTCGACATAGCCTGTTAATTAACCCCCTTGTGCTATTCAATTTTATGTAAACAGTTCTGTCGTGTTTCAAATAGTTTCAGTGAGCTAATGGCAAGTGACTTTTAAGAAGAATATGGTTTAGTGAAGGTAAGTCTTTATAGAGAAGCCAATGAAATGAAAAATTAAAAAATTATACAGGATATTTCGTAACAGGTAGCAGAAAATTGAAGGGGTGATTGTACATACCAAAGTAACAGGAAAATTAAGAGTAAAAAAACTGGGCTGCTGAGCCTTCGTTATTTAGATATAAGCATTGAAAAATTAGGGTCTGAACTCCCTGAAACCATGCCATCCACAGACAACGATCAAGCACAGGTCAACAGAATAGAGAGACATATAGTGCCGTAAAAAATCAATGAAGACCATAAACATACCTAGTAGAAACTGTGGGAAGTTAGACGATATTCGTCGAGACTGCAGGAATCTATATGACTTTGTACAGTATTGAACTTATTTATTCTATGAAACCCTTACGGGTCAAAATCTAAAAAACCTGCACCTACACAGCGAGTTTTCATTAGAAAGGTCATAAACAATTCAAAAATGACCATTGAAGTGCTACACTAATTACACCAAACAAAACTGAACTAAATGACATTGAAGGAACAGTTTTAAAAAATCGCTACAGTAATACGTTCGAGACCGCATTGTGCATGTAACTTCGAGTTCGTTTATCAGAGATAAAAAATCCGAGCAAATTTAGTTAATAGAATGAATTATCTAGTGCCTGATCGTTCATTATCCTGAAAAATTAATTTACGACAAAATGGCGGCTGTTCAAAACCGCAGTATCGATGTTCGCCAAAAAAATCGTTCAGTTTTTATATACAAAATAAAAACTACGCAATGAAATACAAAAAGCCACGATCAGGCACTAGATTTTTGTGTATAGAGTCTACCAAAGCTGAATCAGTTCGGTGCAGGAGTTCTCGAGATATTTTGGTCACCGATTTTGAAAATGTGGTTTTGAGAAAAACACGTTTAAAGTTTCAAGTCAGGTTTACAACCGAATCAATGCAAATTTTTTATATATAGTTATTCTTAGTATTACGGCTTCATATAGCC